TAAAAATGCAGTGCTGACCGCCACGTATTGATTTTTTTTTTTTTTTACTAGGCCTATTTAAAATCGCATTTGATCGCCATAGCACATGTCACTCTCTCTCTCTCTCTCCCTCATGAACACAGCTGCACAAATCTGTCCAACACAATGCTGTCAATGTGAGAGACCCAGCTTAAAAAAGTTATTAGCAAGCATATAAGGAGCCTAGCTAATAAAGAAAGCTAAGTTAATGCTAGTATACAGCTGGGTTTTCGAGGCTAGCGCACTGTACATAGCTGGTAGTCAATATCGACTTTTTCTGGAAGGCTATTCAGAAAGAGACATCAGTGTAACAGCTTTGGTTGGAAGAAATTTAACATAAGAAATAAAAAAAACTACTTCAGATGTATTGGAAAGCCCAGCCAGACTGAAAGTGATGTCTTTTTTTTTTACTTTAATGCGGTCTGTAAATGGATACCCAGTGGGTGAAAACCTGGAAATAGAAATGTTTGGTCCATTCAATTTGTTAACCAGCGCAGCTCGTACAGTGAGTCCATGCAGAAACTGAATCACACACATTCCTTTAAACAAAGTGTGTCTCAACCAGATAAGGGGCAGTGGTTTCTGATAAGGCTTGTAAGCAGAGGATAAAAACTCACAAATATTATGTACAGACACACATACTGACTGAGAATTTCTTGTTGTGTAAGCGTGCACCATGTTCTATGAAACGTATGAACACACAATTCAGGGAGATAATTTATAGCTTCAATGAAAGCTTCTCTCCCTATGGAATTGAAAGTGGCAGGTGTGGTACTTTCATCAGTGTTTCAGAGTGTGATATAAGTTGTTCCTACTGACAACAACTGCCAGAAAACAGCACAGTGACAGAGAAGGGGTGGAAGACCGAGAGAAAGACACGGTGAGGGGGATGCAAAAGATTAAATGAGCAGACAGAAAGAAAGTGGGAGGGAGGGTACTTATTTTCTTTTGAGAAAACCTGTCACCAGTGGACTGTTGTAGCACTAACTGTTCTTGTGAAAGACATAACTGACAACTTTAATAGACATCTTTCCAACCTACAGGGGATTAGTGATTGGTACTGAAAAGATTTTTGGTGGAGCATCTCTTGAATGTCTGAACTGAACTTCAGATTCCTTTCCATTATACTTGAGAGCAGTACTGTTGCAGAGCTAGTGTGGATTTTCACCAACAAATGTATGAAACTGTCAGAAGTCTTGACACTGACTGACTGACATTATCAACTGTTAATGTCAAAATAAAAAAGGATATTACGGTTTAATTTTTTTTTTAAATGTTGTGACTCGCATTTAATATTTCAAGTCCAGCAGAAATGAGAAATCAATTAGTTGATCAAGAGAAACTCAATCGGCAAATATGTTGATAATTTATTCATAGTTTCACTCCCTTTTCAAGCAAAATGCCAAATATTCCAGTTTCCTGGCCCTGAAATGTGGGGATCAAACATGTTGAATAAGTCACCTTGGCCTCTGAGAGATCATAATGGTCATTTTATTACATTGCTGACAAAACTTTTAATTAATTTGTGAATCAAGAAAATAGTCAGCAGATTATAGATAATGCAAGTAATCGTTGGTGCAGCCCAAATTTCAAGACAAAGTAGATAGACACCGTTGACAACAGTCATGACTGCAGTTCAAAGTCATCAGGATGGAACTTACATAATGTACAAGTACAAAAGCACATAAACTAGTCTACATATCCTTTACTCCAAAAGTTTACTGCTTGGAAAACTATATGCGATGCATTCAGATGGCGACTGTAGCCAGCTGAAGAGGCCAAAGTGAAAATCATTAACTGCTGAGACGCACGACATTTCGAATGACAAGCTGTTCTACATTGTTCTGGTATCCGGCTGCACCCTGGGGCGCACTAAACTCTTCAGAAAACAGCCAACTCTGGAGCTGCTGGAGACAGACAAGCTTGGAGAGGAGGGAAAGTGTCGCCGTGAGGAGGCGGTGTGTGTGTGTGTGTGCGCGTGTGTGAAAAGAGAGAGTTGTAACAGAAATACAGATTGAGACGAAAATATGAGACACCAAAAGGAGATAACGACTGAACGAAGCAGAAACAAAAGAGAGAGGGGGGATGTTGCATCCATCTCCTAACCTTATTAAGGATGGATGTTTTCTTGGCCTGGCTGGGGAGAGAGGAGAGGAAGAAGACATGAAGGATATGGAGGAAAGGAGGAGAGGAGAGAAGGAACAAGGGGAAGAGCACAAAGGATGAAAGGGGTTTAAAGAATAGAAAGAAAGGTGCATCAGGGTTAAGATGAAGGAGAAGACAAAAACAGCAAAGGATGAGAAACAAGCCAGCAGAGAGGGTCTAATGAGGAGAATGCTGCCTGAGGGTGCGTGCACACACACACACACACACACACACACACACACACACACACACACACAGAAATCACTTGAATCCCTTTGGTGTGGACTGCCTCTCCATGATAATAATGGTGGAGTCAATAATATTGGAAAATGGCAAAAACAATTAACATTTTTAAAGTTCAAACGGATGTGCAAAAAGTGAGCTGGAGAGAAAATGCCAGAAACAGTTTATTGATGATATCAGAAGGCGCGGCCTGCACTGTGCATCAACCAATCAGTGTGAGTATAGCAGATAACCCTCATGTTCAGGGCAACTCAAACTTCATAAATACAGTAGCCTACTTATCTGAGACCAGCTGTTCCTGTGTCACACATCAGAAAAAGGTCAAAGAGACATTTTGGGTCCTGACTCAAAGCTCACAAAAACCCTGCTGTACTGCATCTTCCTGAGTGGATAGTCTCTTGCTCAAGCAGGGAGTATACTATTAGGCTACACCCTCCTAAACCCCTCTACACACTCACAGGCAAACACACACACATACATAATTAGTTTACTAGGGTACTAGGATATATTGGCCCTCTGGTCTTGATCATAATTAGTTTTCCATGGACCCCTTCTTTACCAGTCTATTTGGGTTGTGGCAGGGTCTGCGGAAACTGAACTAATTTTCTCTTTTGTTTTCTACCCCGTTAAAGCATTCACGCAACATCAGGTGATCTCCAGGGAGAGGATTTAATGGGGCGGTGATGAAAAATAACCCAATAGTATTGATGGACTGACCTAAATCGACATGGCGCTGCGTAATTGCCACTTCCATTACAGGAAGGCTGCATCTTTGTATAGGTTTATCTGTTGGACTTTGCGCTCGATGAAATATTAGGTCAATAAAACATATGGTAGTCAGACATTTTCATTAATAATTAAAGTGTTGTGATAAAACTGTCTTAAGTATCCTAACAGACAATCTGACCAACTGATGGTCCTGAGCGGCGAAGTGCGGCGGTGCGCGTCGGACTTTGGATAGATAATAAAGCCATCACCAAGAGTAGGCTAACGCTACTGCACCGACAAGGATTTATTATGACGTCTGTATTGACAAAGAAGTAAACAAGTTAAGCCAAGCTTAAAAGAGTATTGGTCAATAGGATGCGGAAAATGGATAGTGACTCTTTGGACAGGGAAACGGAGGAAGTGAACGCACAATGAGATTGCCCAGACACAGGGAGCGTTTGATCCCCGACAGCCACCAAAGTAGGTTATCTGTTAAGCAGGCACATCTCCTGCTCTGATAAGTTCGAGCTACAACCCTTAACAGTAAGTAATTGTAAGAGCGTCTCTGTGCGTAAGTGCGCACAGCATCGGATGTCTTCATCCTGCACACCCTCCCACCCAACCCGTCAGGCTGACCACTGCCCGGTGGCTCTCCATACTCACATCCAAAATAACGGAGATGCCTCTCCGCGGTTCCGGGGCGAAGAACTGCTCCTGAGCCACGGCTACCTCCTCCTTGCTGGAGGCGTACTCCCGGCTGGAGATGTTCTTGTTGTCGCTCATTTTGGTGACGATCCAGCGGACGAGCCCGTCGATTCCACCGGGCTGAGCGCCGCTGTTTCCGGACTGCGCTGCCGTTGCGGACTCGCTGTCCTGACCGGCTACGGGGTTCGGCTGCTCGCGGCTTTCTTGGGCTCGAAGTTTCGCTTGTTCTTTATTGAGCAGTTTGTGGACTCCGTCCCTACAGTAGCGCGCTGCCTGCTCACACATCCTTTTGCTGCGGAGCGCTCATGCTGCGCTCTATGGGGGAGAGAGAGAAGCCCCCACCCACCGACCCCCCCCCGTTACATCACAGCACCCACCCCAAAACACACCCACCCATCCGACATATCCTGCATACCCACAATATTATCTGTCGTTCGAAAGTCAGTTATGACGCATTGAGATGAGTATGTGTTGAGAGTTTATAGTGACGTTGTTGCACTTACTGGATCTCACGATGTATTACTGTGCTACACTACAATTTTCTGTTTATATGTAAATATTGGAATTGTGTGTTTAATTGGGTCTAGGTGTTGATCAGTCCAACATCCATCTTGTAATAAAGAATAATAAATTATTCTGGGCTTGTTGTCCAAAAGAATTACATCCACTTTGCTCTGTCTTTTCTTTAATGTCTAATCTGAAAGACAATGCTATGTTTCCCTTCCCTCCCTTAAACAGTTACAGCTCACTTTGTCCCAATGATCAAGATCAGAGGATTTTCTCTCCTAAGAGGAGTGACTCTTGAATTGTCAACCCAGCTCCTCATTACATGTTTAGGTGTGTGTGTGTGTGTGTGTGTGTGAGAGAGAAAGAGAGTGAGAGAGAGAGACATGACACATCTAACTTTGGTAATGAGTGTGTGCTCCAGCTCTGCCTTTTCAACTGAGTAGCTGTTGTGGTCTGCATTGTCCTGTGTGTCTAACAGCACGCAAGGTAGTTTGGACAAATTAACTCCTGGTGGAAAGTTGACACTCTAGCACTCCGGTTATAATAATGACCAAAAGGATGAAAAAAGGTAAATGACGTTTGGAGCACTAAAACTGGTAAAACCACTTGACATTATTGCCCCCATGTGGACACGAGTGTGCAATGACAGGCATCAGCAGGTTTTTTTCTGCAGGATTTATTCAGTTAATTATTACAATATTTATGAAGACATTTGAGACAACTAATTATTTAAAGCACATAAATAAATACACACCCTCTTGTATTTTTGGCATTAACATTGGAGTTCATGCATCGGATAAATAATTTGTTCAACTGAAGCATCATAAAAATAAGCTAAAGCTATGAAGGCTTGTGTCCAAGTGGTTGCCTGTGCACATTTATTTCGTTTGTGTGTCTTTTTGTGTGAGTCTGCACAGCCAATCGCATGTGTGTAGGTGTATGTGTACATATCTCTCTAAGATGACTCAGGGCTTTGGCCCTTCAGGTAATAAACCCAAGAACAAGGTGTGCTGCGGCCTTCGGAGCACTGGCTGGAGATGGTCAGCTTGCCAAACCATGGTCCTGGAGAGCCTCCTGGAGGGGCCTCAAAGGATATCAGGATGTTTTGGGTCTTTTTGGAGAGGATGGTGTCCACCCCTTTGACAGTAAAACAGGGATTGTCCACCTAGGAGCAGGGTAAATAAGGCTTAGGTTAAATCGTTATATATAGTATAAATTGAAGAATGCCGGCAGAACATATTTGAAAGAAAATGTTTTCCTTGGATTTCAAGAAATGTAATTCTTGGAATGTTATCAATCATTTCCAGTCTCAGTTACACTAATGCTCTTCTAAAAATTCCACTCTTCAACCTAGTTATTTCCCTGGCCCTCGGGTCATCGGTTCTTTACCTGAAAAGAGAAAGCTGTGGTCTGCAGGAATACATTCTTGAAGGGTAGAGTGATGTTGCGACCAGCCCTGATGCTAAACGGGCCCTGGGCTTTGGGGGGGAGGCAGATCCCATGTAAGGGAAAGATGTAGTCGCCACCGATTCCTGAGGACAGTTTGAGCTGGCCTCTCACTTCCCCCAGCTGATGAGGTTCGAAACAAACCTCCACACTGGCCTCTGACCCTGCCTGGAAACCTGGAGAAGCACCAACACTCTTGTCCACAATAAAGTGCGGGCAATCAGTCTGCAGGAGTGAGAAAACAAGCAGAGATTTACATTGATTACGTTGGTGTTTTTATAATTCTGAAACATGAAACTTACTTTGAATGAAGGATGAAGAAACCAGAAGCACATTCTCCTCTTGTGTTGTCAAGTAAATACAACTAAAATTCTTAGATACAGTCATGACCCGATACACAACCAACAGTCATTGAAAATGAGAATTTTACCAATTTGAAACAAAGGTTGATAATACCAATGTATAACCATCTTTGTCGGGCACACAGATATAAAAACACAAATCCATTATTTGTGAATATATTTTTGAGCTAAACTTGACTCCACTTAAGTTCATTCATCAGACAAACTCAAATTTCAACTAATCAGTTAAAAATAAATGAATACAACACATCAGTTGTCATTTTAACTAACTTTGGTGATACTGTATAAAATGAGTGGGGACTTAAATGGGCACTCCAGCTATTTATTATTGCATTTCCATAAAGACTGGGGACTCACAAGAGAGTTTGTTCAAACGGTCAAAACAAAAGTGCCCCTTTGATAATTTCCAACTCTCTCTCCGACTACATGATGGCCACATCCATTAGTAAGACTACAAGTAGCAGAAAATAAGAGAATGGTAAGAGTTTCACAAGACCGTGGTGTGCACCTTACATTTCTATGTCATTGGGATATGCCTAATATTTTCTTACCTTGCATGAGTACTCTGTTTTAATGCAGGAGTAGTTGATGAATTTAACAAGCACGGAGTGACTGTTGCCCAGGGAAGCGTTGAAGTAGACAGTTTTCTCTGGGGGTGGGGGCAGAGCTCTGAGCAGCAGATCATAGTGGAAGAAGCCCAGATCATTACTGCTCAGAGTCAGCCGGGCTGTAGTTTCACCTGTGCGCAGGGGCTGGTACTCTATGGTCAGAGAACTCTAAAGAAAGGACACATATAGAGTATCAATTAAAGTTTGTTTGTGGGCACACAGCAGTTAGCGAATAGATGTACTCTCAGTATCCACCTTGGACTGCCCTGGCACAGTGTGTTGAGGTGGGGCGCTGATGTCAGGGCATTTACACTCAGTAGTGAGGCAGGTAGCTGTGGTCAGAGGGTTTTCCACCTGTACAGTGGCCGAGGCCGCCTGACGGACAGCGGTCACCAGCTCTATAGTGGACAGGACTCCTGGAGATGTGGCCTTGAAGGTGACAAGGTAGAACAAGTACTCACCGGACACCACATTACAAAACGTAACCTGAGGAGAAGAGTTATAAGGTGATGTTAGGACAAGGCTCAGAAATTTATTCAGATCAGGTCACAGAAATGTGTGTGTGAACAAACCTTTGTGTTGTACTGCCCCTCTCTGTATGTAAAGAAAGACATCTTGTAGTCTCTCTTGGCCAAAGCAGGGACATCAATGTATTCTAGACCCTTTAGGGACACTGTAGGATCTGGCCTGTCAGGTTTCAGGATCTCCATCAGCACACGGAACCTGACCACACAGAAACAGAAAACTTATGACTCTGCTGTAAAGCTAACAGGGCTTGTGTATTTGTCATTCACATTCAGCATTAAGGTAGTCTTTTTGAAATGCGGCAAGAGATTTTCCTAAATTAAAGGGGTAAGAATAAATTAAAGGTTGCGTAGTAGGGCTGGGCAGTATATCGGTATAATGAGGTATACTGATATAATTTCAAAAGAGTTAAGAAATTAGACAATACCGTTTATACCATATAGTTTGACATTGAGTTAATTAATGTGTTTCCGTAAAGTCCTGCCAGCATTTGCTCCTCTCTCTCTCTGAGCAGCCCCGCCCCTCTTTCTGCGTCTGCACGCAGTCGTCTACTCACAAACTCCCTAACAACATGGAGGGAGACACAGTGCCGGTCGACACTGCTGAAGACCTGGCTTGTAAAAAGAAAAAAAAAAAACAATTCAGTGTTTCCTACACAAACTCTTTTCTTCGGCCGTCCGCGCCTCCTCCTGTGAAGGGAATTGGGGGTAGAAAAGTCAAGAAAAGTTCTGTTTTTTATTCAACGACTTTATACAACGTGGCCTACTACTGATGGAGAAAGTCACCGGAGCAGACATAGAGGGAGGGAGGGAGAGACGGAAAGAACCGGGGCACACTGACGTGTTTGCAGGAGAGGTATGTTAGGTCTGTGAGTGTGAAGAGAACTGAAGGAGGCGGATTCAGTAAGTGAGTGACACTTGGAGAATGAAAGATGGAGAATGAAGTATAATTAAAAGGGTGAAATAAGAAACAAGCTAAACAAGGGGTAGCTGATTTTAGTGTGTATGTTTTTGCTATTTGTAGTAACCCACCCAAGCCCACTTAACAGAAAATACTGATAATTATTCGGAATTCTGCCTAACAGTACCGGGATATGACTCTGTGGTCCATATCGCCCAGCCCTATTGTGTAGTGATGAACCCACAGAGGAGCTTTAAACTGAGTTTCAGCTCTTTGTTTTGTTGTCCAGCCCGCAACTTTACTGCTTTGGTTCAATCTCATACTGTCACTTTCAGCCACAGCAGGCAGCTGTTTTCACTGTACACTATCTGCTCAGCACCAGAGCAGCTAAAGAGCCAGATATTTCAACTCAGGAGTTGGTGGAGACCAAAGCAGAGTGAAAAGTAGAGTGAATACTCGACTTTTTGTTTAGCAAGTTAAGCCTATCAACTTAAAGGTGATAATTTGTCAATAGTGTGTTTACAGCTTGTTTCTCCCACCCCCAAGTGGCCAAGAAAAGATGCTATTGCATGTTTAAGAATTATATCAGGATTATATTTAGGGTTGCATATGATTTAATAGATTAAAGATATTAGTGATTTCAAGGAGTGTGTGTGTGTGTGTGTGTGTGTGTGTGTGTGTGTGTGTGTGTGTGTGTTTTACCGCTGCTGCTTGGAGAGCCAATTGCGCACAGGGAGCAACTGTGTGTGGTGAGTCTTGGCAGGCAGTTCGTGTACAATGACATGCTCTGCCTTGGGAGGCCCAGCAGTTCCCTGCAAGGAGTACAGCATGCCTGTCCCGTCAGGGAAGGAGAAAAAGACTGATCCCTGAGAAAATAAGAAGAGAGATATAACAAGATAATGTCACACTTCGTTGCTAACATTATAGTGTTTTATTTTGTTATATTAAATGCACAAAAAAGGCAAAATATAAAAAATTGATTTTGTTTAAATGTTGGTGCTCCTTTACCGTGTGTTTTTTTCCATCAGCAGTCATGGTCAGTGGTTGGTAGGTGATCTCATATGTCTTGTTCTGGAGGGGTTCAAGGATCACAGAGGGTGCAGCGCTCCACTGCTCGCCCTCTATGACAGGTCTGATGCTGCAGTGCTGGCTTGTGGGGTTAAACACGTGTAGGGTCTGGATGTGAGAGTCACGTACTGGGCAAACAAAATTCACCACCTGGAGAGAAGCGGTCAGAAAGCGGTCAATTTTATGCAATAGGTAATACAAAGGAAGTTACGTTGTAGGTAATGCCTTTCACTGAACGTAAGCAAAAAGAACTGCAGGATTAATCACCTTCAACTTGAGTAACTTTCTAAAGTCTTCTCTCATGCAGTAGTGGCTAATTAGCTAAATGAAACCGACTGCAAGTTTCCCCAAATTTTCAATGATCTTTAAATCTGTCAACACTGTCTGCCTGTTCCAAAAAAGAGTCGAGTCAATGACTCACATTATCTGATGCTGGCCTTTTACCATCCCTACAATGAGAAGCTACACTGCTGCAAGCCAGCTTTTAGCTTTTCTGCCTATTGGAGGAGCCTAAAAAAAAATAAAAAATCAATATCCAATATACAAACGAGTGTAAAAACCTTGCACTGCTTTCTCGTACACAAAGCAAATGTGATGATTCATATGGTTGGTCAATGAAAACGGTTTGTCCCTACATAAGGCAGCACACCTCTGTTAGAAATCTTGTTATGAAAAGAGTCACTACAAACATACAGAACATAACAACAATGTGATACTTTATTGATCCCCTTATGGAAGATTATTGTATTTTATGGCTGGATACATCCCTTGTGCTAGTAGTGTCTAAATAAGACAAGAGGGAATGGTGTGTTGGGCTGCTCGGGGTCTCACTGACCAGATTATTTTTACCAAATAATACCTCCAACACTACGACTTTGTTAAAGCAAATGAAATAATCTGAACTCTTGGATACAGACGTTTGAATGTCGAGAGCACTACGCTGCCACAAAACCGGACAAACAGTTAGAGAAGAGTCTGAGCAACATCAACCAAACAGGAGATGGCTCAAGTCAAGAGACATCACAGGAGTCTTCACCAAGTTCAACTGAACGTCCAAGGCCATAGGCCATCATACTCCTGCTGAAATGTAGCTACCGCCTGCTGACACAGGGAGCAGCTTCCAAGAAGGAAAGCAACCTGGAGAGGCAACCCTTTCCATGTATACCAGGCTCTCCCGGTGGAAATCCAGCAGAGGCATGCAAAATATGAAGATAACGGTGAAGCTCCGTAGAACTGGGATCTCTGCTATGGTCTTCTCTATCCTGCAAGGCTCATTTTCACAGTGGATGGAAAGAATCACATCTATAAAACTCCCGATGATATGATATTTCTCTAGCCTCCCTCTGCCATTATCTAACATAATAAAAATACTGATAATCCCTTAATCCCCCGGTGAGCCAGCTAAAGAACTATACAGACGTCTCAGTATTCCTGACCTATCCCTCCCCTCATGTAAGGTGAGGATGAACCCTTTATTTACAGCTGGAGAGATACCTATAGTAAACATAGTTTGGCAGCAAAACAATATTATTACACTAAGCTTAACTGATAGTTGACGGAAAATTTGTAAATTTCAGTGAACTGAAAAGGCAACACAAATTTAATGACTTTTAAATCAGAATATTCTGTTGAAAAGAACTTGATGGAGGAAGTCAGTGGTAAATAAATGGTTTCTGAACTGTATAAATTATTATACCACACCATTTATAACTGTTGTACAAGCATTAAGTCACAGTGGGAGAAAGATTTAGAGGTATCGCTCACTAAAGTGTCAGTGTGAAAATATTTTACGCTGTTCAAATTACTTACCAAATTGTGTAAGGTACAAAGTTATCCAGTAAAAACTTTTATTTAGGTCATATATAACTTTTGGATGATGTTATACTTGTCTTAAATTCTATTTTATGTATAAATATTCCAATATAACCTGCAGAATTTTTACTGGGCAGTAAGATAGTTGGAATCAATTCTCAAATGATGCAACGGCTGGTCGGACTAGCATGTCTGTCAGGAAGGAGGACAATATTCATCCACTGGAAATTGAGGAAACCCAACTGTTGTTTGGAGAACAAGCTCAAGGAATATCTGGACTTCCGATATGAATACAATGTCTCTTCAATTAGGTCATTTTTTTGGTTTGCTCATACAGTCTTGTTTTCTGTTTCTTAGGTATTCAATTGAGTGTGGTACATCAATGCCCCTATACTGTTCATCAGATACAAAACCCCAAACAAAATGTATCCTGTATATGTTTTATTTCCCTCCTTTACTTTGTGTACAAAAGTGCATTAATCAAACCTCTTTGCTAGTGGAGGCTATGATGCAGGAGCCTGTCACAGTGAGGGTAACAGGTGAGGAAGAGCCTTCCACACAGCACGACAGGTTCTCATATCTTGTGTCATTAATCAGTTCTTTGGGGGCAAAAGTCACTTCAAAAGGGACCTCCATGCCTGGACAGATATAGCCTTTAGCTGGTGCGATAGACAACTCTGGAGGAAAATTAACTGTTTTCCACTGGAACCTGGTTATAAGGTAGAGAGATAAATAAAAAAACAAAGAGGATTTAAATCCAACCAGATTTAGCCATGAATGTCAAAAGCAAGCTACAAATGATTGCAACACATCTATAGACAGAACATTTATGTTCAAATAGCACCAAAGAGAGCTGATAAAGTCAGTCTGATATTTTCTTTATCAATCTGTCAACTCATTAAAAAATAGAAAAGAAATCTAGCTTGATAAGTGCGTGTGTGTCTGTGTTTCTGTTGCAATATGTAAGAATGAGGATTTTTTCTTAGATAACTACTGAAATATCATTGGATCACCTGGCACCAATGTCCCCAGTATTCATCATGACAATCTTCTTCCGGGCCTTGCACCGCTGGACAACAGCTCCAAAGGCTAGGTGGGCCTGGTCCAGTTGGACCTCCACACGCTGACAGTTAAAACAGGAGCTAGTGATTAACATGACTTTGTTGAATAGACAGTACACAATTAAGAGAACAAACCTCAAAATGCCTTGTATAAACTTTGTGTCATTCATAGTGTACTCTGTTTCAAAAACAAATACATAATACACACTCTAACACGATAATTCTCTAAACAGTTCTGTACATAGTTAGGAGTAAACCAGTAAAAGTAGAATTTTATGTTGTCAAGTAAATACATCAAGCAAGGTCATCATTTGCACCAGCCTTGTAACATGAAATGAAAATACTACCACAACCTACCTGACAGCAGCCTTGAATGGTCAGCAGGGGGTGTAACAGGCCCGCAAACTCAGCATGCAGCTCAGCAGTGAAGGGAGGTATGTGCTGACGAGGTGTGAACTGGATCTCAACATTACATGAACCACCACTGGCTTTTAGGTTCAGGTCACCTGCTGGACTGAATGACAAATCCTAGAAGAGGAGAGGGGAGCATGATATTAAGTGTTGTTTGTGAAGACCAGAGTTTATCTGTGTGTGTGTGTGTGTGTGTGTGTGTGTGTGTGTGTGTGTGTGTCCCTACCCTTGGGTCCAGTGGTGTGTTTGTATTGAGCAGCAGAGTAAAGGAAAGGTCTAAAGGGCTGCGGTTGACCAGAACCACTTGTTTTTTCACCTTCTGACCCAACATGAGAGATCCCAGTTTAACTTTCCTCTGCTTAGGGTCCTCCACCTCCAGCTAGGACAGAATGGGATACAGGATGATTGGATTAAATACATCAGATTCTAATAAATGATAAAGTCAAATGGATAGATTAAGTGGAACCTGTTTACAGTAAGGGAAGAATCTACTATCACTAAAGGTGAGTATTTGGTTTGATGTTCTTTTTAATATTGCCTGTATAATTATTGGCAAAATAGACATGTCAAATAGACGTAGATTTACAGTGGTGTTTGTAAACAAGCACAAGCTGTTGCTTCTTAAACCAGTTTGGCACTAGAAGCACTTGGCTCCAGGTAGACAGGTTTTTCATCAACAGCAGCATGCAGCATTATTCCTGAGATGCGTTTTAAGGCACTGAATCCCAAATCTGTAACTTTAACTTTTCTAAAGAAATTCATACAGTCTGTAGGATGTAGATTTGTGTAAATTGGTGACAATAGTCACCTTAGAGCTAAACTGTGTAACTTTTAAATTAAATAAAAGTTTGACAGCTACAGCCTGTTTTCCTGTAGTCTGCTATGACCATAGACAATATGATTACCCTGACCTTTAACCTTAACCTGGAAGAAATGACCAAAAATGAAAGTCAGATACGGATATATCAGTCCAACAGTAAAACCATTTAAAAGGAGCAAGCAACAGCTGACTTACCAAATAGACTCGGAGAAGGCATCTGCTTTACTCGACCGGTAATGGAACATCTAACATTGGCTTCTGCTAGGCATTGATTATTTTGTTGAAGTTGCAGTTTTGTGTGGGGATTACAGTTTACTGTTTATGGTCACGATTCAAGAACTGAGGGTGACTGCTACAATGTAAACTAACAATAGTTAGTTTGATTTAGAAGGGAACACAAAATTACACTATATTAACTATCACTTATTCTAGCATAACTGCGTTTGTTTCTGTCGTAATGCTACACATACTGCCAGATGCATCCTAATCGTTTTTATCCATCCTTTGGTGAATTACCGCTGCTTGTTAGCTCACTAATTCATAACTTAGCTTGTTATCAATGGAGCTAAGTTACATACTCGGAGCAATCACACTAAATTTTCTATGATGTGGATCATAATGCCAGTAGGACATACAGTATTTTGAGTTGTCCCCCTTGTTTATGTGAGACCCTTACATGTTGCTAGTCACTCAGTGAGTTTGGTGAGTAATGCCAACTGTTAGCAACTACATATTAGCACACAACTGCTGTGTGGCACCAGGTGTCTTTAATATTGAACCTTTTCACAATATTCTAATTTTCTGAGATACTGATTTTGGGGTTTTCATTAGTTGTCAGTTATAATTATCAAAATTAAAAGGAATGAACAAAGGCTGTACCCTTCACTGCTCATTTATCAAAATAATTAGATCTGCCAGTTTGTAAATGCTCAATGAAAGTTGCATAGACTCATAGATTGTCGCTTTTCTTTCTCACCTTCATCTCGATGCCTAGGCCCAGGATGTCCACCAGTTTTGTGACACAGCTGTTTAAGATGAAGGTGAGTTTTTCATGGTAACGGCCTGCCTCACGAGGACAGAAGTTAATAGGTACCTCCATCACAGCCCCAGGGGACAAAATATCTGGTTGGAAGTCAATTTCTAGGTAGGAGGTGTTGTTGAACAGACACTGGACACTGAGGAGAGGAAAGTAGAGGACAGAAGGTGTTGTTTTTTAATCTCAAACGCTGACATTCTGAGTAAAGTAAAAACATGTCTTTCTGCAGTAAACACACATGGACAAAAACAGACACACACACACACACACACACACACACACACATAAATATACCTGATGTCCTTTTCGCCTTTGTTTCTGATTACTAAAGTCTGGGAGGTTGGCACCATGCCAGGAGAGTATAGGAAGCACTTGCCAAAGTTGTACTTGGTGAAGGAGAATTCAAGGCTGGGTGCTATAGCCCTGCCTTTAATGGCAAAGGTAAATGTTGGCCCGTGCGTTATCTGACAAGAGGAAACAAGAGAGGAGTGGCGTAGACCCCGAAAGAACAAATCAAGAATAACTATAAAGCATATTTGTTCAGTGGTGTGTCACTTATTAATTAAAATATATGTACACATGTGGCAATGCAATTGTATTTGGTAAAAAAACAATGGCAATTACACCTGATCAAGCAGAAAAACACTAACAATGCAAGTGTCAGTTTAAACACAGGATCTATTTGGTGTTGAACGGTCAGTTCCAGCAAGTTTAACAACTTAATTATAGCTAAATTTTCAAGTGTCCCTTTTGTTTTACATATTTTTAAAATTAAATTATGTAGTTGCTGTCATAATTTAGCAGTAATCTTATTGTTTTAGTATTTGTCTCTAAAGATTAAGAAGAGAAAAGTAGCTTTAGTTTGTTGAGTAGACTTTTAATTACTAAGACATTTTCACCACACTTGAATGAGAAAAAGATTAGCATGGATTAAGGGAATGTCTTTATTAGTATTTCTAGAATGCTGGTGGCTAAACAACCTTTAAAGCACCAGTACCTCTGTAAAAACCCTCATAAAACTTGATAGAAGATCAGCATCTCACCTTGATACTCAGTCTGATGTCCTGGAGGTTACAAATGCTTCGGGCACAAAAGAAGAGTGACGAATGCAGCTTCTTCCCAACGTCAATTGTAGCATTTTGCGGTTTGATATCCAAGTGTTGCAGCAGCTCGCTGGGGCCTGTTAGGTCAAAGTTCACTTCCAAGCTGAATTTGGCCAGATTGGACACCAGGAAATTAAAGGTGGATTGCTCAGAAATCTCCACCTACAGACAGCATATATATAGACACATACAGGAAGGTGACTTTCATGTTTAAATTTCAGCATTTGCGTCTGTGATGTGAAAGTGTGCTGACCATTCCAAAGTCCAGAGTGTCTTGGTGGTTAGGGCTGATCTCTCTGATGCCTCCGTCTGGCTTCTCAACTTGAACAGAAGTGCTCATGGTGAAACAATTGGCCTTAACTGTGAGTGCAAGTGGCTCTGACTTCCTCTTCACCCTCAGAACCAATCTGAAGCTCACATAACCCTTCCGGCAAGGTGTGAAGGACACCGACAATGGCAACCTGCACCAAAGAGTTCACAAATACTGACTGACACAATGCTCTTTATTACTTTCAACGTATTCTGTGACAGAGGTACCAAAGTTAATTAGCAGTGAAACAATATACAACTACCTTACAAAGCTTTAATATTTGCTAATTAATGCCATCACGCACAAGTCAGTTATTGTGTTTTCTAAATAATGGATACTTACATTTATTGCAGAGACTGGAACATTGCATTGGCATTAAAGGAACCGCTCTAAGCTGGTTTAAGTCCTATTTATCAGATCGATTTCAGTTTGTACATGTTAACGATGAGTCCTACATGCACGCCAAAGTTAGTCATGGAGTTCCTCAAGGATCTGTCCTCGGACCAATACTCTTCACTTTATATATGCTTCCCTTTAGGCAATATTATTAGGAAATATTCCATAAACTTTCATAGTTATGCAGATGATACTCAGTTATATCTATCGATCAAGCCAGATGAAACTCATCAGTTAGCTAAACTTCAAATGTGCCTTCAGGATGTTAAAACCTGGATGACCTGTAATTTTCTAATGTTAAACTCAGATAAAACTGAAATTATTGTTCTGGGGCCTAAGCACCTCCGTGACGCATTATCTAAAGATATAGTTTCCCTTGATGGCATCGCCCTGGCCTCCAGCACCACTGTGAGGAATCTTGGAGTTATCTTTGATCAGGACATGTCGGACATGTAGTCTCACATTAAGCAAATTTCAAGGACCGCCTTTTTCATCTACGTAATATCGCAAAAATCAGGAATATCCTGTCTAAAAATGATGCAGAAAAACTAGTCCATGCATTTGTTACTTCTAGGCTGGATTACTGCAATTCTTTATTATCAGGCTGCTCGGAAAAGTCCATTAAGACTCTTCAGCTGATCCAGAATGCTGCAGCACGTGTTCTGACAGGAACCAGGAAAAGAGATCACATTTCTCCTGTCTTAGCTTCTCTGCATTGGCTTCCAGTAAAATCCAGAATAGAATTTAAAATCATTCTTCTTACCTACAAAGCTCTTAATGGTCAGGCACCATCTTATCTTAAAGAGCTCATAGTACCTTACTACCCCACCAGAGCACTGCGCTCCCAGAATGCAGGGTTACTTGTGGTTCCTAGAGTCTCCAAAAGTAGACTAGGAGCCAGAGCGTTCAGCTATCAAGCTCCTCTCCGGTGGAACCAGGTTCCAGTTTGGGTTCAGGAGGCAGACACCATCTCCACATTTAAGAGTAGGCTTAAGACTTTCCTCTTTGATAAAGCTTATAGTTAGGGCTGGCTCAGGTGAGTCCTGAACCATCCCTTAGTTATGCTGCTATAGGCCTAGACTGCCGGGGGATTTCCTATGATGCACTGAGCTCCTCTCTCCTCTACTTTCTCTCCCTCTGTATGCAACCTCATCCCATTATTGCATGTTACTAACACAACTTCTCCCCTTTCTGGTAGTCTTGTGCTTTCTCGTCCCTCTCCTCTCTCCTCCTATCACTTCCTGCAGGTTTTCTGGCTCTGGAGCTGTGGAGTCTGGATCTGTGGCTGCGGGTCACCTGCTGCCCCCGTGTTCCTGCTCGACACCCTCTGCTACAACAACTATTGTTACTAGTCCTATTGTTATTATTGTTATTATATTCATTAACATTACAATTATTATCATTAACACTACTATACATATCTATACAATTTTTCATTCATAGTCATTTAGTCTATAGCAACATCACCTTTACTGTCTGTACCTCTGTGTATATTGTGTAGGCTGCCTCCCCCTCTCTCTCCTTCCATCCCTCTCTTTTTCTCTCTGTTCCTCTCTTGCCCTCTCTCTCTCTCTCTCTCTCCCTCTCCCTCCCCAACCGGTCGAGGCAGATGGCCGCCCACCCTGAGCCATGGTTCTGCTCGAGGTTTCTGCCTCTTAAATGGAAGTTTTTCCTTGCCTCTGTCCCCCAGTGCTTGCTCTTGGTGGGAATTGTTGGGCTTCTGTAAATAACATCACAGAGTGCAGTCTAGACCTGCTCTTTTATGAAAAGTGCTGTGAGATAACTGTTGTTGTGATTTGGCGCTGTATAAATAAAATTGAATTGAATTACATTTTTAAACGTCAAAACGAATAAAGTTTTTACATTTAGTTGTATTTAGTGTACATTGTAGTGTCACTAACCTGTCTTTGGGTGCCACTGTGCCAGTCATGGGCTGCAAAATGAGGCTGGACTGCTGGTCATCAGAGAGAAGAGATGACTGGTTGATAGAGAAGTGGAAGGGCTCCTCCTCTCCATTCACCAGATCGACTGTCTGTTTTACTTTGCGACCTGTGCAGGCACACACATGCACACACACACAATGCTTGTACTGTGAACCTCTATTAAGGTATCATGTAACTCTAACCTTAACCAGAAAACCCAGTCCTAGTGCCTTAAAAAATTGAGCATTGCCTCAAAAGACTCATAAACACTCATACAAATAGAGCCGTCAATAGTTTGAGCCCATAATATAAGCAGCTTTACAGATTTACACCATAGAATTTTACTATGGCAGAGATCAGTAATTAAGATCAACCAAGGATGTTTGTTGAAGGATTTTAATTGAGCACAGAATTTTCCCATTATTACAGTAAATGAGGGCTAAGTTAGCAGTTTGTATTAACAGCTTGTGAATTCTCATTTTGCCCCCCAAAGAAGTATGTGTATGTGTACAGTATGAGACAGGAGATTTAAACAATACATTATCCACCCATGATAAACAGTGACCTGCTTCATCAACAGTTGAAATCTGTTATGGTCAGATAGACTTGGAATTGGAACTGTGTTTGAATTCCCATGGCACTTGTTCTATTTAATCGAAGTGGATTATATTGTTATTCATTTGATAAATTCATTACACTTCATTTCAAAACCACGCACTGCTCAAAAAGCCCAGAGGCAAAGAACGAGCCTGACACAGTAGCTGCAGTCTGCAAGGTTTCATTTATGGGGATTTACAGGAGCGTTGTATTTATTTTATATCTAGAGTATGTTTATGAATGTTTTTATGTTAACTATAAAAGGGAAAAAACTTCATCTTTCATCAGGGGGTTAAATATTTTTGTTATAAGGCCAGATTTGGATTTGCACAGGAGTCTGTGGAGACTCCTGAGGACAGTCAGGAGTCAGGTCTTATATTGGAAATCATATTCATATTGTTCACATTTTTATCTATTAACCACATGGTTTTATTTTAATTTGCCTAAACCTAGCCATACCTTAGTCATGTCTAAGCGTGTACTGTTGAAATACACAAATAAGACAACACTTTGACAGTGAACTACAGACATAAGTGTATGTACTGTATCACACAAAATATATATGCACTTCAATGCCAAAATTCATGCACCATTAACCACACAAGAAAACTCAGAGAAAGCTTTGCTTTGTGTTAAATATGTGGTGCGACGACTTGAAATAGATGAGTGATGTTACTGTGTAAATGAACGTACAAGCGTGTGTCTATGTATGTTACATACCAGCAAGCAGCTCTCCAAAGTCAAGGTAAGGTCTGTCAAAATAGACAAGTGGTTCTCTAGTGGTGCCCACACACAGGAAGGGAACAGACAGTGACAGAGTTTCAATCAGAAAGCTCCAGAATGACTCCACCGCATCCAGCTGCTCAGGAACATATTCAAAACACACCTGCACACACACAGAGACAGAGGATCATGAAAAAAATGGCTAAAAAAGAAAATGGCTAAAATTTTCAGAAAAAGAAAGGATATGAAGAAATGTCTGAAAGAAGTAGAAATAAGGGAGAGTGAGAAGAATATAGATGAGGAAGAGTGGAAGGGAACAAGCTCGGAGTGATGAACAAGCTCGGACAGATTAGATCAGATGAGTTGAGCTGGAAATTGATAGGATTTTGATTAAACTAAATTAAAATGGTATCAGATTGAATGGAAGGAATAAGATTAGATCTGTTGTGATGAAGTGGGACATGGGGAGAGGGGGAAACTGAAACAGTAATGAAATGGAGATCAAAAATTCAAAATGAGGAAGGAAGAGATAGTGACTGATGTGCAATGAGATGAAGAAGAATGGGACAAGGTGAATTAGATATTGTAGTTGAAGGAAACTGGAAGACAAATGTTACAAGATACCACCACCCCATAGAGCAATTTCACTGTGTGTTTCCATCCTTACTTCCACTTTCTTCCCAGGCAGGATGGTACCACATGGGGTGAGGCAGTAGAACGGGCTACCACCTGTGTCTTCACACCTCCACTTGAATGAGTAGGCTTTACTGGTTGGGTTCATCACACTAAAAGATCTGTGGAGTGAACCAAGAACACACATGCATATTCTAAGTGCTCACAATGATGGAGATAAAAAAGTTCACCTCTCTCTTGCTCTGTTACCTTGTTGATGGAGTAGAGAGCCCAACAGCGTTGAACTCTATGACCCTGGTGTTTGGGTTCAGAGGGCCCCTGAATTCAGGGTTGCGGCGGATCCCATTGATATAGTCTGAGTCCTCCAGGTCAAAGTGGCAGTGAGGCAACAGACTGCGGCCACACACCAAGATACAGGGAGCCTGATCACCATCCTGCAAGTTAGGAATACTGAAAGAAAGGCATCCACATACCGACAGAAATAAATAACAGAGTCTGTTATATTGTTCTTGTGAAGGCATTCTTCTTTAAGGTCATCCTGTCCTTCATAAAACCAGAGGTGTTTTAAAGAGGTAAATAAACTACAAACACATGTAGTTTACAATGACACTCAGGGCTCAGGGTGTGGCCAACTTTTTGTTCTCAGTACATGTCTGTTGCAGCATGGTAGAGTTTAGAAAATAAGTCAGATCGTGCTCCTATCACTGAAAAATAAACCAGATTTCAATAACTATTTAACTATGGCATCAATTATATAATTCTATTCTTTAATTCTTTAAAATGTGAATTTTTAAAGAACAATTTACTACACCTGCAGAACAGCCTGCCTTGAAAATTGGCCACCTCCAGAGGTGAAAAGCGAATGCTGAAATTCTGCTTTGCACCGGGCTCTATGGCCCCTACACTGGGCTCGATGCTGACGGGCGGACGCTCAGGATTCCCCACCAGAAGCGGCATCACACTGGCGGGACAGGCTCCAATTAACATTCCTGCTGACCTGCTGTCTGGTGGAGAGGTAAGGGTCCCATGCTTTACATATTCATATTCACATTTACACAGTTTCAAAAAGCATTCAAATACAAATAGGTATTTCAAATACAACTGTGGAACATAATGGTACAGCATGAACTGTTACAGCTTTTCTCGATTGCTCAGACATATTTCTTGAAATTATGCCTCTTTTTCTCAAAACTCTAAACACAAATCCACAACTTCTCATCCAGTTCCCCAAACATCCCCAAATTTCCTATTTTTAATGGAGAAAAACTGTAATGCTGATATTCAAGGCCAAATCAAATGCTGACAAGTTGACCACATCAAATACAATAAAACAACAGTAATATATATATATATATATATACCTCCTTGGTCATAGTTGACGATGTTGTTGCTTGGTTCCATGAGGACTTGGAAGGAGAATTCCAGTTTGACAGCGCCATTATTAACTATCTGTAGCCTGAACACATAGACACACAAACAGACAATAAACATATAAATGATTTTAATGCGCTTTACTGAAACCTATTGTGACTACTGTGACAGAGTGTCAGAAAGATATGTAATGGGAAGGCATCAGGAGCTCCAGTTTGAGCTCATGGCTTCATTTTGGTTATCAGTATGGTTTTTTAATCATCTTTAGTATCTGACCCCTTGGGATGCCCAACAAATCTTTTTGGGGTATAACTGGCTGCCTGTATATTTAATTGAGGTTTAATGAAAAAGTGTCTGACTTACTGATGGATCCTGGTTTGGTAAAGAAGTGTGTCTTTGAAGTGGATGGTGTTGGTGTTGCAGCTGAACTTAACATAGTCACAAACTGCGCTGATACGCAGTTCCAGCTCCCACAGCGAACCCTCAACCACAGAGCAGCAGGGCTCAGGATCTGTCTTTATCACCTGCATGCAAACATATACAACTATAATTGTGAACTGGTAAACTCTCTCTTCAAAATCTCTTTTAACTCACAGTCAACACGTTTACCTTATTCTTCACAGGCTGCTGTGGTTCTCCTGAAGCCTCCTTGGAAGAACTCAGCCACTGCACTGTCCTCTGCCGGTCGTCCCAGTCAGCTACCTCCTCTACTGGCTGCTGGAACTCCACCTGACAAACTTTGCATCTCATTGGCATGCTGCTCAAAGTCACTGGTTGACTGGAGCAAAAGGTGACAGTCACTTCCTTAGAACAACCAGCATGAAGGTGTCCGACCTGGGAGAAAAAGCAGAATCCTTTTGATAACAGTATTATCCAAAGCAAAACAGCATAGTTTCAGACTGTTAATATGTAATATCATTAGAACAGATATTATGTTGTACTTTTAGTCCCACAGAGACCCAAAACGACCACACACTAGAGATGCAAAACAACCACAGAAACCCAGAACATCCACAAATTTATAACATACAAAGTAAGATTATTTGGCATTAATTTGTTATACTGAATAATTAATGTAACTATCGATAGTGTACAATTTATTACTGGCAAGAACCAGGGCTTTAAATATGAGTCTTAAGACATTATTTCTTTCTAAACCCGCCCCTCTTCCACAGTCACACTTTCATTCCTTCCTTCAGTGTTTTACCTGTGGTGAAAAGAAGACATGGGGTCCAGCTGGAGGCCATTCAAACCTCACCACCTGGCTGCTGCTGTGGTTGGTCATGGTAAAACTCTCTTGGTAGGGACAATCAACATGGCAGTCACCAAAATTCAGCACCTCATAATTACCTGTGAAAGAGAAACAGTCTTTGTAGAAAAATCCAAGATAACAAGCTATCTTAATAAATCACAATGGCACTTACAGCCTTTCTCTGTGCAAAATCACGTGACTGCTTCTCTGGTTGATTAATATATCTACTTTATACCTCTTCCTCTCCATTCCTAATATGTGATTAGTTTCCTGCCCTCCTTTCTTCTCTCACCTCCTTCATCATCTTCCTGATCCATTTCCTGCAATGATCTGCCAATGTTGTCAAGAGAGACAATTTCCTGGTAAGCTTCTCCGCTCACTCGTATTATGGTTTTGCTGTACTGGTTGTCCCCCACTTGCAGTGACATCTTGGCCTTGATGCTCAGGGGCTCGTAAGAGCAGAAGTTGACCTCAAACTCCACCTGCTCGTTAACATTCATACTCAGGATGGCTCTGTGCACCAACTGATGCTCTGTGGACGAAGGAGTGTCACTAATAAGAAATGTGTGATTTTTCTACTGTTGTGTGCACTCAACTGTTTTTTGTTTCATCACAAGGAAGACATTACTATTCTCCGAATAAATTGCAAAATTCATTTTTTTATTTTTGTCTCCTGCAATGCAAGCTGCATTCTTGGGTCACTGGGGTGGATAACCACTTATTTATAAATAAGTATCAAAATGTGACAAATGACACAAGTTGCACAAAACCGTATGGCTGAAGGGGAATTTTCAGTAGTTGTACATAACATGCTAAATTATAAATGTAAATGCTCCGTATTTGTATAGCGCCTCCTGAGCCCCAGTGTCACACAGTTTGTCAATTTACAATTCTGCATGTGGTTTTGGGATCATGTAAATTATAACCATAGTCTCTCTGGGAGATTGTCAAGTCTGTCTACTCCTGCATATGTGAACAAAAAGCCTTTTGGAGAGAAGAAAGTGAGTTACCAGACCTCTATAGCCCGCTCCTCATCGCTGCTGGAGGCCACAGTTGCTGCTGTCCCTCACCCAACTGTCTAAATATATTCTTGCAATTGCACTACTACTAGTGAAAGATGGGTTGCAATCACAGCTGACATCAGTCTGTGTCGTGAGGGGTTCAGTGCCCAGTTATTAGTGTAGACAGGGGTACAATAGGGACTAATGAATTCTATAATACTGAGCAGCAGCAGTAACAGTAGCAGTACTGCTTGGGAACTGAGTAGTAAGAACAATCATACACACAACAAAATGAACAGTATATTGACACCTTGTTGCAAAGGAACCTTTGGCATTGTGTACAATTTGTAACTACTAAATCATTATGTAAGTGAAGAGGAGATGCAATGTACTGCAGACAGAGTTTTACAGGTTAAGGTTGTACCTGTTGTGCCCTCAAGCTGTGTGGAGTCAATGGAGCTACAAGTGTTGCCACGAGCAGCTTTGAGGGTGAACACACCATGTTTATCCAGCATGTCAATCTGGACCTACACAATACAGAGCCACAAAGTACATTAAGTGACACTACTTTACAACGTTGTTGTGCTAAAAGAACTTTGTTTAAAAATAGTTTGGGGATGCCCCAAAATCAATAATGAGGACTCCTCTCACCTGAGCCGGAACATTTCCATCATTTAGCAGAACCAGGGACAGGGCATGTTTGCGCCCTACCAATACTCGTTTGAACTGCAGCAATGGGCTTCCTCCACTGTTCCTCAGAGGTGGACGCACCACACACACGCTGGGCAGAGTACCCTCTCCTGTTAGGTCAAATTCTAGCACCTTGCTCTTGAATGTTGGGGTCATTCTGGATCAGACAGAGAAAAGAGTAGGTGGGTAGTGGTCAGCAAAATAAAGGTGATACTGTTCTTTTACTACAGTCACAGTAGTAGCAGGAATAAAATAAAATAAAAACATCATCAAAGAGAACACTAAAGTGGCATACACAGTCATGCACTCATATACCTGCTGGTTCCTTCCATTGTAGCCTCAAACACAGCACTGTAGAGCTGCATCATCTGGGGTGTGAAGGTGACCACAGCGAATGAGTGTGACTGGCTGGGAATGCTCAGTGTTGTAGCAGACAAATCAAAAGCCTCAACGTTACGGGATGTCTGTAAGGAAATACAGGATATTTTTGACCTGCTAACTACCATCTACCACAGTCACAAAGCGTTTGTAAGCACTTATCCATGTATCTACCCACAGAGCTTTACATGCCCTACCTTAGAAGCAACATATTTGATGGCCAAGCTGAGCACGCAGGGCACCTTAGTGTTGTTGGTGAGTTTGAAGCGGGCCTTAGCGCTTCGCCCAACTAGGACTTTGTTGAAAATAAACTTGTTCTCATCTTGGACATAAATGCTTTCAGCATGGCAAAACTGCTCAGAGGAGAGCTGAGCGCTGTTGTAGCACAGATGGTGTTCCTCAAAGATGGAGGCCATGTCTAATGCTATTCCTGGGAAACAAAAAAAAGAAGTCAGATACAGTTAGTTAAAGGAATAGCACTTGATGATCGACCACTTTTGTCCCTAATGTGGACCATCTAAATGTTTACTGACTGTTTTCCTGAATGCAAATTGTTTGTGCCCATCAATCATATAAAACACAAGTAGATCATATATCTCTCACCTGGTTTGCAGACTTCAGCCAGCAGTCTGTATGGTATGCCGTCAGGCTGGTCTGAGGGGTCACGGTCACTGATGTCAATCAGCAAACCCTGGTTCCAGTTGCCCAGCTGTTCAGCTACACAATCCACTGTCACCACCTGCTGAGACCCTGGCTGCAGGCTTCCTGTGCAGGGAGACACTGAGAACACCCCCATGGTGAGGCGATTCTAGAGGGAAACATGTAAGGATGTAGAAAAGTACAGATGAATATACTGGGGAAACAACACAAAATGAGACTAATTTAACTTGATTTAAATAGCATAATGAAAATGCGTTTTTTTTCTGTTGTATAAATGAAATATTTGTTATTTCACCCAAAAGACACAAAACTATACTGCTACGCCGACGTGCAGATTCAGAGCGCTTCTTTATATTTTGAATATAAATGACTTGATTTTGGGGTGAATATTTCACGTCACTGTTGGTGGGGGACTAAAACTCTCCCACGGTGCAGAGCAGAGGGAGAGACGCTGTGCTGCTGCAAGAAAAGCCGCTGACTGAGATTACTCGGAGCAGGGAATAAATTAGCCTAGAATGTAATGGATTAGTGTAGGCACATTTCTCACTTTCCCCATGTTTGTCTGAATAACTCTAGATTTGGCATTGGACTCGTAGTAGAGAACGAGATCTGTTAACTGTTTTTGTACCAAATAGGTTGACTAGACACTGATGTTCGTCATACTGCAGTTAAATATTTTAATCAAAATGATTGCTAAGGACAATTCAGTATGCTGGATATTGGTAGGGACATGTCCTACTGTCCCTATTAAATGCTACTGCATGGATGAGCATAAGCAGTTACTTTCCTTTACTTTAAAAAAGTGTGTCTATCTTATACGACACCTTCTGAATAAATCTTGCAAACCTCCAGCCTTGCTCACATCAGAGCAGAGCACTCCTTTTTATTTGTTTTGAAATGAATCTGATTCATAGACCTTTTCACAGCAAACGTGTTCCTGACTTGTTTTGTGATTGTTACTTGTCATATCAGGAAATGCACAGGTGGAACTAATAACATTAAAGATGGCTCTGCTACCAATTAATGATAAAGTCACACCTGTGTTTGACAAGTTAAAATACTGCTTTGAAAAAAGTCTGTTCTACTTTCATAAATGTGTAAAGACCAGCATAACTAGCATTATGTTACATCATTTAAAATACAAAATATCATTATCATTATGATTGTTTTGCAATTAATTATGGTTTAATTGTTTAAACCATAATTAATGTTAGCTTGACTAATTAAAATAACATGAATATTGTAATTGACAATAGGTGCTTTTTTGTCATTTCTATGAACTGATCCTTTAAGCGACCTCTAAATCAGAGGCATAAATCTCGCTATGCTATGCATACACTGTATTTACCACAATGAGAAATGTAAAAGAACACTCATTGATTACCACTGAGAAAATGGTTAGAACAAACATGGAGAAACAAAACAGAAACACTTTCATTGTTGTCATTTCCACAAGCAGTCTCTCACCTGTGTAATACTCATGTCTTTCTGGAAGGACTCACGTCGCACTTTGAAACTGGCACCAGTGGGTCTCCCTGAATGACTCTCTTGTGGCATCTTCTTACCTGGACCCCTGCGACCAGTTCCCGGGGACACAAACCATAATTTAATTTAAACATCTTTACATTTTCTTAACTGATACCGGGAGTAGGGTTTGTAGTCAATTCAGTGGTCTGTCCACTGACCAACACAGATCATTGGTTAATAGCACGAGGGGCACGGAAGCAAGTGGTGTAGACCAGTTAGTGAGTGGTCCGTGGAGTGGTCTTTATGGTCCTAATCCACCTTCTCTTGCTCTTGCTGTAGTGGTAACTCGAGTGGTTAGCCGAATGTCAGAGATGTCTATGTCTATTTTGTAGACTGTATTGTCGATTATGCCTTTATCTGTCTATCTATCTATCTATGCATAGCATCTGAGTCGTATGTGACTATTTTATTTAATGCTTTAGTAAATATAAACCAGTGGTCCAAACAGTCTTTTTGGTCTGGTCGCATTTTCCTAATCCTCCTTTGGCTGTGTTAGCCCACACTTTTGTTAGCTATGAATGCACTTGAAGGTGACAAATAAACTCCACAAATCATATTTTGTCTATAAATCACATTCTCTTGTACATTAGGTCCACAAATTACAACCTTTATAAACATTTATCAGGCAGAGTTTTACACCACCCAAACTATCTCATGTCAGTTGGAAAAGGCCTTGACCCACAAGCACACATGCATACTTAACCACACTGAATAAGCTTACATTAACCTAAGCCAAAGGGATTGGCAGCAAAAAAAATGCTTCAGTGAAGCTTCATTTGTAAAGTGTATTACATGTTAATATGGGATTCGTCAAATATGGCAGCAGACATGGTTCAGCATGTACAGTATTTCATCAACAAGCCAAGAGCATCTGCGCTGAGCTGCTACTTTTAAATTTATTTTGCTTTTAAATAAAAAAAGTACTGTTCCATTCCAGCTTCATTCCAAAAGTGTTAAGCCCTGTGTTTCTGTGTATAATGTTTGTTGGATTGTTCTGTTCTCCTACCCTGGCCTCCCTGGTGGAGCAGGATCCATGATCATGCGGCAGATGGTAAAACGTGTCTCAAAGACTCCATTGTTCTCAATAGTGAAGCTCTTGCTTTTCTTGGAGCCGTAGATCCGTGGACCAAAGTTAATGTCACATGCAGGTGTGATCTTGTACCTAAAGAAGGAGCACACAACCAATTCACAATTTGTGCTTCAGCCGAATCTTGGAACTGCCTCCTATCAAAAAAATAATGAAGCTTGCCGATTATGATGGTAAGTAATGCATTTTGATGTATTCTGTAAAGCATAACATGTACTAACTGTGATGTATGAAAACGATTAAGATTATCATTCAATAGAATCCAAAAATAAAGTTTAGTGAGGGTTAAAACAATCCAAATCACAAATTGCTTCTCATTTACATTAGATAAATATAACATAAAAGAGAAAGTATGAATCAACCCTTAACCTGGAGAAGACAGACTTGACTGAAACCTTGATGGCTAAGATTGCTATGGTTTCTCCTCCACTCCCAATGCTGGGTTCAATCACCTGCATATGAGAAAAACAACATATTCCAGTAACTCATGAAGCAAGTTGTATTGTCATGACTCTGCTTCTACCTTGTATCTGTATTTGAACAAATTACAAATTGGGTGAAACCTGACAAAGCAATCACAGGGTCTGGGAGCATCTTACTTCCATATTTAATGTTGTATAATCATGTTTGGTTTGGTTTGTTTTTGTGCTCTTTATCCATTATTGGATATTAAAATTGACATGTAGACGGTGTTAATGAGCAGAAGGAGTCCCCCCAACCTAGAGATGTTGTGATTATACGGGATGCATCCTGGCCACCAGTGCATGGACAAATGAAATTTTAAATCTTCATAAACATTTGTCTTATACCCATGTGTGCCTAATCTTTGGCTAACAAGGTTAGAAAATCCTTCTCCATTCCATTATGTCTTCAATATGTAGTTGAACCTCCAGTTCTGTGATCATTAAGACCAGTGTATGGCTCAGACCTGGCAAGGCAGGACAGGTTGCTCTCTAATTAAGACTTCTGTTTTGGGTCTGCAGAGGATCTGCACTGTTGTGGCCTTCTCGTGGGGTGTTAGAGTACCACACTGGGGGGACACCGTGAAAATGGAGTCTAGGTTTGGCTGGGTTGGGTTGGTCTGCTGAAATGTGAACCTTGTGGAAAGAAAGGAATGCAAGTGAACAACTTTATTAGTACCTTGGTGAAATCAAAATCACTTACAATAATGTGGAACTCAGACTGATACTATGGCAAACTGTTAAGTCAAAAACTAGCACCTCAAACTCACTTGTAGGCTATTTCATATTTTCCTTGGTTTTTCATCCTGAGAGACAGTTTGGCCTCTTCAAAGACTTTGATCGTTCCAAAGTCCAGACAGCCATCTGCCAGAGAAACAAGAGTATATAGAATATTGTTTTTAGGATCCAGGAGTGAAAATCCCAAATGTTTAGTTAGAGAAGACAAATTAACCTATTTAATCTACCAGTTTCTACCTGGTGAGATGTCCAGAGCTATATCATAGGCTTCAGCAGTGACCTGTATGTTTTCGGTGTGTACGATTCCTAGAATCTTCGCCACGTCAGATACCTGAAACAAAACACACAGCACACGCTGTACATACATACATATATACATACAAATATGTATGAAATACCCAGTTTGACACCCTCCACATCTATCTGCATAGGCTTTGTCCATTTTCATCTGACTTGATTTTACATATTTTTGAATCACCCTTGACATTCGCAGGTGCTTCTGACTGTCTAGATCAACATTTGAATAACACTGAGTTCATACTGTTATTAATGTGTATTTATATTACTTTACCTCCAGACGTAAGATCTTCTTAATGTGGAGTGGCTTCCTGGCCCTGAAGTGCAAGCTCAGGGGGATAGAGGAGTTAGGTGAGATGATGCCCTCATCCTGTGGCACACTGAACTCATCGCCCAAATCCTCCGCACCCTGCAGTCTCCAGGACACCGGCAGAGCTGTCTTATTGTGCAGCATCACACTACGGCTGTCCTGCCTAGAAAGAAAGTTGGAAGAAGGCCGGTTGGGTGGACAGAGGGATAGACAGTTTAGTTCATACAAGAATTCAAAAATAACCTCTGTAATTAACGTACAGTATTTCAACTTTATCATGTTTCTTCTCTATTTGGAGGGCCTGCACTGTGCAAAAATCCCATGTAAAGGTATTGATGAAAAAATGTGTATTCCAAGATTTAGTACTCTATATTTGGTACCTGTGCAGCAAAACCCTGTCAAAATGCAAATGCTTGCTTTCCAGCTCCAGCATTGGCCGAACACCCCAGCAGGAGAGGTTTATGATGACAAGCTCTGGATTGTCCTTGATATAGCAAACAACACTGTCCTTCATTTGTCCCAGTTTTGTTGGGTAGGCCCACACTGTCAACTCCTAGCAGGACAGAGAATATTTACATGTACTAATGCTATTATCATCTGTATTGCTTCAAAGGACACCAAAATATTCACAATCTTGTATGTTCCCTTTGCTTTGGTCATTACATCATCAGTTTTCTGAATGAGAGTGTTAATAGACTAGTGCTCTGGTACCTGTTTCTGGTCAGGTTTGAGAGTCATGGTGGGGGGGTACAGCAGATATGTGGTGGCCTGGGTATCATGCTGGAAACTGAATTGGACCTCAGCCTCCAGACCTGAATTGTTATGAATCACCAGTCTCTCTGTGTTCTCTGGGTACTTATTTTCCTTGTATCTACATAAACACATGTAAATCTGTAAATACAAAGGCAAACGCTGATACAAACGCACAAAGCCGTACACTGCCATCACTCTGCCTCTCACCTGTCTCTGGTCTTGCCACAGAGTAATGGTCCAAACTCAAAGTATCCAGGTGTGATAACATAAGTCTTCTGGGTCCCTTCTGTCATTTGTGGCACCTTCTTACTGAGGGCAAAAAGAGTCCTGGGAAAACCACATATGATAACTTTAAGTCTAACATGTCATGTAGTCACATTAGTAAGAAAAATAATGTGACTAATGTAAATATATTGTTAGTAATTCCTTATTATCAATAGCTTTTTATTATTAAAAGGACGAAAAAGGGACACAGTGACAGAGGAGCAGCAGTAATAAAGAAAACAACAATGTGTTATTAGAAGTGGTATTGAAGAGGACCACACACATCACAGCAGTGACATTTGCAGGTTAAGTTTACATGCTGTTTATGGTGCTACAGCTGAGGCAGCTAATTAGCTATCTAGCCTGCAAACTGACGTTAGCAGTGCTGCTCTTTTCCTCTGTGAATGTCTGTTTGGTCGCTCGTTCCACAAGCTAAGGTGCAGGACAAGACGTGTTCACTTTTGTAATTTAGATAAGGAGAGTTTAGCAGAAAAGCTGATGTGGGTTGTTGCTCAAAGTCTGTGGCTCTTGTGTTGAGTAGCAGGCTGCTGTCTGGCTGTTAGTCAGTGTGACTGTTGGCTCTGTCTATGATAGAAGGCTTTATTGCTTTATGCAAAGATTTGTTTGGCAAACAAATATTAGGTGAAATATCAAGACTAAAGTGTAATTATTATGTAGTATGTATTTGTATTCCCGTTCTCTTTCTTTACCATCTATATTACCGCATTACATTATAAAACAATGCTGACTGACATGTAGTCTTTGCAGATGGAGGGATAGGTGCAAAGTCCTCTGCAGGGGAGCTGGTAGTGTCTCTTGGTGCCCAGTAGCTCAAAGTTGAAAGTCTGTTCAAACCTCCCTGGGGAGTCTGAGTAGAACCAGATCTTCAGAACCACTTCACTGTTGGGGGGTACAACCCAGCGAAATCTGGTCAGGCTGCACACACACAAGCGCACACACACACACACACACACACGCTTAATAAAACCACAATATCAAAGCAAAGAAACCCAACAATGTCTCCTTGCAGAGTTTGTCTGGTTGTGTTTTAACTTGCCTCTGCTTGCGTTTCAGCTCCAAATTCCTTTGGTGTTGGTGTTGGTCCTGTTCGATGCAGTCCGACATGGAGGAGACGTGTACCTGAGGTGAGCGAGACCGGTCCGAGTCCTTTGATTTTGTCTTGGCTGAAGTTCGTCTCCTGCTCCTCTGACTCTCTCCGTCCTTTTTATCCTTGTCCTTTGTTACTGCACTCTCCTTAGTGCTGCCCTTGCCACCACTTTTGGAAGGTGTTGCTGCTGCCTCTACCTTTAGTGTGAACACCATTCTGATTTTAAAATCTTAAATCTTTTACATTTTTAAGATCAGTTTGTACTTTTGATTTATTGATTGTTATAATTTGGTTTCATAAACCTGTGAGACCAAGGTAGAGATGAACGGTAGCTTGTATTTCAGTGCAGGTAAATTCTTAGCCCTAATTATTCTTCTAAGACTGCATTTCCTGTAAATCCTGCTGGTTCTTGCCATACAAGAATGTAACTTCTTTGGACAAGACCATAACTTTAACATCTCAAATTTTTTCCACTTATGCATGTGTGTTTAAGTGTATATTCATGTGGTGTGAAATTACCATGACCTTTACAACTGATGTTTGTAAATCTTCCTCTGAATCTTTTTTCTCCTCACGCCGTTCGCCCAGCTCAGAGGGAACCAGGAAGGTGAAACAGTCACAGGTGAGTTGACTGTTAGATTGCTTTCTGGTTTTGGGGAAAGGAACCATGGAGAACGTGGTTGGAGGAAGGATGGGTGGGCCGCCAGGTCCAAACCCCAAATCCTCCAACACCTAACAAGACCAAAAGAGAGAAGGAAATAGATTAGGCAGCGATGATTAACTGGTGTAAAGTGAGAAGAGGGAAGACACATATAGTTAATTATACAAACTACAAAAACAAGACAAATTAGACAAGTCATACTTCATCCAGTGGAGGCAGGACGCTGCTGCTGAGCAGTTCTGTGGCACTCGGATAGTCTTTCCCTGTTACATTCAGCACAATGTGAGGGATGTCTTGTGGATACACCTTGTCTCCTGCCTTGTCTGCTTCAGGTGGTGCTGCCATCTGACTGGGCAGTGGAGACAATGTCTTGGTACTGGCTTTCTTGCTCCTCTTGCCAACAGGGGTCTGTGTACACAGGGATACACAGGATTAAAATGATGTATACAAAATTTAAAGTGTAGTAACACTGAGGCTTCCTTTGTCTATATGCAATTTATGCAAATGTAAAGAATTAACAGTTAGTACCAGAGGTTTTCTTTTTCTTGCTGAGTTCTATTAGAAAGTATGGTGTTAGACAGACACTCAATAGTAGTGTCCCACTGATGGCTAGCCCCACAGGAATTTCTTTTTCTTTGACAGCCAGTATGCCTAATCCTATGTGAAGACTCCGGGTCGGAATTTTCGTAAAATCCATGGCTGTTGTGAGCATGCACGCTCCGGAGCCTATCGTCTGCTGAATCTGTGCCGTACACACAGCAACACCGCAGCTAAAACCATAACATGTCTGGCTCCCAGCACAACACAGACTCCAACACAAACTCCACGTAAGGATAAAAACCAACAACAATGTGCAGGAGCCTCTCAGGACAAACGAGAATCAGATCGACGTCAGGTGAAAACACAGTCAACATCAGAAAGACTCCAGTCACGGAGAGACCTCCACTTTGTTTTGGGACTGACTAAACCGACACAGAGTTGTCTTTCATCCTATTGGACAGGTTAACTAACATTACTGAAAAACATGAGAAATATATTGTGATTTTGTGCTTTAGTTGGCTCAAGATAGATAACATAGCACGCCCACTAACGCCGAGCAGTTGCAAACATCATGTGGTGTAAAATTCTACAGTTTTATGGCCTTCCACATTACTTGAACAGCTAATGCGATCCATATTACAATCCTGTGTACCATCAGTATTATGTCAAAGTACTAAATGCATTCAGTGTCACGTTATCATGTAATGAGCATGGATTGCTAAAACCTCAAGCTGATAAAAATATTCCTGTAACTTTGCAGTGGGAGTTTAAATGAGTTTCCAGCATGTTGTGTGAAGCTGACCAGTGTTTCTGTCTGCACGATTATGCTCGCTCATTTTGAGCACACGTACGAGCACACAAAAGGTTTCAATCTAAAAACCGCACCAAAAACTACATATTGCCCCTTTAACTTAAGTATAAAGAAAATACAACTGACAGTCAGCAAACTCACCTGTTTCTCGGTTGCAGCATCCTCTGACACTGGTGGACATTCTTCACTGGGGAGCGGGACCAGTAACAAGCCCTGGACTCGGTCCCAGTGATGCAGGATGTGTTCGACCTTTTCCTGGATCCGCTCATACTCACTAAACTGAGACTGCAACTCATCCACACTGGACTGGGTAGGGAAACAAAGGTGGATAGTAGATTACAAAGAGGTCATCAGCATTTAACAGTAAGAATTGCTCTACAAATGGCAGAGGCTCAGTGTAGTTGTGAGGGTAATTCTAAACGCAACAGATTGTATGACTAAAATTGTCTTTACTTAATTATTACAAAAGTATTAACTAAGTTCAGAGCAGCAGTTTATTTTTCCACTATAATGTTCATGGCGAATTCGACAACAGTATTACATGTAAATGTGAATGTAATTCATTTGCTGCTATATTTTTTTTCATCTGTCATTAAATGTTTTTAAAGCACAGTAAATTCCCAGTATTCAGTGCTAAGTTTGATATCATGAACAACAGAGCCTGAGTGCAAGAGTGCAATTACAAATGAAAGAAAGGTATGTTCATTTTCTAATGACACAAAACATGCGGTTGCAGATGGTATTTTTTGTGTGAATGCAGGACCCATTATGGCATTATCTTAATAAAGATTCTAGAAATAGAAAGTACTTGTATTGAAATGTGTCGGTAAATGTGACACTAAATACTCATTTGACAACATGATGCGTTGCTGTGTGAGGTTCAGCGTGTCACTGCCTTCGCTCCTTAATAAACCCACAATTTCTCCCTCCAGCTTGTCTTCAGGTTGGGGAGACTCTGCCTGTAAAACTTTGGCTTCTTCTGTCCTTGTGTGTGAATGATCAGCCTCTTTGTTTTGATGCACTGTATTAGCAAAGAGGAACAATAATAATCCATGGTTACATTTTTGATCATGACTTTTAATAATCAGAATGACATTGATTTCTTAGTGTATTGTGTTAATATGTCCTGGAAGTTCCTACGTCCTGCATTGAAGCATGCTGCGATTACTTACACATGTTGGCACCTTCATTTATATTTACGTCCACTAGTGACTCTTTTGACTTGTTACAGGTAGACATCCTCCTCCCATTCAATGCATCTGATGACTGAAGAGGAAATGAAACAAATTAATTTTATTTGTGTGTGCTAATGGGAGCTTGGATATATTTTAGTTCACATTGGATTTTGTTTTCGTGAAGGAATGGGATACACATACAGACCTGCTTTCCCTCCACCAAGCTCTTCTTCTTTGATGCTTCTTTATTATCCTTTTTTGCCAGCTTTTTGCTCTTCTTCTTCAATTCTTCTTCTCTCAGCCTCTTCATCTCTTCCTGGTTCCTCTGTTCTTTGTGTACTTTTACTATTCGCCCAAGCTCCCTTACGCACAGATCACACACGTTAAGTACACCCACACACAGTTTTTATATTTTTTTTTATTGAAAATGTTCCCACTGATTGGTGGAAGCTTTGTCAGCTAATTCTCTGAACACTCTAATTAGTGTTTGTAAACAAAGCTCAAAAACTAGACTCTAGAGGGGACTTCAAACAAGTAATGTACACAACATGAAAAACTGGAGGGTTAAATGAGGACCTCATCCAGGTATGCAGACACATAGTCCAAGCTGATATGTATTTTCTCAAATCTTTATCTATATTTCTTTCACGTCCCCATGAACAGGTGGCATTTATTAGGCTGAAACAAGCAATTTACGACACGTTTGTCCAATTGAGCGAGTATGGTTTTAGGATAAGAATGCAAACATTTTCTTGCGTTAGGTCCAATATGTCTTGGAGTCGGTACCTGAGTTTGTGCAGTCTGAGCTTCTCTCTATGTCTCAAGGCAATACGCTCCTTCACCTCTTCTGGCAGAGCATCATACTCATCCCCATCGAGCTCCTGTAACCACTGCTCCTCCCTGTCAGCTTTCTCTTTCTTCAGAGCCTCTGAAGGGCACACACACAGACAGTTCAACATACTGTACATTGTTATCAACCTTACTGAGTAGAAATAATAATACGATAACTTTGATGAGTTCTGTCCTCTGTACACTCTAAGAATTTGTGTTTGTGTGTGAGCTGGTGCATGTTTTACCCTGGGCTTCTCTCTGTGCTGTCTCCCTTGCCTTCAGGGCAGCGTAGGAGTCAGACAAGTTGACTACATAGATGTGTTTGCGATTATTAAGGGCCTTGAGAACAACTTGCAGCGTGCTTGCTGCTGACTGAGTGTAGACAGACTCCAGGCTGCCAATCACTATGCCACGGTGACAATCGCTTAGCTGTTATCATGACGGCAGCACCAACAGCAATGACAAGAAAAAAGAGCAAAACATGAGAAGACACAATGAAACTTAGACACAATACATATCTGATATCTGCCAGTTTTAAGTTTAAGTGTTTAAGTGCAACTAGTTGCAAGCCTTTTTGATGTAATATTTATCTACTTGTCATCTGCACTATATTAGATTTAACTTTATCTATAGGTCCTGTGACATTGTGCTCTAGCAGTTAACTTTGAAACTGTGTCACACAGAATACTACTACTATATAATGCATATATAGCGCTGCCACCATCTTTCTAAACAGTTAACTAACCTGAAATCTTTCCGCCAGAATTTCAACCAGTAGCTGCTCGGGCAAGAGATTTCTGAATGTGGTCACATCTCCTCCCTGAAGTGAGACCACACCAAAAGAAATTGGTGATTCACATTAAATTATTACTTAATATATTCACAATTTTATATAATCATTTTATACCCAGACATAAAAGAGAGATTTTGCTTGCAAAGATAAATGTATGTGTAGATGTATCCAGTAGGTCCATAACCTGAATTTATAGAGAAAAAGCAAGATTTTCCCAATCCCAAACCTACTAAAATAGTTAAACATCCCAAACACAGCAGATGACCAGAGGACTTGAGAAAATGTACCAGGCAAAGGGCGAAGTCTTTGTTTTCGGTCTCCTGAGGAGCTTTGGAGTCATTTTTACTGCAGCTGTCCTCTCTGAGTTTTGCAAGAACTTCCACAGTGTCATGTGAAGCTGCAGCTGAATTTGTAGCTGGATCTGAGGATTCAAGATGTGGTGCAGGTCCCGGTTCTTTGTTTTTTTCAAAGGACTGAGCTGGAAGCAAATGGGTTTATTTATTTTCACCTTCATTTATCAATTTAAACCAGACACTATGCTCTTCTGCAGTACTGTCCTCTGACTATCTGTCACGCTCGGTCCGTGACCAGTGTATTTGATAGTGTTTTTGTGGTTTCTCTGGTGTGTGGTGTGGGTGTGGTCTCTCTTAGGCACCTGGCTCTCCGGCACAGCTGCTGACAATCAATCAAGCTCCTGCTGAAAAACTCTGATCTCCAGTCAGCAGCGCCAGATTGTTGTACTCACTTCAGTGGTAACAAACTCATAGACAACTCTCTAGTAAGCTTCATTTGTCTTGTGAGCTAACCTCTTGTAACGTGTTTTCTCCTTTTTGCCTCAGTGCCTTCCCGTCTGCCATACCGATCCGCCAGCAACAGGACCTTTTTGTTCCCAACTACTCTCCACAACAACCCCACTAAAACCCTCTGTTTAATCATTAAAATCCTTTTGTGAGCTTCAACCAGCAAGTCTCTGTCTGCTCTTGAGTCCAAACCTGCATTAAATATAACACTATCAAACACTTCTAAAGCCTAATTGAAGTGCCAGGCTGCCTTGCACAATCACAGACTTTGTCTGACTGCTGAGTCGTTCCCGTGAAGAGGATGGTGATTAAATGCCTTGCTGATTGGCACATATGGGAAAGCACTAGTCTGGTCATTACAATAAGTGGCTTGTGATTTGACCTGCAGGCTAATGCAACTACCCAAACAGATACACAAACCCCCCATTTGAGTATTTAGATCTTATGCTTACCAGCCTCCTCAGCCTTCTTGTCAGCATACTCCGCAGCAGCACAGTCATAGAGTCGTCTTGCGGTCAGGCTAACAGGCGATGCGCCATTTATCAGCACATCTGTAACCACAGCATCAACACTCAAACACGCACCTCCGTAGTGACGAGCGAGAGCAGCCGCTGTGCTGCTCTTATCTGGAAAAAGTGGAGCAACAACACACACACAGTTTTACATATTCATTAATCCAAGCTAACTGAGTGGTGATTTATGTAAAATATCAAGATTCTGCAAATTAGGTGATATAATTTAATTTTATCTACACTATGTAACTGCTTCACCTGTCTGCGGGGCTCCATATACAATAACAGCAATGCCTCTGCGGTTGCGTGCAGCCAGACCCTCAGGTGACAGGTCAACACACATGTGGCGGGCAATTGCTCTGGAGACGGGGGTCATCTCTAGCTGCCCCAGTCTCCCACTGCTTCCCCCTTTGGTCATCTCCAAAACAAGTGAATGCGCAAAAGCCAAGCTGTCTGGTGGGTTGGCATTGTTTTTTCTGGACCTCTCTTCTTCCTCATGTGTGTCACCTGTCCCAGCTTCTTTTTCATCTGAGCCTGCCTTCAGCTCTGCTGCATACAGGCAGATTAGATTAAAACATGCAAGCACTGATACAGTATGCAAACACATGCAAGTATCTGACTTCAGTGCTTGCAGATGAACATGGGTGCGTCTCCCACCTTTCAGCTGGGAGCAGTAGTCCTTGTAGTAGACGAGCAGTTCTGTGGGAAGACTTTCTCCAGGGGCCCTGGGTGGCAGCAGTAATATGTTGTTCTCATCATAACCCTGCATCAGACGAAGGATCTAAATGGGACAAAGTAATTGGGAAGAGGTTTAGGGAGAAACACAAAAATAAACAGACAGAAGAAAATCTGATGTTGACAAGTGAGGGGCCAGGTGAGGAGATATGAAAAGGAGGAGAGGAGACTGGTAAATGTGCAATGTTTTGAGGGCAGATCATCTTTTGTCTTTCTCCAAGAGGGAAAGAGAAGAAGGAAAGATTAGGTGAAATTGTGTGTGTTAGATAAGCTAAAACTAACTTTCACTTTCTGTGACTATCTAAGGCCTGGGTAAGGCCCAAAACATGCGTTTTATCACGTTACAAATTTTCCAGTTAGAGATATTAAGTTATATAAAACAAAGCAACACAAATGGATTTAGTGGCAATATGTGGTTTATGAATAGGAAGTTGTAAAAGCATTGTGCAACTGCCTCTCTTGATCAAAGTTTAGACTGGTAATGATTTCTTGTGACTGATGGCTCTATTCCCCCCTGGTGGATGAAATGTTTATAACATCTGGTTCACGGAAGCTGGTTCTTGAGAGCTTTAAATAAGACAGACTGTACTAGAAGAAGACAATCCCCTTTAAATGGCTGAATAATACTGTATGTACTCACAGTATCATTAACTGTGTCATCTATCAACCTTGCTTGCACCCTCTCATTCCAGCATTCTCTCTCTTTCTTATACTTGTGTAGTCTTACATTCAGTCTATCAATTGCACGAGAGAAGTCTCGAATAACCCTGAAAAACATTTCACATTCAGATGTTTGTGGCCTTGTCTCTTGCCTTTCATGAATGTATATTAAAAAATAAATGTGTGACATTATTTCTTAAACTTGAGATAAAGAGAGCTACCTTTTCTTCCTCCAGATACTGTGTGTCGAACTCCAGGGAGTAGAACTCAATGGTGAAAGAGCAGGGGTTTTTGACAGTGACCTCAGCTTCAACCTCAGTGCTGACAGGCAGGCAAGGCCCCAGCTCCAGTGCAGACGGGCAGAACTCGAGTTGTGGCTCCTCACCTTTCCCCTGTGCTGTAATGAACACCTGCTGGGTGCTCTCAGCCGCACGGACCACTAGCTGCCTGCTGTAAGCATGCTGCAAAGACATACATAGTCGGTCAATATTTTGTTACAACTCTTTTATAGAACATGTTTCCACCATTTCATACAGGCAGTAACGCCATGATGCTCTGCTCTGCATTGTACCAAACTCTGAAATCAATTAAGCTCTTTACCCCCTCAGCAGGGCTGAACTTTATCTGGACGTTGACTTGTTCACCAGGGGACAGTGTGCCAGAGCAGGGAATAATCTCAAAAACCACTGGAGGTGGTCGCCAATCCTGCATGACCTTTTTACGCTGGTAGACAGGCAGAAACTTATCTACCTGAGTGAAAGCAAGAACAGAGGCAGGTCTTACCCTAATGCAGATTGTTTAGATAGTATTCTAAACACTTGGTTTTCCTAAAGCTAAAGATGTAAGATACCAGGTAAATCTAGTTTTTGTTACATGGATATCAAATAAAAAAATTATTTTGGAGAAGTTCATTGAATGACAGCTGTTGTACCTTTTTGAAAGACTTGACCTCCTCGGCTATGCTCCAGTAGCAGGGCACAGACTCGTGATTGAACAGCTGTATTGTCTTCACCTGATGGGGGGAGGTTATGTATCACAAAATATAAAGGGTTTTCACAACAACATTCTCACGCCCGTTTAGTTTAAACAGAGTGTACTGATTTTTAGTTGATACGTGGACTTCTTGCTGCTTCAGCATAAAATCACTAAGCACAGTTTTAAGATAATGATTTCACTTCTTTAAAGATGTGTTACCACAACTGAGTTTAAGCCCTTCAAGCATGTCAGTTTCGTAAGAGAAGTCCTTGGAAATGATCTGACCACAAGAGGGCACCGCAGTGAGGTGGCATAGTGGTCTCTCATTGGTGCCCCTCATTACTGTACCATGCACACAGGCAGCACTGTTAAGCTGCATTTACAGCATTTGTGCTTTCACCTACTTTCCTATTCTCCTGCATTTGCATGTTGATAATACAAAGTACAATAAAATGAGCAGTAAAAGTAAATTTGATTTAAAAAAATGTGTGTAGTAATCCAAGTAATCAGTGTAGGATATTATAAAATTCTACTATTTTAAATTATATATATATAATTATATATATATACCGTGTCATTCCATATTCTCATGCTCTATTACCTGACACATGCCGCACTGCACAGTGTCAAACTGTAGTGTATCCGTGGAAACAGAGATGGCCGGCACAGTTACCACTCCACACAGCCGCACCTGGACCATCGGACCACCTGTGACCTGTAAAACAGACAAGGACCCAAAATATTATACTGAATCAGAAATTATGCTATTTGTGCACGTGTATGTGTGTGTGTGTGTGTGTCCATTTGTACCTGTATTGGCATGACAACACTTATGCCCCCCATCTTCAGGTTGGCTCCTTGGGGGTCAAATTTAACTATGAAAGTCTGTGTCTCGCCACAGGGCAGGTTTTTCACTCTTTCAAATTCTGCACTGAAACCTTTGAAGAAGCAACAACACACGCAAGCCATTTTTTATTTTAAAAAAGGCAAAGTATTGAACACAAATCAATAGACAATAAAACAGCACAGTGAAAACTGAATGATTCATATCTGCAACTCAAATTTTATCCATTATTGAGATAATTTTCCTCTGCTATCCCTTTCTAACAGCTTATTTGCCTGTCTCGCTAATCCAGTATTATGAGTTTCATGTTCTATTATTTTTCCAGATGAGGTATGTGCATAATTGCACATACTGTAGCTCAAAGGAGGCAGAAAATTAGTTAGGCCCAAACTGTCAGTTTATAAATACTATTTACCACGTTCTTTGTAATTGTTGTACAGTAATACAGAGACAGCCCACGTAAATAAGAAACAGAGACAAAGAACTGAAAATGCCACAGGAACTATATTGTGTTACCTGTGCCAGCTAGAGATTTGCGATTGGCATGGAAGGACACGGCCACTGACCCGGTATTGGTGACATTTATAGTGTGACTGAGGACTTTGCCTGGAATGACATAACCAAAATCCAAAACATACTCGGGGAGCAGGAATCTGGGGGTGTGGGAAGAGAAACATAAATAAGACAACCAATAACAAGCATCATCCAAGTCACATCAAGTCTTTTTACTAAGCCACTACTTGCATTTTATGAATTACTGAGATTCGACAGAATTGTTTTGAGTTGTTATGATCATATTACTATATGTTATCATTTTACAAAACTATGTCATTTAAAAAGTTTTCTTTACATGTGTGAAATGTGTTTTATTTCAATGGAACACAGTTCACATCATGTTTGCCTTGAACATCAACTTGATTATTATTAAGTCATAATCTTCAGTATACATTTGGTGGAAGACAAACAAGGGATCACAGTATGGTATGGTATGGTAACATCCAATGCACACTATGATATCCATCAAGTACCACAAAACAAAAACATACCCAGCCAGACAGTGTTCATTAACCCAAACTCTTTGAATTACACAACACAGTTCTCACTTCAGCCCAGTGAGTGGACCATCTGTTCAGCCAAAGCGTGTGTGTGTGTGTGTGTGTGTGTGTGTATGAACATACTTGCTAAGTCTGTGCCACTTTCTGGAGGAACCTTGCGAGTCTCTGAGCTCCAGCAGGCTGCCGGTCACAGCGAGAGCATTCTGTTTGACCAGCGTTCTCTCGATCTCCATGTGAAGCAGCTCTTCATACTACAGGCAGCCGGCAAAAGATAGAAAAGCAAAAGGGAGAAAGAGACAGAGGGAGGGGTACATAAATCCTCAAAAGTTACTAAAAAAGTATTACAGAGTTACATAAGCAATAAAAAGCACGGTCTGACTGGTAGTCAGACTAGAAGTCAAAGCTCCCTTTAACAATTTGTCATTCTACTCATCACATATGCAGTACTTAAGTCTACAAGTTAAGTGGAATTGGTGATGTCTTAAATTAGCATTTTGACCAAAATAGGACATCTATTGCGTGTCTGTCCATCCTGGTAGAGGGTCCCTTCTCTGTAGGTCTTCTTGAGTTTTTTTGCTTCATTCCCCTGTTTTTGGAGGGACATAGGATATCTTTATCTAGACTAAGGGTCTAGAAAAATGTTTTATGAATTGTTGTTACATCATTTGCCTTATTTCTCTATCATAACAACAGATAGATGGTCACTGAGTTTTCTTGTGAATAAGGTGGAAATTATGCCAGTTTATCATGTTTTGCACAGGTATTGCAGATTCTCCTGGGGATCACAGTCTTTAACCTTATCTATGAAAATCTTTGTATTGTTATTTCATTGGTTAGGGGAAATTTCATGGATGTTGCTGGGGAAACACACCCATCTGTGAGTAAATATTCAGGAGGTAAAGCAGAGAATAGTCATAATAATCTTCATTGTAAATCAATGGTTCTTGTCTACTCCCTGGAAAATCAATATACAGATAAGAAGCAGAGATAGGCTGGTTACTAACACCTGTGATGTAGCAACCTTGCATATCTGGAAAGAAAATATATGTGGAACATGTAAACCATATATGTTGCATTATTTCTTAATATACTTTATATAATTAAACATGATTGTAACAAACATATATATGCTATTTAATGTTACATTAAATTACATTTAAATTGGTTTTAGTCCTTCTAGAGTCACTTATTCATTTTGTACTAGAACAAAACATTGAATAGTTTTCACACCATTATGTGCATTCTAACTAACCAACTCAATATTTTATGAGAACATGCTGACAAACCAAACTTTAAGATGATTTTTTCTTAATCCTTAAAAACAGCATTTGGGAAGATTCAAAGTTTTCTTTGCATAAAACTGTTGTTTATTTTAGTCACTGACGGTGAGTGTGCAGTTGGTCTCTGCTGTTGCTCCTCCACCAGTGGTAATTCCATTCATAAGCTCCTTGCTGACTCTATCTGTCTCCACAGCTGTTCTGGCCTGCTTCACCACATCACAGTAGCACTCATCTGCTGCAAGGGAATCACAGTGTCACACCAGTGTAGGAATAAAGAATTGGAGATGGAATTATTAGGGAGACCTGTCAATCAAGCGATTTTGGCTCAGTGTTTTCTAACACGATAAAAGGTGTTAGAAAGCAACACATAAAATAGACTACCTGCTAGGGGCTAAATTAGGTACTATGGGAACAAGACTTTGTGTCAGAGAACTTTACATTAACAATTTTCTTATAGGAAAGGATAAGCATAGTAATAGATAACAAACTATACTGCATTGTAAATGTTCATCCTTTGGCGTTTTGAGTACTGACACTGTTGTCCATTTGCTGTCTGTGTGTGTGAGTGCACGTCTATGCATACACAGGTTTTGTGGCAAGTTCAGCCTGATCCTTGGGAACACTCCCTCTCCAGTCAGAGTGATGTCCTGCGGTGGCAGGTAAGCCACCCGCAGCTGAAGCCGCTTCTCAAACACCCCAGGGATTCCCGGGATGTAGAGCATACGCAGAGATTGCTCTGCACCACCAGCAACATAACCCTGACACACACACAAAAAACAGGTGAATAAACACTTGTTCACAATAAATGACCCTCCTATATCTAAAACAGTGCCAAGATGAACTCACCATACTGGGTATGACCATGGGCCGGCCAGGTATGACTTCCTGTCCTTTATCATTTTGCTCATTGTCTTTTTGCTGCCGTGCATCTGACTGCTGCTCGTCCATATCCAGGGCCATCTTCTGTACCCCCGTCTCCTCGTCTGCCCCCTCATCGTCCTCCTGTAGGATGCTAAATTTGAAGCCCAGCTTCCCAGTATTCCTCAGGGTCACCTCAGCTTCCCCTTTATGATCAAACAGCTGGAAGATGACGTGAATTAGCTTGATGACAATTCCACCTTGTATATTTTAGTTGGAGGGTGTGCAATGTAAAGGTAATACAGTAAATTGTTGTTTCTAGAACAATATGCATGATGTTGGCCTCTGTTTGCACCTCACAGTTTATGGTGATAACCATAATAAAAATATAATAAGAAAGATGATGAGCTGGAAGTAGTTGTCTCCATGATATGAGCACAACGGAGCTGTTATTTGAGTGTAAAGAGAGAGAGAGCGTGTAAGAGACAGACAGATGGGTAGAGACAAACAAGAAAAGTGATACCAAAATGTCTGGAACTGTTCAAAGTTGGTCCCTTGTGGATGTGCAAAGGAGGTTGTTTTAGGACTTCCTAACGAATATGGATAAATCTAATCTTTGACTACAAGAAAACAACATAGACTCAGAGAGAAGGAGAAAGAATAGTGCTGAACAGACAGGAAGGTCAGAGAAAGGTTCTGCTGAATCGCTTATTTCAACTAAATCAAAAATCAATATGTCCTTGTTTTGAATATCAATGATAACTGGTCTGGATGGCTTGCATTCTTAAAGAGGGAGTGGCAGCGCAAAAGACCAAAGTGTGAAAAACTATGCAGTGACATTCAAAGTTAATGTGATACACCTTACCAGTCTTTTTACTGTGTAAAAAAGTGTGTTTGATGGCACTACATAACAGTAGATATTATGTCTTTATATTGTGCGATAATGACATACAAACACTTATCTCACAATCTGTTCCTTAGCATTAGATTCTATGATAATACAAACAAGTGGAATGGGGAAGAATAAAACACAATTGTTTGTCAAAACATTAACAGTAAGCAAAAGCAAATAATCATTAAACAAACAACAGAAACGCAGCTAACACGTTGTCATCCAAAATCACAAACAAAAGTCTGTCACACTTCTCCCAAGCCCGTCAGTGTTGTTTTGAAAATGGCAGAATGTATCATTCCCCCAAGTTTTGTAAAAATCTAATTTCGTCTGTCATGTCACACATGGATGAGCAACCAGATGGCAAAGGAAGAACAAGGATGCAAATTAACAGAAAGTAGATTAAAACATAGAAAAGGAGAGTTTTGCCCAGACATGAGCAACTCAAACAGCAATCTATCCTGCCTTCTTTGCCCCTACCAGCAGTCTCTGACTCCAGTCTTGGCCCTTACCCTAGCCATAATGATCTGCACATACTAAGCTGTAACAGCACTATTTGATTTGTAGAGTTTGTTGGGATAAAGACCTGAGAAGCTGAACTCTGAGTAAAGGAGACCTTTATATGTACCTGTAGACCGAAATCGATGTGGGTAGAGTCAAGGCTGTAGCTGATTACTGATGCTTCTCCTCTGAGTTTGATTTCGTACGTAGGCCCCTCCTCTACATGGCACTGGGCTACCACCTCTCTGCTGACATTTTTATGGCCGTAGAAAGACAATATGACCAGCTGTTGGTTCCCAGGTTGCAGATGACCATATATTGGCAAGATATCAAACACCTACAGACACAAAAAGAAAAGCAGACGAACTCATTTTGATTATTCCGATGTGCTGCTGTCATACTCTCACTCACTCCCCTATCATGAGCCATCAGATGAGAAGGTCAGTACCACTCTTTTATCTTCAGCTGAACTGTTGTAGCGTTACACTGCTCGACAAAGTTGCACTTATGCGTAGGAATAGTGAAGTTCTACAGTTGAGAAAATGTAGTTCCAAAGGAAATGGCCCATACTTGAAATTATATTGACTGTTTTTGTTGGGCCTTCTTTTAGATGGCTAAAATTAATTTTGCTGCTGACCCTGTCCACAACAGTATATTGCTTAGCTGCGTACAACTCCCTGCTTCTCCAAACAGGGGGTGCGCCAACTGCCATCTACTGCAGATAATACATTGACTATGGATAAGTACCTCATGTAAACCCACTTCAAAAAACCATATAAGATGTGCATGTGTGTCTACCTCCACAGAAACAGCATTGAAGCACAGAGACAGGGAATGACCCCTAACTCAGGGAAACCGTGATTTGTTTACATGTGAGCATTTGCCTACCTCTTCGACACACGGAGGGCTCTGTGTGCTGCTCTTATCATCTGCACCAGGCCTGGGGCTGAGAGCGACTGAATAGGCAGGAGAAGCCGTTAGAGCGAAGCTCCACCCTTCTTTAGTCTCCTTTACTGTATTTTTCTGTTCCTCCTCTGCCTCCAGCATATGTGTCTCTCTATGGAAGAAAATAAAACAAGCTGAAATCAAATATTTCTTTTCCCCACAACGCAAGTGAAATTATAAAGTCAGGCAAAAAAATGAAAAACAACTCCTGTAACTCCTGTAACAATGAGAAGACATGAGACAAATGATCAAAACCGTGTTCCAGCTTCATGAAAAGACAATTGAAAGCCTCATGATGAGGATAAGGTAGTAGAGTAACACATGTAAGCAGAATAATGCAGCCAACAGCTAATTATTCAAAGAATCTATTGTAAAGCCAATATATCATTAACACAGTATTGTAACACCTAAGTGAAGAAGAAAATCTTTAGCACCCACATCCCAGGGAACTCTGGCTCTCATTTTCTCTCTCTGTTCTACTCTCTCCTTCCCTGTGGGATCAGACTGGGTGCATCCATCAAGTTAATTAAACAGAGTGTTCTATAATTAAGAGGAATTTTAATAGGCAAGCAGCAGGAAACAGGTCAGGATAGATTGCAGTGAAGTGCTGAATAAACATGGAAGAGAATGAAAGAGATTTAGTGAGTGAAGCCATCTCAAAGCTGGGCTGGACAATTTCTATATTAAATCACCAAACACTGGTTACGTTATGCCGACAGTGTGTGTATGTGTATGTGTGCGTATGCCTGTGTGTGAGCTTTAGGGGGTGCACACATGTAAGGCATCATTAAAGTCTGCACACAAATTTGTCAAGCTCCCAAGAATGCTTCATTGTGTCCACTTCCAATGAGTGGGGGTAGTGATGCCAGCACCAGGGGGCACTGTTGGATGGTCAGTATGTGAAGAATGCTGTTTTAAGGAACAAGCTAGCCTGATGTCTAGCCTTGGGAAGATCACAAATTAGCACGCCAAGTAATGTAAGAAGTAAGGGTGAACAAATACTGTAGGTCAGTGTCCTCAAAAATAGTGTGTATTTTTGGTGGAAAAGAGTTTGAAAGAGCCCCTAAAAACCTTGTGCCCCCCTGTGGGAAAGAAGGACGTGGGTCCTCTAAGAAAGAGTTTAAAGCCCACTGGTGCGGACGGAGGAACAGATGGTGAGACAGCAGATGATGACTCTGCAAGAGCTCAGCTCAAAACAGAAATAGCCTACTCTGACATTCCCACATCTGTCTCTCTCTCTCTCGTCCATCTATTCTTTCCTTCATGCACACTGTGGGTGTGACTGTGTTTTACTGTTTTCCCATCTTCAGTCACACTAAAAATCTACAACTCAAAGACTACAGAGACTACAAACATCTTACTTCCAGCAGACTGCTGGGGGAAAAAGGAGCAATGGGGAGCTGGTATGAGAGCGTTTGATGCAGAAAAATTATACTGGTACAGACAGCTGGCTACTGGGGTTCCAGGTTGTGAGTCAGAGTGAGTGTGTGTATGTGTGTGTGTGTGTGTAAGAGGTACGTTGTAGATTAAGATTTTACATACTAAACCTATGATGTATGAAGATGCTTTTTTATAATTATAGTCTGAGTGGTTACATTTAGCTCAAGCTTGACCATCTACAACATTAAAATGCTCCTTACACGCTTTAAATTAAAACATTGAACAGTGACAGGGGTCCTTGGGTTGCATCACAATGATTATTACTTTTGCTTATTCTAATCCTGTGTTATCAAAATCCCTCTCTTTTTTCCTCCTGTAAAATATCAAAATATTTTGATGACTCATCTTTGTGTTTAACCCCATCTTGTGTGTCTAACCCCAAGTTAGACAACTTGGGGTTAGACATCCCCAAGTTGTCTAACTTGGGGATGTTACGTAAATGTCCATCCATCCATAGTCAACCGCTTATCCTGCCTACAGGGTCGCGGGGGGTTACGTAAATGTATACAATTAAATGTGGTGTAAGCTAACGGTCCATCAAACAAAACCACACTTGACCGTTAGCTAGTTTGGGTAGGTGGCAGAACAATATTATAGTAGTAGAGTGTGTTTGGATTTCAGCTGGCAAAAACTTTGTTTACATTTCCAAAGAATGTGAAGATTATGGTTAAGGCTCTAATTTATTCACTAAACCCATATCCTCTTCCTCCTGATCCAAAAACATGTGTGAGGGAGGTGTGGGTGAAGCCCAAGTTCTGTATTGTACTAAAGCACCATATTATTCGCTAAGCCACTCTTACTTTTCACAATCCAATCAAAATTCTAGGATCTGATACAAATTCCTCTCGTGACTAAACCCATCCGCATTTTCACTCGGAAATGTGTCCCATAAAAGAAGATTCAGACGCTCTAACTGCCATTTCACTGTAACTTTGATATTAATACTTCTTCTACCACTGTTTCTTCCGGCTCATTTGAAGAGGTTGTCATTGGAATTCTTTAGGCAAGTGTCATTTCAAGATTTACCCAATCACCTTTATTGTATTATGAAAAAAACGAGTTGTAGAATGACTATGAGGCTAAAATTGTAATTACTGTTTCCCAAGTTGACCTTGTGGTGCAACTGTGGTGCAGCTGGCTGCAGATCAGGTTGTGTGTTCAAATCATCAGTCAGGTTCAAAGGCGTGTGTACACCACGATGCTCAACATCTCTAGATGTTTTAGTATCTATTTAGCTTTTTGTTTGTCCATTGTTTACACACTAGTTAAATCTCTTCTTCAGTTCATTGCTCATTCTTTATATTTGTGTATCTTTATCAGACACGTGCAGAGGGGGGTGCGCTGGGTGCTTGAGCACCTGCCTTTTTGCCCTTTGATGCCCAAAGTGCCCTTTTAAGAATGCAAAATGTCCTTAATTTATTTATACATTTGTAAAGGCCATAGACTGTATATTAAAAAGGTAAAGGCCCTTTTGTGAAGGCCTGCCCAATCAAACTATTAGTAAAATGAATGAATAATAATTTCTCAGTTAATAAAATGGCCCACATGATGACCTTTCACCTTATGACCTCATCCGTGACCAGCCCCCCCCCCCCCCCCAGCAGCTCTGCCTAAAGGACACCTTCGATTAATCCGGTAAGTGGGGTTTACCGCAATGAGCTTGTTGTGGGTTGTTTGATGTATTTTACAAGAAAGACGCAAAGAGAGCATGCACAGTAGTTGTGTATATTGCTGTGTCACCTGTAGAAATAACGTTAGCTGCCAGAACTATGCCGACAGCTAACTAGCTTCTACACAGATAAACAAAGGTGCTCTGTTCGCTTCGTGCTGTTTGAGGGGGAAAAGTTTCACGGGCGTCGATAGGTGTTGTCTTTTTATGTAATTTGACTACAGACTTTTCACTTGAACTAGGATTAATTTAACTAGTAACTTAATAAAAGCCTTGTGCCTTAAACTATTTATAACAACATTGGTAAAACAGGCTTACTGATCTGTCTGTCTCACTCTTACTCACTCTGTCTGCCACCCTCATCCTTTCCCCCGTTAATGTTTCTCAGATTATTTCCCACACTTTTTTGAATCTGGCATTTTATTTCCTCTACCTGCAGCTCTTGGTGTGCAGCAGTCTCTGTGAGCGTTTCCCTCTTATTTTATTGTAGCAGTCAGCCTTGGCAGCAGCTGCAGCACTATAGCAGGTCAGTCTCTGTGAGCCAGTCCCAAACACCCAACAGTCTTTACATCTTTTCATGGTCACATAATTGTTTAATAAGCCAATAAATATCCTATGTTTGTTTTAATATCTCTAGTCACAGATCACCTCCAGTAGTATCAGCAGCAACAACAACAGCAGGGGCAGCAACATCCCCAGCAACCCCTCAGCAGCAACTGTTCCCTGTAAGTTAGCCCACATTGTTTTAAAGCTAGAGCTGGGTATTCCCTGTGTTTCTTTTTCAAAACACGTATGTATCAATACAAAAGTATCTGTATACCCATATCAACAAGGAATACATACCAATATATTTGTGTATTGATATTTTGAGAACAGCCCTGTTTAAATCCTTGTTAAGGTTGAATCTAATCTATTCTAATATAGTGACCTTCTGTGACCTATGGATACAAACAGGTACAATCACTATAACGTCTCACCTCTTTCTTATGAGATCACTTTTGATTGTTCAGAATTATACTAAACAACGTTTCCATTCCTGCACTTAGATGTTTCAAACAAAAATGTCTTTTTCACAAGAGTAGAAGTCCACAGTTTCTTTTACAAGAAACAACACAAAGCAGCCAGCTTACAGTACAATGCAAAAACAGGAAACTCACTCCTGTTTCTGCCTCTTGTACTGTTTGAAAAAGGAAAAATTCCAGGTTACTGAACGCATGCCAATGGAACGTTGCTCAAGAATATTGATCTCGCCATTGTATTAGTCCGGCTTAAACTCAACATCCCCTAACGCACCTGGAGTTATTAATTGTTAGTGATTCAATCGTTTACTTGTCCAGTGATCTAGTCCATCATCGCTGCAAGTGGCTACAGTGTCATCAAAAAAAGGAGGAATACGCTTTCCAGTTTACTTATTGCTGATAGAGTCCTAAAGATTGAAGTTACAGTATTTAATGTATTGTACTGTATCTATCTATCACTGGGATAGATGGATTGAGAAGAGTTAGCTTTATTGAAATTCCCCTCTCCAAGGCTGCGGTGTAATTACTGATAGGGATGTAATTAGCTGAACATGGCTAGATAGTGCAGGTTTCGTGAGAGACTTTAGAGAGAGAGTGTGCCCACAGAGTGAGGCCTCCATTTAATTAGCAGGAATTAGGAATTAGCTTATGAGACAGATTGTTAAGAGCGGTCACAATGTAAGAGGGAAAGGGTAAAGAAAGAGAAGAGAAGGTTGATAAGGATTTGGTAGAGAGCCGAAGCACAGGCAGAAGAGGCAGGAGAGCAGGAGCAGAGAAAGGAGGGGGAAAAAAAGAAAGATAAATAGGCAATGTAAAACCCTAAGATGAGGACAAGGAGGGGAGCAAAAAGGAAGAATACCAATAGATGAAAGAGGGGGAAGGGAAAAAGAAGGTAGAGGGTTATAAATCTTGTAGAGCTTTAGCAGTTAGTTGGTTCATGGCCATGGACAGACAGACTACTATAGTATTCACAGTCCATTTCAAGAGAGGCGAGCCAAAGCTAAGGTTTGAGAGAGGCACAATGTAACATTAAGTGTACACAATCAGTAGATTTGTCTTCCCCGGAGAATTTATAATGGATTTGGCTTTCAATTCGGAGGGTTAAATGTATAGCTACTGTACTAACTCACCCCGATGGACAGTTTTAATATATGGCTGAGCTCTATTCTGTTCCTGTCCCTGTGAATCTTGTCTATTCAGGATACCACAGTTCTAAAAAAAATGATTTGTGCTATAACAAAAAAAAAAAAGCTGTAACACAGGAATCATGGAGCAGCATTGCAGCAGGACGCACAGAGCACAGGTGCTTCAGCTTCCTTTAGTCCTTCAACCAAATGAAAGCAACATTAAAAAGCCTGTATGTTACATAAACAGAGGTTTATGAAAACAAAGGACAGGAAGCTATCCTTGGGTATTATGCTGTGAAATATTATCACCTTAATTTGTGATCAAATGTTGTATTACATTTTTTTCCCATTTCTAACCTCATAATTACCTTTTCTATCATTTAGATAGCTGAAAGTTGTCTGTTACCATCATCTGTCCGCAGAGATAAATCAAGGAACAAAAGTACTCTCTACAAACAATAAGATGGGCTTTGACAACTAATATTTCCGGTAAAAAGAAGACATAGAACATAATGTGAAAGTTATGATGCTATGTTCAGATTTTCTGGCTTAGATAAGATCCAGAACAGCAAGTTGATAGGACTTTTCAGCAAAAGAGGCACGGCAGGCCTCTAATCCTGTTAGTATTTGTCCCTTCAAGACACATCCCAAGACTGTATCAGCCGGCATTGATTTGAATATGCTATACTAATATTGTATGTAATTATACAGTACATAATTTACTGTCCTTTACAGTGTGTCAAGTAGGTATAAGTGTGGACACTTTTCATTGTTAATATACCTGATGGTACAGTGTTTCTGGTCATCCAAAAAAGCCCAGTGGTAGGACACAGGCAGCGGAGAGCAGTTGGTGATCGAGATTTCTCTATGAGTCTCAGTGCAGTTGAGCACACAGCCAAAATCCACTGTGTTGGAGGAGAAGTGGAGGTTGGGGAAGTGGACCTCAGCGTGCAGCTTCACCATGTCTTGCTGTGGGTGTCCCTGGAAGTGTACTTCAAGGAACTGGGGGGGAAAAGTCAAGGGAGGAAATGTATTTGTCCAAAATAGTTGATCTTAAGGGGAAAATTAATTAGGTGCAGATAAGTAAATAGAGATTATTTTCACTTAATGCCAGTGGTTCCCAATCTTTTTTGACGTGTGACACCTTTAATGAAGCAACTCTTGACCCCTAATCAGTTTATGACCTAAAGAGTGATTTTTCCTACTCAGATTGTTTAATTTTGAGGATTCTTAGCAACCTGCAGAGGTGAAAAAATCCAGATTTTGAAAGATAAAAGCTAAAGAGAAAAGAACCCAATCCTAAAACCCAATGTATTGGGAACCACTGCCATATGTGTTAAGCTATAGTGTGCTCAGAAGGACACAATGTTACACCAGATGAAAAAGAAAAGTATTACGTAAGAAATTTTACAAAAAAAAAAGCATCAATGTTACCTCATCCACGACTCGTGACACCCGATCTCGACAGTAAGATGGATTAAAGCATACCCACAACTTAACCTGCCTCCCGTCACCTAAAACCATGGACTGCAAGAAGACACACAGTAGTGAAAACGTGTAACATAGGGTAACAGGTATTAAAGGAATCAAGCTGACCCTGTAATATTTGGGACCACAGACCTGGTATGTAAACTAATCAACAGAATATAAGAATAGCTCTTCAACTTCTTTCATTTTTTTGAGAATCTAGTTTTGCACGCTTAATGGAAAATCATTACATCATGATAATGACTCCCAAAGCACAAGTTCACAACTCTTTCAAAATCCTTCTCACAGTTAATGAAACATTTATCGTAATCCTGCCATGGAAACTAGGCTCATCAAAATACTACTCTTTAGCTTCATTTAGAGACCTGCAAGGGCTTTGGAAAAACATTTCAATTTGGATTGCAATCCTGCGTTTTAATCAACTATTAGAATGGAAGTCAAAGCCATGATGATAAAATGAAAACACGGACATTATGGGAATACATAAACTGAATTTTATCACGGTGAAAAGATGGGGTTTATAATGAGTAATGCCACTGAGTGCATGTCATCAAAAGTTCAAAAACAAGCAAATCACAGCCGTGAGTCTCATTTGGAAGATCAGGAACATCTAAGAGAGAGACAGAGTGTCTGACTCTAATGTGCACATGCACGCCCACTACAGACAAAATGGACTGGAACAGAATTCCACTGTACTTGGTAAAACAACAACTGTGAGTAATATTAGTGTTTGACTATTTACAAGAGAACAGAAACGCACAAAACAGATCGATGAGTCATCAGCATTGACTGTTGACTGTTCACGCCCTACATGACCTAACACACTTGGTAGCACTTATCATACTGCACTCAACACAGGACTATGGTTAATCCTGGATTGCAGTGACAGTTACTCAGTGCAAATGCAATAAACAACATTCATGGTGAAATGTGAATCAAGAGCTGAAATACTAAATTAGCAATGATGTCTCAGTGATGCCTCAAAACAGTCCCTGGTCAGAGCACAGCTTGGGCCAACAGGGACCCTTCTCTAGAATCTGTATGCTCTCGTTGTGCTTGCTAAGTACGTTTGCTCAGGCATTTAGTTACACTTTTAAAGAATTGTTACTTTACTTGACTACTAAATTTCTGTGCAACTTTATACTTGTGCTTACATACAGTGCATGTCAGAGGAAAATGGACCTTTTACTCCGCAACCTTTATCTGACAGCTGCTGTTCCTAGTTACTTAAGATAGGATGAGCTACAATAGACATTTCTAACAACACTGTAGAAGCTCTTTTGTCTGTTTTAAGTTTTTTTAAAGTCACAATCTGTCCAAATATTTGTGGCCCCACTACCACAGATCAAACCGATATCCCTCACAAACTGATTGACGGTTATTTAATATATAATACTATTATAACTATTATAATACTCTTTAACCTAAGGTAAAGTTAATCTCAGTACAAAAACAGGTTTCCAAATAATAACTGCAGTTAGTGGCTACTTCTGCAAACACTGTTTTGGTAGATGACAGAAGTTTCAACTCATGGTGGTGGTAGTGCTAAAGTCTTTGTGCCACCAAAATCAGTAGGTTTCATCTCCTTGAAATTAAAAAACAAATAGACAATTAAAAATGAAGAGTTAACTAAAAGGGAGAGATATGTACCTTAGTGGTAGCAGAGCTGAGGGCTCCCGGGGCGTCACACAGAGAGAACGGCTCGTTCAGAGAGAGCTCCAGGGATAGAGGCAAAGATGACACATTCTCCAAGATCAGCTTCTCATACAGGGGCACTAGACTTTTTCCTGGGACCTATAAGATGTAATTAATTCAAGCAATAAAAAGCTCCCCTTTTTTACATGGACAAGATATGCCAGATACAGTACAGAACTAAATACTAAAAATATATAGTTTTAAATGAAAATATCCTGGAGACAGAACTGCTCATATGTTTCGACCAACCTTCTCTATGTAGAAGTTCAGTTGCTTGGAAGAAATGGTGAGAACAGGAGCCACAAATCGGCAGGTTATATGTACAGACATGATGTGCTTATTACCGCCGTCATTGCGACCCACAATGCCATGGCACACCAGATGCTCCTGTACAACCTGGGAAGACGAGAACATTTGTACTGCACATGTTCTACAAAAATGCATCTCATCTAATGAACACACATTGGCCGTGGTTATAAAATTTAGAGCTTATTCACTTTTGGGCAAGCAAATTGTCTCACCTTGGGAAAGTCAGAAGATCCCGTCAGCACCATGTCAACGGAGCAGCCTGGGAAAAGCTCCACATGAGAGGGGCTAAGGCTGAACACTGGCTTCTCTCTGCTAGAGGAGAGCATAGATCCGCGGCCCACGAGATCCGTCTTCCCGGGAGCAGAGATGGGGGGCAGGAAGGTTCGGCCAGATGAGTTTTCGCCCTTGCGGGTTTTTGTGAAGGGCAGGAAGCCCTCAGTTCGCCAGTGCATCCGGTGAATTCGCTGCCCATGGTTGGTCAGCTTAAAGTGGTACTGGCATGACCCAGGGCTTATAGGACATACCGAGGACATAAAGGAGGTGAGGCATACTTCATTTCTAAATCCCTACATCATTATTATTTAAACCAAAATCTGACTCATGGGTGTGATATAATCCATTATACCTGAAGTATGTGCCTAGGTCAAGGCTGGGAGCAAAAGGTCGGTCACTGACAATTGTGGTACCAGTGCCTGTGGCAGACAGAGCGACGGTGTGTGTTTGACTGTCTTGGATGGATACTTCCAGCCGTTCCTGGAAGTGAAGCGTGTCCTTCAGGTGTGCCACTACCCTTAGCTCCAGCTGGCTCTCTGGTGGCACTTCCCCCTCACTGGGCTCAACACGCCAAAATGACCTTCCGTGGCTCTGAGGAAACAGAAAAGAAATCGGTGTCCATTTATGGTCTGAATCCGAACAGCTCAAGTGCTTGCTACTACAGGATGACTGTAGAGCTGCAATGATAAGCGATAAATCGGTTACAGAATTTTTTTTAAGAAAAGAAAGTGATGTGTGAATTACTTATATGTGATTATTTCTTTGGTTTCTTTAATCCTCATTGAGAGTAAACTGAAAATATTTGGGTTGTGAAAAAAACAAGAGATTTGAGGACATCATCTTGGGCTTTGGGAGACACTTATGGACATTTTTCACCAAACAACTAATGAATTAATCGAGAAAAGAATCGACATATTAATCGACAATGAAAATATTTGTTAATTGCAGCCATAGATGCCTGCCTTTGTATGAGATCCTAGAGGTATATAAGCAGAGCGGTGGCTCCCTACCTGACATAAGTAAGACAAAATATCTTCCTACTGTGATTACATTAATAGAGAATATAATATGCAGATGTGCAGTAAAGATGGAGTTAAGATGAGAAAATATGTTTTAAAATACACAAAAGCTTTAACACTTGCAAAGTTGAAAAATGATGTGAGCATAAAAAGGGACTGCTGCAAGACAAACTCATTCAATTTCCCATCTATGTGGATTGTTTGATTGCATTTATATGAATAAAGTCCAATGTAATGAGAAAACAGATGTAAATTGAGTGTTCATCACCAGTCCTTCAACAAAACCCTTCACTGAGCTCACTGTACTGTATATCTGACCAAGCAGTGGTCAGGATCACAATCAATGTTCTATACAGCATCTCTTTTGATGAATGGCTGGAACATAAACATTTAATTGGGGTTTTGAGAATGAACTTCCTACAGTGCAGTGAAGCTTGGGCACTTTCAATACCTATAGGACAACACAGTTGTTTTTGATCAATAGAGAAGAATGTCTTTACTGAAATACTGCATTTGACATTTGTCTTGCCTTTCCGAGACTGCACTAAAATAATACTGGACAAATCAAATATAAAGATTTTGTTTGATGTCTCTGTTCAAAGTCCCTTTATGACTTTAGGAGTCATAGATCACTTTCTCAGCATCTGTATGATCAGGTGAAGGAGCCGGTGAAAGCGAACTTGGTGTGGGTCGATACTAGGGTGATCACAGTAAAGGAGTAGGCGGAGTCAGAAGAGGCAAAAGAGCAAGGGGTTGACTCCCCTGACAGAGGAGCAAGACGACTGGAATCTCAATAATCACATCAAACCTGCTGCATTCCACAGCTTGATAAGCATTGATTGCTTTTGAATGCAGCACAAGTCAGACGGGCTTAGAATCCAAATCTGTGCTGTGTGTTCAACCTACATAAATCCTGCATTGGTGTTGCAGTGACAACTGCAGCCAATTCTCCTGTTAAACAATATACAGCACAACAAAAATAAAGGTGAACCTTATGTGACTCATGTTTCTGGTTGCCAGCCAAAAAGAATTTTCCAACCAATCCCTTTTTTACAAAGACTGCAGAAAATTTATACACATCATGTATATATGTACTGTTATGCAGTTTCTATTTATATCATTTAGAAAAGCCCAGGCTGGATAAAGGATGCAGTTATTTCACACAAATGGTCACTTAGATTACAAGCAAGTGTGGATACGTTCCACAATCCCCCACAATCTTCAGGCATCAGGTCTATTTGTGTGGCTCTATGCCAGCCTATTGAGCGGGATGTAATGTAATTCCAGGCGAATCTGCATTGATTGATGCTTGAGAGTGCAGGGGGAAACTCCTTCCCTCAACACTGCCTCAGAGGAGAGGACAGGGTCACTCAACTGCAGTTACACAGGGGTTGCCTATGTGTGTGTGCACAGTTGTGTCTATGTCAGCTCAGGTAAGTAATGAGGCACAGTTACAGTCACAGGTTTTTTCACAGTGGATATCAGGCAACACTGCTAAGGTGATATACTTGCGAGACAGGGTTTCATTTACACAGTGTAAGCACAGTAAATAAAAATAAATGGAACACAACTATTCAATCTTATGTTAGTATATTAGTGTTTATAACTAAAAAGGCAACACTTTCCAAATAATATGCAACTGCTAGTGCTGACAACTGCAGGTGTAAACACCGCAAACAAGTTCAAATGTCTCAAATGGAAAACTGAAAAAGCAGATGAAATGTCAGTTGACAATTAATGACAGTCAGTGGTGTCATTTGAACAGTAAGAGATGAAAGCGGTTGCAACAGAAAGAGATATACCAGTCCTTAAGTACATTGTCTGTGGTTAAACATTAACAAGTATGTACATAAGTTAGTGTTGTAGTCAAGACCGCCCAAATCGAGACCAAGTCCAGACCAAGACCAGAGTTTATCAAGACTGAGACAAGACCAAGACTTTTAGGGGCTGAGACCAAGTCGAGACCAAGACCGAGGGAGGGCGAGACCAAGTCAGGACCAAGACCAGTTCCCCACATTACATGACACAAAATAAAATGTGGAACGAACATAAGCATCTTTATTCAACACTCCTTTTCCATGCTTACCATCGCATCAGGGGGGGCGGTCGTTAATGGTAACAACACATTTTTATTTAGTGTTATTGGTTGCATTTGAAGCAATACGTTTTATATCCAGTCAAAGTAAGGATGTTAACAAGACAATGCAAAAGCAATTTGTTGATGGTCTTGAAGTAAAATCCCAAGTCTTTAATGTCCGAGACAAGACCGAGTACAAATGCAGTCGAGTCCGAGACCATCAAAAAGTGGTCTTAAGACCGGTCTCAAGACCAAGACCAGTCTTGAGTACTATAACACTAACATAAGTAACATGATTATTTAACTTAGAACTTTAAATAAGTCACTGTTGACATGGTTTCACTTGGGAGACAAACCCTAGTGTTCTGGTTGAAAGTTCTGTGTTTGTTTGATCCATCCACTTCTAATGTGTCCTCATTTGCTCCCATCATACTTACTACGGCCACTAGAGACCTTGGCCTAACAAAAAAAGTAAATATGGTTTGTAATAAGCTGCTATCAACCTGTACGGCCATTTTTCTGGTGAGGAAGGTTCACATTGTATTTGACGTCAACCACTTATCCTGCGTACAGGGTCGCGGGGGGCTGGAGCCAATCCCAGCTGACATTGGGCGAAAGGCGGGGTACACCCTGGACAGGTCGCCAGTCCATTGCAGGGCTGTATTTAATTTTATGGTGTTAAATCATCTAAGGTGATGTCTGTATTTTATATCCTTTATTTGAAGAAGATTTTATGTGGTTTAAAACAAGTAAAATGGTTTACAAGTGTGAATGGTTGGCCTGCTGTAGCAGCCTCCCGGCAGTAGGTGGTAGTGTGAGACTGTGGTTTACCCTCAGGGATCATGATCAAGAGGCATGCTGTGCTGTTTTCCCTCAATAACTGCGGAGATTTCAGCGAGGGAATACCACATCTCTCTGTCTCACCCCTTTTCCTGTATTTCAGGTTAGTAATGTGTTAAAACATCACATAAACAGTAAAATGAGCAGGTTTTGGAGATATAGTTTCACATGAGGCCCTCCGAGAGTAACGATAGCGGCGCGGTTTACTCTGTTAATACCCTGTTAGCGTAAGATGCTAACATGTGGGCCGCTCGTCTCTACTATTTGGGGGTTAGAGTAATATACTGGCTGGCTCCATAAACGATGTGGCATGTTGTAATATTTTGGAATGGTGTTATGTTTAAAACTATTGAAAATGCTGTAATTATACACATTTTTATATGTTTTAGTGACGAATACTGTTACTTTTATTTTGTTATTAAGAATTCTCATAGCATGATGACGTTAGTCTCGTAATATTGAAACTTTTTTCTCGACATGTCAGAGAAAACAGATATGTGGGAGAGATTCTGAATTTGCAGAAAGTTTTGAACATGAGCAGAAAACCTGATGAAACACAGGAGCTATTAAAGTCCAGGAGTTTATAACTAAATTAAAATGAATTAATTTATCATCGAGGGGAAGAGGTGCCACGTATTTAAAGTTACTTCCCCAAACAGAGAATCAAAAGAAGAGGGAAGGCTATGTGTACTGAATCATCAGGGATTCTATTAAATTAGAAAAGTTGATCAACAGGAAACATATTTAAAACCAATGGGGGGTTGTGCGCCTAGGGCTCCAACACTGTCAGGGCCAGCCCTGATCTCTCACACAAAATCACTTATTGGCGCCGACTCAAATCGAACTATCAACTAATTATTCCAATAGCTAACAAGACATTGAAACTATTAACTTATTAATTATATACAAAATTTAGATATACAAATTAGACTGAAAATGAATTAGTCACAAGTTTTGCACAAGAAATCTAGTCACAAAATGTATAGATGGTTAGACACAGTTACTAAATCCATTAAATTCACTACTTATAATATTTAACCTCTGTACGCTTATACCTATAGTGCTCGAGGCATGTAAAGTCACCTTGTTCATCTCAATTTGAATGCATAAGTGTTTTATTTGTTTATTTATTTTCAGTATGTGCATGTCTGGTTGGTGTCTGTTTGTACCATGCGAGCAGTAAAGTGGGCTGGAATAGGTGATTGGTTTGACAGGTGCAGGGCTCTAGTAATGTCCGTCAGAACCGGGATTGTGCCAAAGTCCAGTTGTGGGCTCTGAACATGAACTACAGGTCCCTGCCCAATACATGACAAGACCACCTCCTGGAACCGAACAGAAAAGAGGCGGATTAGAGAACAGGTTGTACTGACCAATTCAGAAAAACACAGTATGCCTGTATTCAAACATAAATCTCACAATTATGCTCACATGCACTCATTATTTGACCCGTAACAACATGCACAGACTTCCACTGACCAAGGGTGGCTTGGCACTGCCAAACACAGCAATGCGTAGAGTGTGATGCAGCCTTCCAACGGCCTTAGCCTGCAGAAACACGGGAAATGCTTCTGAACTGCGAGGAAGAATCACTCCTCTGGGTACAGAACTGCCAAAAATCAGTGACGGACTTTCCTCATATTCCTGGAAAAGGTCAAGGTCAAGGTCAGAGTTTATTTATATAGCACATTTACAAACAGTCTCTACTGCCCCAAAGTGCTGTACAAATACAGAGAACAGCATAAGATAAAAAGCATAATAAATAGCCAAATACAACCTGTCTAAAACAGAACATGCCAAAAACAGTAAAAACAGACAACAGATAAAAAACTATACTTAAAGCAGTAACAACAATAAAATGTCACAGCTCAGCATGTCTTAAAAGCCAGTGCAAAAAGATGTGTTTTTAAAAGTGATTTAAAGCTCTCAATAGAGGTAGCTGCTCTAATGTTGAAAAGGTGACGCAGACAAAAATGAATGCAGGCATACAGACCCAGCATCTATAGCACATATAGATACACAACTAAAAGAAGAGATGGTCTTGGAATAAATTTTTCACTGTTGGAGTGGACATTGACAGTGTTTTCTGTGGTGGCCACTTTCATGCAGCTATTAAGCCCAGACCTGATTATTTTGACCCTAAATATGTATCTTAATTGTACATTTAACTTAATTTTCTTGCTGTAATGATTCCTCCTGTTCATACTACCCATTTAAATACCCTATGTGCTTTCAATGATTGGGGTAAAAATCCACAGTCCTCGTTCCAAGCAAAAAAAAGCATTTTACAGTTAAGCAAAAGCTAAAATTAGGCTTTAGAATTCTGACTTATTTAAATCAAGTGGATATCATTGAAGGTTACTGTGGCTTTAGTACAATAAATAAGATATAATGTGTTAATTAGCGATCTTTAGAGGTGGTGTTATGTAGACTTTTCCCAAAATGTTGGGCTACTACTTAAAGGTGTTATTTTTCAGTCATGTCGCTCACCTCTACCACATATTTTTTTGTTGTAATGGGCTGCAAATGAGCCATTGTCTTAAATATGCATGTGTCTGCAATGACAGGTTTTGTGCTTGTTTATGTCACTATTCTAGGAGCCTACCATATACAGTACACACACAGAAATAAATAATTTACTGCAATGATCTAATTAACCTGGTCAAGCACGACGAAGCAGGCAGGCAGAGTGCTTGTGTTGATCAGCTGCACTTGCTGTTCATAGGAGTGATTGAGGAAACACCTTTGAAAGTCTAACACTGGAGTCTCCACCACAATATCAGGAACAACACACCTATTAGCAAAGAGAAATAGAGGGGAAGGCAGACAGACAGAGGAAAAGAGAAGAAAAGATCTGAGGCTTATTTATGAATCACAACAGTAATTGCATTGCGTCAAGCCAAAACTGGAGCCTATTAATTAGAACGGATTCATAAATTTACAATGACGGTGATTGCCGTGAGGAAATCAGATACCATTTCCCTATTCTGAGTGATGGCGCAGGTGACATTCAAATGTATTCTTATGCAAATTGGGCTCTGAATATTTAACACATAGTCCACAGATTTGTCGACACCTGTATGGAAGTTCAATGGACCACATTTACAGCTTGTCAAAGCATCAGCGACAGCCAGAAGCACAGCAGAGGTTACTGCCAGAAAAAAGGCGCTTTACTTTAAGAGAAAGGGTGATGGGACAGTTTGTAAAAAGCAAGATGAACCTCTGCTGTTTTGCAGTGTCTTGTGACACAGTATTAACACATCTTATGTCAAAACTTATTTTCAAATTTAACAATAAGTTTAGAAGTAGTGATATCCCATCTTACTAGGACAGAGGGATGGTGGTTCAAGTTTATTCATTCATTCATTTTTCATGAAGCATCTTTTCCAAATAGAAAAGATCAAACAGTATATGGCACAACAGAAAAATACAGGACAGCTGACCCAATAATCTGTTTATGGCTTTAATGGGGAAAGTCACACTTAACTCTAAAGTATTTTTGCAACAAAGCAAACTTCAACTTTCAACTGATGTTTGCATATTAAAGAGTGCGTATGTGTGCGTATGTGTGTGTGTGTGTGTGTGTTCACATATGTAAATGTGTCCGACCTGGCAATGATTGGCAGAGTCGTGATCTCCTCCCCGACACCCTCAACATCCACCACCAGTGCCAGCCTGTATGTCCTGACTGTGTTGGAGCACAACGTCACCTGTACATATAATATACAGTTCAGGTTCAAAAGATACAGTGAGTATACTCACATTAAACCTTTGAACACAATTTCATTTGGTAGGTTTAAGTCTGTTGCCATAGAATTTCAGATTAACTTTAAAATTTTAGATTAGATGGCACATATTTGTTGTCAATTGTTAATTGTTGTTGTTCTATATTTTTATATTGTCAATTTATATATTTATGTACACAATATTCTCTTCCTTTGCAATACGTAATGCACATGTAAATATCTGCCACATTCTTCTTTCTCTGCAAATAGTTGTATTATTTTCTCTATTCTTTTATTATTCTTAGATAACTTGCATTTGTTTATTCCATATTTATATATTTCTACATTTATTTATGTCAACTGTCTATTTGTCTACATGTAGCACCTTATCTCCAAAGCAAATTCCTCATATGTGTAAAACACTACTTGGCAATGAAGCTCCTTCTGATTCTGATTCTGACTAATGCATTCCAGGACAACTTAATCTCAAGTCTTCTCAAGGAAAGAAGTTTAAGCAAGCAGAGCAGTGTTCAATGCTGAAAAAAGTAAGCAATCCAAATGTTACCTCTAAAACCTCACAGCTCTGGTATACCCATTTACAAAGACTTAATGTGCTGCTACGACAATTAATTTAAATGGGTCTCCCTTAATTTGTTAATTTACTGTACCTTAATGGTGACATCTGACATTTCAGCGACAGAGCCTGCAGCAGGGCTGACGGTAAACTCCACAGGCCGCGCATGAAGGTCTCTAGCAGCACTGCCTTGCCAATTGTTCATGGACACACTGGAAACCTGTTTAGCACATGTCACACTGGGAGACCCCAACCCGTCTCCTGGGACACGCAGGGCAAAGGTCATAGGCACCAGGGAGGTGTTGAAGAGGGTACAAATCAATGTTAGCGGGAAACCTGCACAGAGACAAAAGGAAAAATGGCCAAGATGAGAGAAAGAAAAACAATTAAGATGGAACAAATAGAACATAAGAACATAAAGAGGAGGCTAAAGTAGAAGACATTTTTCTCTGAATGTTGCGATTCTCTCGAGTACATGTTATATAGAAACTTAAAAACAAAAAAGCCAAAAAATTGTGGAAATAGGAAAAATAGCGACTAAGTAAATAAGTAACTCACCAAAGGCTACATCTCCAAAATCAAACTCTGAAACATTGAAGTGGAATGTGGGACCAATGACACCACCTCTGAAAGAGAAGACAAAAACATGAGCATTGAGAAACCCTGGAAATAACAACAGCAAGTGGAAAGATTCTAAAATAAGAACTGTAAGCGTAGTGTAAACTGATTCTTTATAACTTTAATAAGTAACCCTGTCACCACTTTAAAGGCTTTAAAGTTTTTATATTTACTGATAAATCTGAATGTTCCATTACAATCTGAGTTACTCGCTAACTTCACCTGAAGGTTAAGGTTAGTGGTTGAGGCTGTCCTGTGACAGTTAGCAGCAGGTCCTCAGAGAAAGTTCCCAAGATGCGACTGTGGAAGGTGACTCCCACAATCTGGCTGGCTCCAGAGGGAATAACACCTTCCTCAGGACTAAAGGAGAAACAGCGGCCAAAAGGGGTGTCAGGGCTTGACAGCCTGAAAGGGGCATCAATCAGTCCTCTGTTGGACACCAGCACCTGGATAAAAAGAAGGACCCACTGATTCAACACTCAAGTCATATTTTGTTTGTATGAGCGAGCCCCACTGTCAATCATCTAGTAGTATGCATGTATTGCATTTATGTTTGATGACCTTATCCACTTGAATATTGCAAATAGTGCTCTGGGAGCAACAGTTTTATTTTGCAGAAAACATTTGATGAATTTATTACAAGCACTAAAAAGAGAGAAGTATATGATTTGTTTTTATGTTGGAAATTTTAACAGTTCACTTAGTTTAGACTTAAAGTTTAGTTTTATTTAAAGGTTCAGAGTGGTAAGGGTTGCGAATTGCAATCATAGGCTCACTGTGCATTCACATGCTCCTCGGATGGTCCAATTTCCCAAGTTGTGAAGTCATTCTTTCAACTTCAGTGCGTTCATGTGCTCTTAAGACGGAATGTGAAATGGATGCTACTACAAAGATGTGTTGGATTAGCATTATCAGAGCATATAAACAACATGCAGACATCTAGTTCACTCTACAATCACAGCAAACTAACCATCATAACTATATTACAAACTACATGTTTGCAAAATATGTATATGCAATACGCCATTTTGCACAAATCAAAGTTCTGTATACTGTAAAGTAAAATAAAATGTCCCATGTACACTTTATTTGTCTTTTTGCAAAAAAAGATTTAAGGAGGAAAAAAAGATTCTGATTATTCCAACACAACATATACACCATCGGTCACCGCTCCCCCCCCTCCTTTTCTGCACACGCAGGAGAAGCTACGGTGTTGGATCTTGTGCTAAATAATACTTGTGGGCCTCCATTTGTCCACTTTTCTTACTTCTAATAAACCAGATGACTACTACTACAACTACTACTTCTGTTACTAAGGTTACTTGTTGCTGTTGTTGTTCTTCTTTGTACGCATTCAACGTAGTGAATGAAACGCGCTATGTAGAGCCGTTTGTCCGTTTGGGCTACTGTAGAAACATGGCGGCGCAACATGGCGACTTCCATGTAAGGGGACCCGCGTGTATGTAGATAGAAATAGCTCATAGCTAAGGTAATAAAAACATAACAGTTCAGTATGCAAGGTCTTTATACACCACTGAAAACATAGTTATGGATATATATATTGCATTTCTGTCAATAAATCCTCCAACATATTACACACTGAACCTTTAAAAGAGACAAAAATTGTATAATACATACTTCAGTATTGTCAAATTGTAAATATGGTAATTCTTGTTGTTAAGAGTCTTGGCTGGGGCACAAGATATGGATATGATATAATGTTCACTAATGGACAGAATAACATGAATACCTTGCAATGTAATCTTACTATAAAAGGAAGAAAGATTATGCCACACACAAACTGTACACATCAAGCGCATATTTTGTCCTATGTCATAACAATTTAAAGGGACACAACTGTTCACTTCGACTTAACCTTTCTTACCTCGTAACAGCTTTTGGCACCAATGAATACTTTGTTTTTCATGTTCATCAGGTTATAGCTGAGCTGGAGTTCAGGTCCCATGCCCTCACCCTTTATTGTTAAAGGTAAACGAGATTCACGGCCTGAGTGTAGACACAGACAGAGAAACCAAAATGGAACACTGTAAACGAAACATGAAGACACTCTTCATATCTGGCAGTCTGATGAACAAATCTGGGTTTGGTGATAGTGCCTACTGTAAAGTTTGGTGGAGGAGGGATAATTGTCTGGGGCTGTTTTCAGGGTTTGAGCTATTCCCTTTAGACCCAGTGAAGGGCCTGCTTGATGCTACAGGAAACGAAGATATTTAATCCAATCAGACACTTCTAACATTGTGCAAGGTGACAGTTTGGGGAAAGCCATTTGCTGTTGCAGAATGACTATGCCCCTGTGCACAAAGTGAGGTCCATAAAGACATGGCTGACCAGTTTGGTGTGGAGGAACTCGATTGGCCTGCACAGAGTCCTGACCTCAACCCCACTGAACACCTTTGGGAGGAGTTAATGCCTGGCTTTCTTGTCCAATATCAGTGCCCGACCTCACAAATAGAATGCTTTTGGCTGAATGGGCACAAATTCACACTCCAAAATCTTGTGGAAAACCTACCCAGACGTGCGGAGGCTATGATAGCCAGAAATATTGTTTGTAATTGTGCTGTAATTGACCCATGCTGGTCAGGTCATCACCTGCCTCAGAAAACATGGAAATCTATGTAAATCTGGCCTCCGGCTCAGAAGACACATGTGATGGCCACATGCAAATTTCCCAACAACCTTTTACTATCGCTGGGATGAATATACTGGGGCCTCATGACTGTCATATTGTCTAATATGAAAATGAGAGCAAGTAGCAATGATTCGGTCAGGGTGACTAAGGCATTTAAGCAGATTTAGGGGTTCTTCAACTGGTGGTACTTCAACCAAGTTTGATTGTGGATATCATACTAAGGAGAAGCAAGACATACACTGTAATTGAGAAGAGCAGTTGTCCTCTGACAATTAACCAACAGACAGACACTGTTTGCTACCTGGTCTAACCTTTGTCTGTACCAGCCCACTGAGGGAAGGAGAATCTTTTATTAGGAAGCCAAGCTATTGATTTGCAGCAGGAGTGCAGTCTGCTTGAAGTTGTTAAAACAATCCATTCCAAGGTGTTGAAGAACAAACAAAATGGTTATGCCCTCTGGTTCTAAGATGGTTTTGGTTCAAGAAACCTGCCTTTTGCCTTTTTCGCATGTTTCGCAGCCACCGTAATTTCTCCTACGTTTAGTAGGCAAGTAGTATTCAGTTGGCTGCGATCTGCAACTTCACTGCTAGATGCCACTAAACTCTACACACTGATCATTAAAATCAATTGCTGTTGAGATGCAATGTATTTCACATGTTGCATTAAAATGGATCTTAAATGACCAGTCGTGAGTGTCACCTTGCTTCCCTACTCATATTTTATCATTTGTGCAATACATATTTGAGGAAGAATTGTGGAAGCAATCTAAGATTTCCAAACATGTGAAATGAGCCAGCATACTGTAGGCTACTGTAAAGAAAGGCTCTGTTCCAAGGCTGGATGTGTTGTTAGTGTAGTTACAAATGTCAGTTGGATTTTGAATGAGGTTTCCTTACTTCTTGAACAGAACCCGAAAGATCCGGTGTCACATTAGCTCTCTATAAAAAGTTGAGCCTATACAGCCATGCTAACAGAGTGATGCTGAGTGGTGCAAGAATATTTTTTTCTATATTCAGATTCTAGGTTTAACATGTTAGCATGTTAACGGTGTTTACCACTTACCACAAAGTACAGCTGACTCTAAGTTGGCAAAGTCATTAGTCTTGCAAGTATTTGGCCATAAACCAAAATACTGGACTCATTACAGTTTGACCTGATGATGGCACTAGATGAGAAGTGATTATAGTTCATCCTGTCTGACAGTCCATCCAAACATTGTTGAGATAGACAATTTTGGTTAAAAACTATACATTGCTCTGTTGTTACTGGATTGTAAAGATACATGAAATAATGTGGGTTTGGATGTGAAAACTAAAGTTAGTGTTGTATTTTCTACATAGGCACTGACCTGTAACATCACAATATATGGTTTGTTGGTACAGTTTGGCCTCCTCTGGCTTGAAGACAACGATGAACCGTGCTGTCATTTTGGGCCATATTTCACCCTCCTGAACCATATAAAGATAAACAAAAACAATTGGTCATTTTACTTAAAGGATATAAAAGCGGACATGCATGTCCACTCTGTGAATGCATATTCCCTCATACAGAAAAAATACAACTACTACCTATGAAAACCTGTCTGTGGCTGTATAAGTATATGTGTGCATGGGTAGGTGGCTCTTCATATGTGACTGGCCTACAGACTGTATGCTCTCTCTCCTCTGTATGCCTCTCCTTCTGTCTCCTTTCTCCCTCTGGCAAGGGAACCTGGCTATGTTGAGTGGAGGAGACACAGGCAGAAATAAGGGAAGGCGGTGTCAGAACTGGTCAGGCTACCTGAAGGTCCCTGGGCAGAAAAGGCCCAATTTGTGACTCACCTGCCATTGAGGACATGAGGACTGGATTTACATGCGAACAAGAGATCTAATTACAGATCTAATCTTTCTGGGGGAATCCTCAACAGATTCTCATTTCTCTCCTTACAGCCACAATGCATCATAGGTGATATAGCATGTAATGAGAGTGTCCTTCAATCTAAGGATGTTTCAAACATCCAACCTGCTCAAGTGCCCTTGAACAAGCTACTGAATCCCTGCTAGCTCAGAGATATGTGTATATAGGTATGTTGTTCCCCATGGCATTTTAAAATATTAGATTATCATGAAAAGTCATTATCTCTGCAGCACAGTCTTAACGAGGAGAGAAACCTTACTAAGCTGCAAATCCATGGGTCTGGTGGACCAACATGTGAGACTGTGCAAGAGGGAGAGGATATTACACAGACACACAAACACACCGCTGGTTCCACAGTTATGCAGCTGTGTGGAAGCTCCAGGCGGTAGCCCTTCACAGCCTGGCTTCTGCGTTCCTGCAGGGCTTTGGACAGCAGCGGGAGGCGATGGATCGCTGTCGGGTCAGACTCACACTGAAAAAGCAACTGTTCCCTCTCATTTTCCTCCTTCTGCGGGAGCACTGAGCTTTCCCTAGAGAAAGGGAGGGAAGGTGAAAGGCAAAAAGAGCCAAACGAACAGTGTCAGAGACAAAGACAGGCAGAGAAAGACTTGTCAACAGAAATAAAGTGATGGACATTGAGCTATTTCTGGCAACACGTGCTGTGGTAAAGAAAAAAAATCATCAGGCAATTTTACTTGCCACCTGGTACACAGTGAGAGGGAAAGGGGGAGCTTAAACAGCCCACACTTCTAAAAAACCACATTCCTTCATTGTCTGTGTTAAATCATTTGTGTGCATTCATACATACCTCAATAAGCTCAGGGCCTCCTCTTGCAGGCTGGGCCATGTCGTCCAATAGTACTGAAGCGGGATATCACCCGTGTTGGTGAGGCACACTGTGTTTACGTTGGCCAGGGAAATGTAGGTCTTCTTTAACAGGACAGAGTCTGGTTCAAGATGAATGTTCAGTTCCTCACAAGTCCCATAAAGTCTGATGTAGACATCTTCACCTGAGCAGAAGACAAGCAAAACACTTTAACTTTAACAGATATTTGCACATACACTATGTCTTCATGTTTCACTTGGGACAAGGGGCACATATACCTTCCACTTTTGTGCTCTATGTGCATACCATTTATTGAAGTCTATATATTCAGACTGCAGCAGCACAGACAACAAGATCAAAGAATCTTGGTAATAATATAAAGCCGCAAATCAGTAGCCAATAAAAGCCTGCATTTATTTATTTCTAAATGTGTTTAAAGATTTATCTATAGAAATGAATCACACATAACATCTGAGATGTTTACAGCAATTCGGAAGTCTGGAATCAGGCTAGCAATACTGCAAACCTCATGTAAAATGGGGCCTCTGAAGCTGACTTGGTTTTGTGCTTTCTTGTTATGACATGCCCCGTTAATACAGCTTTAATATTAAAAGATGCATCTGAATGGATGATTTCAATAACTTCCATCTTATAGCTAACAGGTCTTCAGGACACACAGGAGTAAACTGATGCCACATACTGAATCTGCGAAAAACATTCAAATTTATTCCACAAAAAGCATGGCAAATGGTTATATATTTCAAATCTGTGACATATTACAACAATAAACAATAGGCAATAAAAACCAGATCAGGACCAAATCAGCCTTACCCCTGATCCCTGTTGCTACCTACTGTATAGCAAAGTAGGGCTTTTTAACTAACATAAATATTAGCATTGAAAATAAAATTTGAAGTGAAGTAGGTAGAATACAGTAGCTATTATGAAGAGAAGCATTAAAAAGAAGCATATTCTAAAGGAAACAGACTCCTGCTCCCACATCCTCTCTAGGCACATTCATCTCTTCATTGTCATAAGTAAGATGTGAGTAGAGGGGTTTGTTGTATGCTAAATGTGCATCTGTGGCGATTTAGTTGACACCTTACAAAGTGGAAGCCATTGACCCACACACTTTAACAGAGCAGTAGTGAGATTTTGTTTAACAACTCGCCTACAAAAGTCTCAGTCTTCTTGATAGATTTGTCCTTTCTCTTTGCAAAACTACACCAAAATGACTCAAATAAATTTCTTATTATTGCTTATTTAACAAGCAAGCTAACTTGGAGCTAGTCCTTAATTAAATCATTGCCCTAAATTGCCCTAGTTGCATGGGGGGAGAGACACTTACACAATGATACGCTGTACATCCAGTACTAAACTGGGAGCTACCCAGCGCAACAAAAATTCTATCCACTGAGCAGCCAGACTCCTCTGGGAGTCTGAGGCCTAATGTGGGCAATGGATAGAGGAGAAACGCACAGTGAAGCCAAAGACACGCTGCAAAGTCTAGCTTTGAAACACTGGATCTGGATCAAAAGGAGCCTTGCAGAGAGACTAAAATGGCTCCCAAAATATCCTGGAAAACTGGCATCCAAAACAACTTACTTTATTATGCTGCCAAAGCCTTTGAGTTGGAGTAATGTGAAATACATCAGGCTGAAATAAATATGAAACGTTTAAATTATAATGTAGTAGGCATAAGGAAAATATGATTTCCCAGCACAACACAATACAACTTCAAAGTATGTTTCTCTGGTGTCTCAAAACCACAAGCCACAAGAGACACAGACCTTAATGGTTAATAGGACATCTAATGAGTCTCTGTGGGTAACAAGGTGCCACCATCTCAACACATTTCACATAAGTGAGAGAAAGAGCAACAATAACCAGCAACAAAACAAGATGCAAAACAAGGTTTTGTATAAAGCCACCAAGTACAAGGGCTTATGTAAATGTAATGAGTCTTTATTTACATGGGACAGACTGGATCTTTAGCCTGTAGAAGCACCGTGCTCATCCTGAGATTACTGATATTTGTATACCTGCAGAGGTTAATTTTTTTTTAAATAAGGACAAATGCTCAGCTCCAACTCAACACACACAGGGACTTTTTTTGGATAAAACACAAGGGGATATCTGAATTCTGCTTACTGAGTTGTCTGGGATCCGAACTCTACAGGGTTCTCCTATCCATGTTACTGTGGTTCATAATTTCTTTGATATAACATCTCCCTAGCGTAAATGAAAACACAGATACCTTGGTGAATGAAATTACCAGAAATAAAAACTCAGATCAAAGTGACATGGAGGATTTTCTCATTTACAAGCTGTGCAACTCATAGAGTCCAAATGGGTATCATTTTATTGTGATTGTTGTGCTTTTCAAAGCTTGTCTCTAGCCAAAACAACCATGGACACTTTCCATTAATTACTTTTTATTCATGTATAACTGAATAGATAGAACGGAACATGATTAAACCTAAACGACAGGTCAGATTAATGGTTGCTCTGCAGGAAGGTGAGTTAGCTTTTGGCCGAAGATATACAACTTGACTCTGGTTTGACAGTGCAAGAAATGTCCAACAATGTTTAAATAAACAAGGGCACAGTGTCATTGACGCAAGGCACCTAAACCAATGCCCAGCACATATCATCCAGCTGCAATGCTGCAGTGTCAGCAAGTTCAGGGCTGCAGTTCCACTCCAACCTGCGGCAAGGAAACAGCAGTTTATTTTTCAAAGGTAGAAATGTCCATGTGTGTCATGTACAGACAAAATGAGTACAGGCCTCTCAAATTGTGCATGCAACATTTTTATAACTGCTGTTAATATTATTTATAGCTACTCTAATAAATTACAAATATACTTCTCACAAGCGAACACTAATTTGAATTTTATTTATTTATATTTTCTTTTTCCCATCATTGGTTTGCCTAAAGAAAATAAAGACTCGATTACAAAAAGTGTAAAAACCTGTGACATAACACTTATTTCCTGCCTGCAAGATGAGCAACAATCAAAATGCAGAGGCTAATACTCTGTTTGCCTGCAGGACGCAACATCAGCATTTCCCGGGTCCAAACTGCTGCAGCAATTAGGCTACTTTTCTTTCCTATTGGTGGATTATGTGTACAACTAGTCTGACAATAGGTGCGTTTGACTTCATGCAGCGCTGTGCAGCGCTGACGTAACGTGATGCATGCTGGACTTAAAATAAGGCATGCTGGTGTGTCCGACTTTCGCTGGCGCTGCAAAACGTCACCATGTCACATGACATTAAAACCTCGCGGGAGCAAGGCGGTGGCAGGCGCCGTGTCCGGCGGCCGCAGTTGCTTTTCCCCGGCTACACCAAGTTGACACCACACTATTGCCTGATTTGAAGAAAAATGCCGCGAGATCAGTCATTGATCGCAGCTCACAGTAAGCTCACGCAGGTAGAATGTGTCCGACTTGACAGCGCCGTTTTTTATTCCCCGCCCCTGCAGTCACCTGAAGCTCATGTTAGACTATCAAGTCGGCAAAAGTCAGCCGCCGTCATCTCGAATGCACCTACTGACTGCCCTCAAACACACTTGGTGCCACAAACACAAATCTTCCCCTGTGCACTCAACAAGCCCAAGATTTCCCTTCTCACTGACTGGTTCTCATGGTGACAACAAATGGCATTTGCATCTTACTCAGCACAGGAATAATCCACACAAGAGAAATCCCACCAGTCAAGGTCCCTCTAGATGAGGAAAAGTCCCTATCTATATAAAATTTCAGTTCAATTTAAATGTACGTCTACTGTTTTATCAAAAGCCTCAGTAATAGTAAAAACTGTAGTGTGACTTATTGAGCTTTTATATGCATCTACAACAAACTGACCCTAGTTCTGGTTGAGAGAAAAAATAAACCAGACTGAGAATAATGAGAGCTGGTTGAATGACCATGTGCGTCCTCCAGTGAAAACACATATTAGAATTCAAGGACTGTTTGAGTTTGCTTCCAAAGGGCCAATTATCAGTAAGTTTTCCATCTGCTAGAAAGAGGGAATACAAAAAAGCCTGGCACAGTTACACAGGAAAGCCAGGTCTTTCACTCTGCTGGGAAGACTACGAAGCTGTGAGATACCATCAGATGAAGAAGAAGAGAGAACAGAGGATGAGTGATAGAAGGAAATGAAGGAGAGAAAACTGAGAACAGGGGAATGCAGAGAGAAAAGCAATTATCTCCCAGCATCCGGATGCTATGACAGCAGTTGACAGGCAGGGAGAAATGCTGCTTATTGCTAAGCTTTCATCATCACTAGCCACCAACCCATCTTCCCCCCACTCGCTTTCTCTTCCTATAATTTCTCTTCTGTACACAGTGAGAAAACTTCTCAACCCCCTCGGCTACCTTTGATTATAGCACAAACAGCAGCTCTGTAGTGTGTGAGGACGCACATGAGTGTACTTACATTTTGGGTGACTGTGTGTGTTTATCTGCGGCTGCTTGCCATTTGTGTGTGTGTGCTGCTTTTGTAAAATGGTGCTGTGCTGAAGTCCCCTCGGCACTATCGCCCTGTCAAAGCAGATGCCTCAGCGCTCCCTAAGAGCTGTCCGTCTTTTCATTTAAATCAGCAGCAGTGACAGAGGAGAGGGAGGTGTGTGATGGGGGTGGGGTTGTGGGGGGGGGGGGGGGGGGGCTTACTGGAGCAGCACAGAGTCTCTATTCACTTTTAAGACAGAACAAGGATTGTCTAACATACCATGAGGGTGAACAAGTGAGCTAAGCACACTGTTATTTTTCAAAGCTACACTGCCTTTTAACTGACAATGTGGTAAAGATGCAGTGTGTACCTGCCTAAAGCACAGTGTTGTACATGCAAATTGACACACAACACACATGCATACACTGGCTAGAGCCAGTGTATGCTAAAGTCTCCAATTGCCGCTCAGCAGAGTAAAGCCTTTTGCAGGATGCTGACCTGAAACATACATGAGCGTGAGGTAGACAGGGCAAGGTGCTAAATTAAAAATGACAGTCTCTTGATGGGCTGTAAGTGGTGTTCTGGACGTGGGCTGGTCCTCTCATTATAAAAGCTTAATGCTGCTGAGCGCCGCTACTGTTCCCACTCCTTCAGCAGACCTGCTTGTTTACATAGCCACACAGCACCCCATGCTCCTTTAAGGTCACGCACACAGGTAAAACATAATGAAAAGTTTTATAGTACACAAAAAAAACTCTAATCCACAGATTTTTTCTATAGATTCTAAAGTTTTTGATTTTAAAACAATCATCATTAAAGAGCTGTACATAAATATTTTGTCGGGTCTCCCTGCTCTGTGAATGGTATCGCAATAAATTCAATGAAGCTCAAAATGAATCAATATAAATCTAAAGTCAGAACAGTTTAGCTCTTATCCACCATTATCCAATCATAAACAGGTAGTTTTCTCACAAGGTGACTTTGCCGCGGTAGAGTTTCAGGACTACTACTGATAACCAAACGACTGTCGTGTCAGCATGCTACTGAATTTTCCCTCACGTACACACACACTCACACACACACACACACGCACAATCTTTCACAGTAAAAATGGGGGTAGTGTACCCAGACAATGCATAACTAACAAAAGTGAACTCAAGTCCTCTTTTCCACATGGTACACAGAATAACACAGTTTTTTTCTACATAAATCCATGTAGGGTGTTCAAAACAGAGTGAGTTAAAGCAAAACAAGAGAAAAAAATCAACTGAACACACGAGCCCCAATAAAATCATCTATTCCAATGCACTGATGTTTTCCAGCAACTTTATCCTTTTACCTCTAATTGATCCCCTCGTGTGTCGACACGTCTTTCTGCCTTTGATGTTAAGGAGTCTAGCAAATTGTGCTGGGAACTGAGGCTACCCTTAAAGATCGTGTGACCACTGAATGTAAAACTACAGGATAGTATAAATGGGGACACAGCCCAAAAACCACTATCACAAGTGAGCAGATTGATACGGTGGCCCAGAGGTGCCAAATACAATACAAAAGCCACAACACAAATACAAAAGTCACAACAGAAATACAAAAGCCACAACACAAATACAAAAGTCACAACAGAAATACAAAAACTCAGCCAATTAAGAGGTAATTTGAGAATAAATCATAGCTGCAGAGACAGAGGAGTGGAGAGGAAACAAGGACCCTCAGGCTCCATCCACACTACTCTGTTTTAGTTTACAAACGCAGAATTAAACGAATACGATCTCCGTCCACACCAGCATTTTAGCTGCGTATCAGAGTTTACATTAAAACGACTAAAAACGCACATCTAGTGGCCGTTCATGTATACTAGGCACGCACATGCCGGTGTAAACATGAAGCAGATGGTCTCTTCCGTAGTTACAGAAGATTTGGCAAAATAATAAAGTAATGCAGACAAAGAATCAGACCAGATTTTTTTTTTTTTTTGCATGGACCAGTAACGAGCTGGGACTGTTAGTGAATGTAACACGGGAGTTTGGTGGCGGAAAACAGACTGGGAGTCGTCGCAAAGTAAACGACGACATGCACTGTACAAGCATAGGCAGATAAGTGTTATTTGCTCGGTACAGAATATTTTAATAAGAATACCGAGTCAAAAACTCTGTCAGTAGCACAATGTGTCTGCTTTGCATGACATAAGACCAAATCAGCGAGCCACGCGTGAGCATCCGCGTCATCGTTTCTAAAGTCCTCCATTTTTGCCCGTCTTCACTAAAACGCCCCCTGGAGTTTCAAAAGGAAAAACGCGGTCGGCAGCGTTTCCAAACTTTTACGCTTTAGGTCTTCGTTTTTGTCATTTTAGTTTGGACGGGAGGTGCAGACGTAGCAAAAGGTCTCCGTTTTAAAACGAAAACACAGTAGTGTGGACGGGGCCTCAGAAAATTGCGTTGAGCAGGAAATATAATACACCACAGCCATCAAGGGCTAAATACCCACTCTGTTCACAGCCCAGTTCCCTAAGGATGTTGTAAATTGTCCTCTCATTACCATTACTTATGTCACCTTTGACTTCATGACCCTAATTACACACAAACACTCACACACACACATAGGCTCCAAAGTAACTCGTTAGTATCTACTCATCTGCTACATCCAAGGTTAAAGGATAATTTTGAATCCACAACCAGCTATATTCATAAGAGCAAATAGTCGTACCCACAATGTTTTAGGTTTAAATCAAGCAGCAAAAAGAAGATTAGAAAGGAGACATTGCACAGTTAGTTGGATCATCTTGAGGAATCTATTTGTGCTGGGGTGCTACAGATAGGTCTGAGGATGGAAAACACTGATAAGGGCTGCATACATGACAGAGATAGGGACACACACGCATGCAATAATGTTAAAAGTACAGAATGAAACAAGCTGGCATATCATCTGCCTAAAGTGAATGCCTGTCTACCAGCCATTGTAGGAAATTACAGTAACCATTGTTTTGTGCATGTGTGTGTGTGTGACGATAGTGGGCCATGTTCAGCAGTCTTGTTCTGCTTCAGGGTGACCATTGCTGCAGAAAGAGAATCTCATTACAGTGTTTACCTCATAATAGTAAACACATTCATCCTTTTAGTTCCATTCCATTTGACATTGCTGCTTACGCAAACTCCGTTTTTTGTAGATTTTTGTAGAAAATATCTGCTTCCATCTGTGTGCGTTTGCATGTGTGTGCGTGTGCACGTGTGTGCCAAGCCATAACAGATCTAATGAGACAAAGTACTTTGAGGCAACACTTTTATAAAAGATACTGTACTGTATCAAATCTCACTATATACGGGTTCATGTTTGTGAATTACCAAAGAAAAAAGTTGTATTGATACAGTTGTCAGATTTTGATGAAGCCAAATGAAATCTGTTTGTGCGACACAGGAGAGACGGACAGATTGAGAAACACATATGACAAATAGGACAAAACATCTGAAAACTCACTGCCTTCTGTGGAAGCATTTAGAGTATACTAGAATTTAGAAGATCTGATGAGAAACACACTGAAAAAAGGTCATTCTTATTATTATAAAAATCTGTATATGCTGATTAGATAGCTGTGAATATTTCACTACAGCTCAGGGAAATCAAGAAATAATGTACGACGCTAGTTTAGCTGAGGTCATAACTTCCTTTAAAGTAATTTGTGTCACTAGCTTGCTCACAGTTTTGTAGTTTTGTTTGTTTTCAGAGATGAATTTTTCTCACCAGTGTGGTAATGCAGAAGCAGGTCCTGACTGTAGTCTCCTGCAGTCATGGGATTGAATTCCACAGTCACCTGCATGCCCTCGCCTACATCAAGAGCTCCACAGGAGGGTGTTATTGAGAAAGGCCTGGATTAAAATGAATACAATTTCACTGGATGGAATAAAAACACAGACATTAAGGCTTGGACTTTTATAATAGCCTAGGTGTAATGTTGTTTTGTGAGAAGAAACCCAGATATTGAATAAAACATGTAATCAACAGTAATTACTATAAATGTTAATGAAATGTATACTATCACCAAGTATAGTAGTAGTTCTTGAAGAGGTTGCTAAGCAAATTGTTTGATTCTGCATTAATTATATAATTTACATATTATACTCACAAATGTAATTTTTTAGGTATCTAATAACTATTTGCTGTGTAGTAAACTATAATAGATGAAATCACTCAAACAAAAAACCGTCCTGTTTTGACCCTCACCTCTGTGTGTGTAGCTGGAACATGGCCTTGCAGTTTCCTATGTTGCGAACTAGAGTAGTCCGCTCTGTGGAGGCTTTCACAAGACAGACGGGTAAATGGAGCTCGTCACGAAAGTCAAGAATGGCACGTGGCCCAATGGCATGGATTGGGACCTCAAATCGTTCTCTCTCTGTCACAAAAACCAGTCTGTGGTGATAGTCCTAGATTAACAAAATGAAAAAAATATTATTGAAGTGTGTTAGGTGAATCAGAGCCATCTGCATGTCAGCAAGGTCCGGATGGAGACACAAGTCACAAATACACACATATTCTGAATTGTTTTTTTTTCGATTAGCTACTAAACCATTGTTTTAGTATTTTCTAATATAAAGTGTGTGTACACCACTACTCAACCACAAAACATGTACATAAATAACAAAACTAAGAGTACAGCCATGCCAGTGGGTTGTAGTTAACATTAGCATACTCACAAAAACAATACTAGCATGTTGATGTTTAGTAGGTATGATATTTTACCTTATTCGCCATCTTAGTTTGGCATGTTAGCACGCTAAATTATGCTAATTTGCATTAAACACAAACTACAGGTGAGGCTGACCAGAATTCCATTAATATTTGGTCATAAACCAAAGTATTGGACAAATAAAAAAAACTGACCTGATGATGGCACTAGTAGCAGTAGTCAAGAGAACATACGTTATTAAAGTTGAACCACTAGGGATGATAAACATCTACCATTGTCCAATAGTTCCCTTTTCAGTGTTTTCCATCCTCAGACCTATCTGTAGCACCCCAGCACAAATAGATTCCTCAAGATGATCCAACTAACTGTGCAATGTCTCCTTTCTAATCTTCTTTTTGCTGCTTGATTTAAACCTAAAACATTGTGGGTACGACTATTTGCTCTTATGAATATAGCTGGTTGTGGATTCAAAATTATCCTTTAACCTTGGATGTAGCAGATGAGTAGATACTAACGAGTTACTTTGGAGCCTATGTGTGTGTGTGAGTGTTTGTGTGTAATTAGGGTCATGAAGTCAAAGGTGACATAAGTAATGGTAATGAGAGGACAATTTACAACATCCTTAGGGAACTGGGCTGTGAACAGAGTGGGTATTTAGCCCTTGATGGCTGTGGTGTATTATATTTCCTGCTCAACGCAATTTTCTGAGGCCCCGTCCACACTACTGTGTTTTCGTTTTAAAACGGAGACCTTTTGCTATGTCTGCACCTCCCGTCCAAACTAAAATGACAAAAACGAAGACCTAAAGCGTAAAAGTTTGGAAACGCTGCCGACCGCGTTTTTCCTTTTGAAACTCCAGGGGGCGTTTTAGTGAAGACGGGCAAAAATGGAGGACTTTAGAAACGATGACGCGGATGCTCACGCGTGGCTCGCTGATTTGGTCTTATGTCATGCAAAGCAGACACATTGTGCTACTGACAGAGTTTTTGACTCGGTATTCTTATTAAAATATTCTGTACCGAGCAAATAACACTTATCTGCCTATGCTTGTACAGTGCATGTCGTCGCTTACTTTGCGACGACTCCCAGTCTGTTTTCCGCCACCAAACTCCCGTGTTACATTCACTAACAGTCCCAGCTCGTTACTGGTCCATGCAAAAAAAAAAAAAAAATCTGGTCTGATTCTTTGTCTGCATTACTTTATTATTTTGCCAAATCTTCTGTAACTACGGAAGAGACCATCTGCTTCATGTTTACACCGGCATGTGCGTGCCTAGTATACATGAACGGCCACTAGATGTGCGTTTTTAGTCGTTTTAATGTAAACTCTGATACGCAGCTAAAATGCTGGTGTGGACGGAGATCGTATTCGTTTAATTCTGCGTTTGTAAACTAAAACAGAGTAGTGTGGATGGAGCCTGAGGGTCCTTGTTTCCTCTCCACTCCTCTGTCTCTGCAGCTATGATTTATTCTCAAATTACCTCTTAATTGGCTGAGTTTTTGTATTTCTGTTGCGACTTTTGTATTTGTGTTGTGGTTTTTGTATTTCCGTTGTGACTTTTGTATTTGTGTTGTGGCTTTTTGTATTTGTGTTGTGGCTTTTTGTATTTGTGTTGTGGCTTTTTGTATTTGTGTTGTGGTTTTTGTATTTGTGTTGTGGCTTTTTGTATTTGTGTTGTGGCTTTTTGTATTTGTGTTGTGGTTTTTGTATTTGTGTTGTATTTGTGTTGTGGCTTTTGTATTTCTGTTGTGACTTTTGTATTTGTGTTGTGGCTTTTGTATTGTATTTGGCACCTCTGGGCCACCGTATCAATCTGCTCACTTGTGATAGTGGTTTTTGGGCTGTGTCCCCATTTATACTATCCTGTAGTTTTACATTCAGTGGTCACACGATCTTTAAGGGTAATGTCTCCTTTCTAATCTTCTTTTTGCTGCTTGATTTAAACCTAAAACATTGTGGGTACGACTATTTGCTCTTATGAATATAGCTGGTTGTGGATTCAAAATTATCCTTTAACCTTGGATGTAGCAGATGAGTAGATACTAACGAGTTACTTTGGAGCCTATGTGTGTGTGTGAGTGTTTGTGTGTAATTAGGGCCCTGAAATCAAAGGTGACATAAGTAATGGTAATGAGAGGAGAATTTACAACATCCTTAGGGAACTGGGCTGTGAACAGAGTGGGTATTTAGCCCATGATCGCTGTGGTGTATTATATTTCCTGCTCAACGCAATTTTCTGAGGCCCCGTCCACACTACTGTGTTTTCGTTTTAAAACGGAGACCTTTTGCTACGTTTGCACCTCCCGTCCAAACTAAAACAACAGGGAAAAAAAGACTTAAAATGAAGAAGTTTGGAAACGCTGATGGTTATAAACATACAAAAACGTCAGGGGATCACCAAAGTCATTAGAATTAATCCTATGGGAACCGTGAACAATTTGTATCAAGCATAGCATTGTAGAGATATTTCAGTCTGTCAATATCTTTGGTCTGTGGACTGACCGACCGACAGATCAGATGCCATCACTAGAGCCGAGCTGCTAGCAAGACTGAAAACAGTGTGGTGACCACTGTAAAACAGCCACAACACACATGAAGGATTATGTAACTTTTAATATAATGTTGGTACATTCAATGCTGACCCTTGCTTTTCAGGTTTCACTTTCACCCATAGTATCAATAATAGAGATGACAAAAGGATATGCTGGTGTAACATCCTGCCTGATCTGAGCCTTCTGACTTAGCCATTGGCAGAGATCAGTGCACAAACTCTGAGTGCAACGTGAATACATCCATTATAATGTATAGTCTGTCATTGATGTCATATTATTTATTATGTATTTTTGCTATATTATTGTCATCAGATGGAGTGCTTACTTAAGAGTATTATCTCTCTAATTTCACATTCTTACCCACATCGCATCCTCTGCTTCCCTACAGGCCGGATTACAGCTTCATCTAATCATCTAATCTAAATTCTATATCAGCCTCTTAAGTGCAGGTTACCTTGATACTTCATTGTGCTTCCTGAATTCAGCCTTCTAAGTATGATTATTCTATGGAGCAGTCAGACTACCTCTGTATCCAGTACCTTGTTCTCCTGCGGGGTAAAGGAGACAGCGAAAGTAGCAGACATTCCTGGTGCAACCTTTGTACATGCCTCCTCTGGACCGACCACATGGAATTGCTCCGAGTCCTGCATCTCCAGCTTCACTTGTCGTGAAACCTTGACAAAAAACATCAAACACACTTTAAGCCCACACGGCTGACAAAGTGGTCAGAGAGTTGGATTGTTTCTGTTTCATTTCACAGTTGTTTGCTTGACCATTTCATCAGCTCAGCAGCCATGTTGTTAGTGTAACTACTTCTTTATTCATCACTCATTCACACACCTTGTCATTGTTGAGGAGAAGTAGAGGTAACTTGTAGGTCTGTCCAGGAGTGAAGTTCTGGAAGACCAGCTCAGATGGGTAGGGCTGGAAAAGCGGCTGATCCATATCCACCAAGGACAACTGACACAAACACACACACACACACAGTATAAAATAACTCCAATCAAAGTAGATCTTTTCTAAAAAAAATCACCACATATACAGTATTAATTTCCATCCCTGTCATTATTAAGGGAATTATAACAGTAAAGATGAATAGTAAAGATTACTGTTTTTTAATGTTGTTTTTTTAAAGTCACCCATGGTAGTTCCTGGGTATGAGTATCCTGGGGTGCTCTAAATTTTCAAAAATATGTATTTCCAATTTAACATACAGGGCTTACTATATACTAAATTTGCATAATGATATGCATTTATCACATGATATTGCATTCTTTCATGAAAGCCCTATACATTCAATACACTAAATGTAGCTACGTATCTCTAACATGCATCATATTCAGGTTAATCAATTAAATGTGGTTATTCATGTGTTTTTTTCACAAAGTCAATTTATTTGTAGTAGCTACTTATTTATTAATTCATTCATAATAAATATTTTTGTATGTTTATAACCATCAACATCCATCTGGTTCATTGATACTTGAAAAGGGAGATCCGGTGTTATTGTCATGTTGAGTCATGGCTTACTATGTTTTATTAATATATTAAGGCATGACAGCAAGGTTACACCGTTATTGGATTGCTAGCTGCCATTTGCATCTCCTTCATCCACTAGTAGCCTACACTTTTACTTCACTACCCTCTTTCACTGTGTCATTGACAGTCAAAGTGAAAATAATACTGTATTGTATATTAAAGTGTGCAGTTTTGTGGCATTCTGGATGACCTAAAAAAGATCCTGCTGGTCATTGCTCCCACTTATCACCTGCAGTGGCCCACAGTGGAGGTTACTCATATTCACATTTGCATATTCGACAAGTCAACAAAAAATGTGAACAGGGTGAGAGGCAAAATGGGTCCTCCTAATGATGATGAGGGTGCATTTATTAATTTCATAGGTGAACTTTTGATGACATTTTTGCTCCAAGCCCCCCGTTAAATTCTGACTCTACAAGTTCAGAGCATTCAGTGACATTGTTTGCCCTCAGCCCATCAATTAATGCCTGCTGACTAAGCGGATGCAGCTTTGGAACAATGTAAATGACCCTAGAAGACAGCACAGTCACTGTAATGCAGGGGATTAATATGTCATAATAAGAGGTTTTCATACATTCTTGTCTTTATTCTGGTTATATTTAAATATATTTATTCATTTATATATTAGTTCAGCCCATAGGATCTCACATCTGGCTTGGCCAAAGTGTTAAACCAAGTATGGTAACTGGAGCTAAAGTATGTGCAATACAAATGCTGTGCTGTGTAAGTAACATTGGGAACATTTCACAAATGCAATTTTATATACCTTACTATATACTGTATCCTTGTGGTCAGGAAATGTTTTATAGTTGGTAGACAAGTTGTCAAAACCTAATGTAGGTTTCAATGTATTTTTTGAGACTCAAATGTTATAGTGGAATCCCTAGGGTTTTATTCTCAAAAAGATGAAAGGCGACAGCCGAGGCTTGTCTGCAGATGGCAGTGGCAATGGCAAACTGCTGTCCAACTTTTATCTTTTGCTGTCACTGTCACACTGATGGTGTTGGATCAGCCTCTAGTATGTGCTTCAAGTTCTTGGAACACATGACATGTTTAACTTGTTTCATCAACTTGTAACCATTTTTTCTGGTTGCTCTCTCATAAGAATTTAGTATTATTTTGTGGATAATGACAGCATAGCAAATAATTAAGCTACTGAAGTGTCACAGTATTAACTGGCATTTACTTTGTGATGCGTAGTCTTGCCCATGTCAAGCAGTTCCAGGATGCGGGGCGGGTGCACCTCGTTGATGTTAGCCAGGCGCTCCTCTGTAGACTTTAACATCTCCTGGGTGTAAACAGATGGACTCACCTGCAAATACACAGGAGCACAGGCTATTATGTTAACTGCATTGGTAGCCTGTTTCCTGTCTCATCAGCAGTGATGAGGCACCACATCAAACAAGACTGTTACGACTGATAAAATGGAAGAAAGGATAATGAGCTCAAGAGCTGTAGACTGTCACTCACGCAGCTGTCAGATATGACACAGATGCACAGACGCTTGGATCAAGAACATTTACTTGAGCTAATTTCATGTGCTCAAATAATGTTAATATTCTGCCCTTCAGTGAGGACTATCTGCAGCATTTTGTGCTTAATATCCTCTTTACACATTCCTCTGGCACCGTTTTATCAGAGCACCCAAGGCAAAGAAACATCTAACTGCACTTAGCCTATTTCAAAGTTAGGTCAGAAAAGGATTTTAGCTTAAAATCGAGATGAATAATGTAGCAGAGGGGTGTTATTGTATATGCAATATTTAATAGCTGCTAGTTAGGTGTGTATTCATAATACACTCCTTTCTATTATTCAGAGACAACAAAGTTGCTCTAGTAAACACTATTCTATATAAAGGGAAGTTGTGAAATAATATGGCTTTCCTTTAGATGGTGACTTCTCATAAAAGTCTCCTAAAATGTAATCAGTTGGTGTTTACACGGAGAAATGCAGGCATGAAACATTGTGCTGTGGGAGATAATAGTTGCACTATTATCTCCCACAGCACAAACACAAATGTTACGTTGTGTTGTTTTATTAAAAACACTTAGCAGTAGACATGCAGAGGGCATACACCATGATAGAGACTGAGAATATTTTAGATAATAATTAATGCTATACTGTTTCATTATTAATTAGTATATGCATTGCACTTTATGTTATTAACGCAGATAATGAGCACAACAAGATTTGTTATATGATTAAGAAACATCAGCTATCACCAAACTTGAAATCAATACAATTAACTGTAAGGACACATTATCAGCTTTATGTGGATCTCATACTGACTTGATGAAAATCTAAGTCCTTCTTCTTGTCACCTACTCTACAGACACAAGCAGCCAAGGAGAGAGCAGGTGCCTAAAATTGCTGAGCTGAGGTCAATGCAACAAAACACTGCAGTTGTGTATTGATTTTTGTTCCCTTTGAAGGCAAGGTAATTATTAGGACAATCTGTCAATTGAAGCAGCTTCTTTAAAAGAATGGGACAACTTCCAAACCATGGGTCACAGGAAATTGCCCCCCTGGTTTCAACATCTGATTAATTTCAGCTGGATACTTCTAAATCTGTGTTAAGCAACAAGCTGTCATGGCATGATTTTCTCACCTTTCTTGGCGTGTCTTCATTTAGAACAAGTTTATAATTGCAAGGCGGAGACACTTTGCTCCTGAGCCACTTTGTTCTTGCGTGAAGCGGATTGGCTGTCATTTTTAAAGTTAGGAAAATTCACCTGCAAAAAAGAAAAAAGAAAAAAGAAAACAAAAAGGTAACGTTAATGGAAGACGAAAGGTGTCATTTAATAAGCGCTAATGAAGTGCCCCTTTTATTGCCTTCTCTCTAATGTGACAGAATTACCAGAGATGTTTTTCCCTTCAATGTGATGCTAATGTGTAACTTAACAACTAAGTTAGGTAGGTTAACGTTATCTTTAGCAAATACCGTGCAGTGCATGTCCTCCAAATCCCCCAACTTTTGGAGGGTGGTTTCTAAGCTTAGGCTACTTTAAACTGGCCAAAACAACTGTAATTACTTATAATTAGAGTTAAATATAAACATTTTTATCGCACTAACTTGACAATACTCAACACGCACGTCATCCTGCCGACTCGCTGTCGGTTACATTAATGTTATTATTAGGCAGTAAAATCTATTCTACCTGGATAAAAACTTCTCTTCTGTCACTTAACGTTCGAGTAAACTCAACAAGTGAACTTTTCCTGTTGCAGTAACAAAAAATGTTAAGTATTACCACTCCGTAGGTGAATAAACACCGGATGAAGCTGCCGAAATTCAGCCACGAGCTCCAGGGTCCCATTCGTTGTGGTTTGTTGCCTTGGCAACGCACTCAACGACCTCCCAGTAAACTGTTTTCTGATTGGCTACCGGTTGCTGTATTTAAAAAACTGTGACGGTATCTGTAACAAAGTTGTTTCATATTGGCACAACTCGTCCTTGTTAATAAAAAATAACGAAGAAATCAGGTCATACCATGTGAGCAGTCATGAGACCATGAATGAGATTGTCTCATTATGTAACCCTGTTGTAAAATAACAGTCTATAGGGCTATTGGACACAAGTGACTTTGAAAAGTTTAAAAGCAATATTAGCCTATTTCCTCCATTTTTTTACAACTGCTTACATGCGTTTTCAAAACTATGTCTCCTTTTTTCAAAACTCTTTTTTCAATTCCCAAAGCTGCTCACACCAAATGCAAAATGCCTCATATGTCCTTCAAAATTAATGCATTCACAATGCCATAAATACGCACAAAAAATGAAGCACTTAATGGCAAACACTTTTTTCATAATAGTAGCCTACATTTTTGGATACACCGTGCACACACTGTTCTTCTAAAACCAAAGGTATAATTTTTAGAATGAAGAACAAATTTGTGTGTGTGAGTGTCCTTTTCCTATAAAGGGCAGGGGGGTTCATATACTTTCTCTTGCTGAAATAGTCTGTTCTCATTTCTGATGGTTCGAAAATTATGGAAATGGTAAATACGTGTAGCATTTTGATTGGTTGTGTTTAGAAAAGGAAAGCAAGTCAATCCCTGCTAGATTCTTGTGTCTTCGGTAGAGAAATGTGTGTAGTGTTTTGAAAAAAGTGTTTTATGCAATTGAAAACTGAGTGAAAGGCTGAGAAAGAGCTGATCGATGGTTTTGGAAATTTGGTGGGTAGTTTTGCTCTTTGAGTGAGAGGTTTCAAAAACCATGTGAAATGTAAAGATTTTGTGTGTAAACTGTAATTGGTCATCCAACTTGTTCTGGTTAAAACCTGAATCAGTTAACAGACCTAGATTTGAATAGAAGCAAAATTGGTACTTTACTTGAATATGCCTAGGCCTATAATAGGCCCACCACAAAGTAAAAATACTCCAGCATTTTTAAATCTCAGCTCATTTTAACCTACTGTTGTGCAGTTAATTGTTACCGTTTTTTACAGTCGCTAGGACACATTTCCCAATATTTAGGTCACTTTTTCAAAACTCACTTCATGAACTGCTGCGCCGAGCTGAAAGTTGGCTTGGAGAACTTTCAGCTCGGCACAGCAGTTCATTTGACTTTCATAATGCACTAAAACTACCAAATCACTTCATACATGTCTCAAATGAACTCATTCTTCCAGAACACGAGCAAAGTTTGACAACAAACACACTTTGTCACCCACAAAACAATGACCTAAAAAACACTAACAACAGGTAGCATTATACAGTGTTTTCTTGTGTAAAACAACGACACATCTCTGTTTATAATTCACTGCAATATATGTTACTGGAATGAATCAGACATGATGCAGAATGCTTCAATATATTTTATGTCTTTTATTAATTTTTATTTTTTTACATTGAGCAATTCCAAAATACAAAAATATTTATACACACCATCCACTGATACAGATACATTCTCCATTTGGCCACAGGTTCTCATCCACATCACATCTTATGTCATCTAGGGCAATACACCTAGGAAAGGAGGAAAAGTGACACCATTCTGGGATGGGCTGCAAACCACTCGGTGACTGCACAGGAGTGGTGAAATGCCACATTGTCCCATACAGTTATAAATGTTGGCTGATTTCTTCTCTCTCCATCCCTTTCCTCACCTAGCATAACCCTTCCATAGAGATCATGCAGGAACGCAAGGAAACGTTCAGTGTTGTATGGCCCAATTAGTGGTTTGTGTAACAGCAGTCTATCAGTGGATATTGCTGCGCACATTGTGATGTTGGCACCCCTCTGGACCGGGACATCCACTGTGGCTCTCTTCCCAATCACATTCCTTCCTCATCACCGTGCTTTGGCCAAGTTGAAACCCGCCTCATCCACAAAGATGAAAATGTGGGGTGTTTGCCTGACTTCAATCTCCATGACTCTCTAAAATAAATCCACAAGGCAACATAAGCTGTTACAGTAGTAAACATTACCCAAAAAGTTGTCTTTGTGTGTGTTTGGTTTTGTTCAAAAACAGTTCTGTATTTTATTATGATCTTACCTGGACATATTGGTTCCTGAGTTCCTCTCAAAAGGCACAGAGAACAACTGATGTTTTTTAAGGACTCTAGAAATAGTTGTTATGCTTACACTGTGAATATTGGCAAAAGTAACATTGTCTGCCAAGACTCTGTCTTGAATCTCAGTGAGTTTTATGCCATTGTTTCTGATGAACATATCAACAATGGCAGTTTCCTGCACATCAGTGAACATTCTTCCTCTCCCACCTGTGTGAGGTAACCGTTGAGTCCTAAGCAGAAATGCAAAAGCAATTACACCCAAGTCTATTTACTTCTGTAATGTGCAACTCAGTCTAATGCCCTTGCAGAATACAAGTTACCTGTTGGTTTTTCCCAGAAAACTCTAACAATAGATGCCACTGTTGAGCGCTGCAGATTTGGCTGCACTCTCTGACCAGCCTCTCTCACTGAGAGACCATGATTTACTACATGATCAGTTACAGTAGCTTTGATCTCATCTGAGACTACAGCTCTTGAACTTCCTCTTATTCTTCTTCCACCACGCATACGTATTCCTCGGCCCCTCACAGCCACTCTTCTTCCTCTTTCAGCTACTTCTCTGTTTCTTACTGGGTCCATGTTTACATCACAATGCAAAACTACTCAGCAGTTGTCTCCTTTTGTAATGAAATTGAAAGAGTAACACCTGTGTAGATGTTCATCTACAATGAGAATCAGCTGTAGTTGGTCCAATTGTCCAATTGTTTTTATAGCATTTAATTTTAGGATTTACAATATATTTCATTAAAATATTACTGTAAAATTGTAGCAAATTTCTGTCTTATTCAGTTTTGTATTATGTTATTGTTTTGAACTTAAGTTTAACAGTTTTAAAAACAGTATGTAAGCATGTGCAAATTGGCCTTTGGTGGTTGTTGTGTCGCAGTGAGAAAAGAATTAATGTAATTTGAAAGATGTAGTCACTGAATACATTTTGTGCCAAAGCAATGATAATTGATCCTCAGTTTGGCCCACATATACTTCTGTTGTGCTCACTGTGTGAAGAGCTTTGAAAAAGTGACCTAAGTATTGGGAAATGTGTCCTAGCGACTGTAAAAAACTGTAACAGTGCATATTTTGTAAAATCAATGTAATGTTAAATCAAAAGCGAATAAATGTAGCCAAGTAAAAAGTACAATTCCCTCCCTAATGTTTAGTGGAGTCAAAGTATGAAGATACGTCAAATGGAAATAAATGGAAATATATGGAAATAAATGGAAATAAGTGTGTGTGTGTGTGTGTGTGCGCGCGCGCGTGTGTGTGTGTTTAAGGGGGTCATTATGAGGACAAGTGAGACTACAAAAGAGATTTGAAAGCCCAGTGAGCATAGTGACAGGGCAGGAATTTCTAATATGACCTACAAATATCCAGAACAGATCCACTGATTTATCCCTCTTGACTGACGTGTTCATGACAGAGGCCTACATGTTTTGGACAGACATTTTACAGAGGTTATTAATGTTTTTCAATTCCCCCAAGTAGAATCACTTCATCACACCCTGATCACCACTGAGAATTTTGGTGACTGAAACTTCTGACATTATTATATAAATGTTTCTCACTGCTGAGTTTGAGTGAATGAAATAATATAATAATGATATTTAAATGATCTAAATAGCACTGCTTGCATTATGGTCAAATGCTATTTCAAAGCCTTCTCCACATTGCAAGGAAAAAATCTTTATTTAGGCCTAACTAGTCGGATTTAAATATATTGAGTCTAAAAACATTGGCATCCGCCTACACATTAAAATACCCACATGTGAATGTAAACTCCCCGACTGTGTTACTGTAAAATCCTGAAATCCCAAGAAAAAATATTAAGGACATGACCTCAGTGTCCTCCAGCCTTGGATATACTCATTCATGTCACAAATATCATAAAGTCGGTTAATTTGTTAGTTAAAGTGAAATTGTAGTTTTACTGTGCATTGCTGCTTTGGTAAGAGACACTGAAAGAGTTTATTTGATCATGTGTCATTATACCATATTGGTTTATAGTTCTCTTGACTTACAGGCTCACAGTATTATGTAGTTACAGCTGCTGGTACTCAGTTTTTGTACTTTCTCTCAACGCCTCTTTCATTCTCTCCTTCTAACCCATGAGTCAGCACTTTGAATTGTTATGCAGCTTGGGTGTGTGTGTGTGTGTACATGTTTCATTTCAGGAAGATAGGTAGCCTACCATGTGGAGCTCCCTGGATTTGAGGTGTTTAACCAAACTCAGTAGCCTAACTCTGATGTCATTTTGGCGTTATTTATTTATTTGCTGTTAATCAAAACATTGTTGCTGATCTGTTTGCTTTCCTCATCTTTCTGTTTCCCTTTCCCTCTGTTGCCCTCTCATTGTTTCTCCCTCTGTTCCCAGCCCTGTCTCTCTCAGTGAACGGATCAGTGAGCAGCCCAGCCTTGTAGAAAATTGGATTTAGTCTTCTTCAAAGGGACCGGGGGTCCGTTTAGGCCCCGCCCCTTCGTCTTATACGCCGTGACGTCGGCGCGCACTGTGATCTCAGCAGATTCTCCTGTACCCGCTCCAACACTGTCAACTCTGCACGGGAAGAGTCTGTCAAACGCGACACGAACAGCGTTTTATCAGCAGATTGATCATCAGACATGGAAGCGGCGTCCTCATCCCCCACTCAGTGCAGGTAAGACCGATAAGGCAGGATGTTGGTGGAAATGATCCCCATGGCTGTCAAGGCTACACTGTAGGCTAGCTTTATTACAGCCTATTAAGGGTCCTGTGGTGTTCAACGCATAACGCTTGTGTAATCCGTTGAGTTTGCAAGACGCATCTTGGTATGGACTGTGCTATTTGACAATCATTCAGAGAAGACAGTAACATGAAGGCTTTATTCTGAGGATTAGCCTGGGGGCTTTCCTCCCAGGATGACACCTGGCTCTCACTCTAACGTAATGTGTGTATGTTACAGGTGGCATGTCATACATAACTTTAAAGTCTGCTTCCTTTCTCTTTAAATAGACACGTCTACTTTCTTTCATTAATAATGCTTTGTGTCAGCTCACTGAACAGGCCAGTCTTGTGTGTCCAGTTCACAGGGAGCCTCTTAGCAGCAGCCCAGACTAGCCAGACTCTCTTGTGTTTTAGGGGAGTGTTGTGTTGCAGGCAGATCGCTCTCCTGCCTGGATACATACATTCCGGCAGGACCATGGACAGTTCCGCGTTGGCCGGTCCGCGAGTGCCAGAGAGGGGAGAGCCCAGGAACTCACTTCCTGCTTTCTGTTTCCTTGCTGTTACATAATACCAGTGGTGGATGAAGTATTCCGATCCTTTACTTAAGTAAAAGTACTAATATCTCACTGTAACAAAATACTCTGTAACAAGTAAAAATGTTACTGAAGTAAAAGCATGTAGGCCTAAGTATAATCAGGAAAATGTACTTAAAAGTATTAAAAAGTATTAAAACTAAAAGTATGCAGAAAGAAAAGTGTCCCCTATGACTGCTATACTAATATATATTATATTATTAGATGATTATTACTCGTGCGTTAATGTAAAAGCAGGATTTTACTGTTGCAGTTGGTTGAGGTTGAACTATTTTGTAATTATATTATGTTTGTAGTTATTTTCTCCATTAATTGATTGTAAAAACTTTGAAAATAGTGAGAAATTATGTCACAATTGCCCACAGACCATAGTGACACCTTCACAATGCTCGTTTTGCCAGTCCAAACCTCAAAATAATTAAAAATACATTAAATTAATCAAAAGGAAAAGCAACAAACCTATGAACCATGTTTTTACATAAAAATGACTTTGGATGTATTTATTTCAATCAACAAATGAATTAGCTGCTAAAACATATGATGTTTTGTATAACAAAACATCATATGTGTTAAACTCTTCATATGTTTTGTGTGTACAAATCTTACTTTGTAAAGTAAGTAATAACTGAAGCTGAAGCTGATAAATGTAGTGAAGTAAGTATGCTATTTCCCTCTGAGATGTAGTTGAGTAGAAGTAGAAAGTGGCATGAAAAGAAAATACTCAAGATAAGTACAAATACCTCTAATTTGTACTTAAGTACAGTACTTGAGTAAATGTACGTAGTTACTGTCCACCACTGCATAGTACAAAGGCCTGTATGTATGACCTGCATGATCGTTAAACATGAGCTCATGTAAAGAAAACACCAAAAGGCCACGCCTGTGTGAATACATTTAAATCTATATAAATACATAAATTAATGAAGAGTCTACTAAAAGAAACAGAACAGTACTAAAAGAAAAACACAGAAATACAAGTATGCCAACAAACAGTACTTTAAATATCTTTTAGCAATTACGATACTATATAAAAAGCATAAAATATGTAACTATTATTTTCCCATACTCAATAAACATCTCAAGCATTAGTTTGATTAGTTGCATTAACGTCTTTGGCCTCTTTTGGTGAAATGTGTCATTTAAGTTATCTTTCATTTATTTTTTGGGTAAGTTTGGTTAAAGTTAGGTTTTGGTTTTGAGAGAAATTAAATTCACACGGTCCACATTTGATCCATAGGTGTACAAGAATGTAGCTCACGTAGCTGCAGTAATGTGCAGTTAATGTGGCTATTCATTTTAATTGAATGGAAATGTGTCTTTCGGGTTAGAATATATTTTGTATGAATTAAGTTTACAAGACTCAGTTTTTAGTAAGCATCATAAAATCATCAAAAAAAAGGTTTTAAAGAACAGGATAACCAATAACAAGATGGTATTGTATACTGAATCTTGTGGATTTGAAACGTCATGTTGTTCTTTTATGAAAGGCGCCTAAAGTTATGTCAGAGGTTCTTTCAAAATGCCCATTGTTAAAACACTTTTCTCTGTCACCTGTTAGTTAGGTCAGTCTACTTGGCTATTAGTAAATCCAGGTGTGTGACACATTTACAACATAATTTACATTATTCCCCCACTACCAATCTCCTTATTTATGAGAGGAATTAACTGATGTTCATATAAAACCTTATAGCAGAATTACAGACACAGGAAAAGTCATGTTGCTGGATAAGAGATGTTTTTTATGGTTAAGTTAAATATTGCACACCCCTCCTGATGTCTTCATATTTCTTGGGTTTATGAATCACTGATTTAAAAAAAAAGATGCTCAGCTGTCGGGTTAATTGACCTGAAATTCTGTCATTCATTCTCCACCATCCAGTGAATCTGTTTATGAATCACACACTAACAGAGCAGTAGAAGTTTGCCTACATGTGGGTGTAGTTGTGTGTAACACTGCTGCCATTACCACCTGAAGAATTATGTGACAGGTTGCTTCTGTGACTGACAGGCCGGTTGTGTTACCGTTGTCTGTACTGTAGAATAAACTGATTACTTGTAGGGTGTTATGTTCATTTTTCCACAGATTTTAGATTTAGAAATACACTTTATTTTTGTCTTGATAAAGTTTTAGGTCTCACTTAGCCATCACTCAGATAGTTGGTTGGAGCTTTATTCACACATAAAGGTTCATCACTTTGACTTTTCTCTGTCCCAGGTACCAACATACCTACTGTAATGAAAGATTTCCCAGTTCCTTTTTGAGCTTGAATTAATAAAGAAACAAGGGGAAATATGGGAAGATTGAACACCCAAGGCTAGTGTAATGTAGCTGTCATCTTAGATGGCAGCTCTAAAATGGGTTAGAAGTCATCAGGCTCTCTCCTGTTGCAGATTTGTCTGGTAAAGGCTGCAGCCTGAAGTGTCATTGTGTTTTAATAACAAAGCTTGAGGCATAGAGGGGACATTAAGAAGGTTATAGCTTTACAACCAGATTTATAACCAAAATTACAGACTGTTTCAGACTTGTGTAATGTAGCACCTCGAGACATTTCCAATCAAATCAGCCCTCATCCCTGAATACTAATTTAAGAAAAAAACATTGTTGCACAATGTATTATTTATTTATAATTTTACAAAACTTTACTTTCCATGTGTTTTTACTCCTGCAATTAACTCCAGCTTATCTTTCAACTTCTATCTAACATGGTTTTTACAGAATGTTGGATAATATTATCATGACAATGAGCAGCTTAGAGTGAAGTTGATTTGTCATCTTGACAAAGACATCCTATTGTTTATGTTAAACCTTTTGCAGAATTATTTCTGCAAAAAACTAGCCAAACGAACTTTTCTTGTCAGCAGTGTTTGTTACTGCCTGGATGTTAAAAAAGCCATAACCTGTTCAACCTGCTCTACTGGACAACTGCCATCATGTGTGGACAACTGTATGTTTGCTGGCGATTAACATATTCTGTTTTCGGCAGAGTCTTCCCATAGCTTTCTCAATGCAATATATTGTTGTGTTTAAATGTTGTTTTTTTTATTGCTTCCACATTGCATATTTATTTTAGGATGCATGCATTCATTACTTTCCTCTGCCGTTTAACACACCAAAAAAATGTAATCAATACTTTTCTGCTCACATTTAATTCACACTGTCTATCATACACATACTATTGTTGAACATTGACATTAGCTGTGATGTTGATTTGTATTTATGATGTTTTTCTTGGTGAAAATAATGGTGATGCTGGTTGCATCAATAATTCTCTTTGATATATGCAACTGATTCATAACTAGCAAAGCTATGGTTTAGTAATATTTGACAATAATCAATATTTTCCCCATTACTTTCAGATACAGTTATGAAGTGTATAAAGAGACAGCAGACTGGCTGCTGGCCCACACAGAGCAGCGTCCGAAAGTTGCCGTCATCTGTGGTTCAGGCCTGGGTGGCCTGGCTGACATGCTGAGTGACAAGATTGTGGTCCCATACAAGGATATTCCACATTTTCCCGTTAGCACTGGTAAATTGTCTCTAACAAATTAAATTTAATCTAAAACTTATTATTAGTGTTTGGAAACTGTACATCAGCATGCTAGCAGCTGCTCATACTGTATGTGTGCTGTGCAGTGATGGGTCATGCCGGTCAGCTAGTGTTCGGGAAGCTGCAGGGCCGTGAGTGTGTCTGCATGCAGGGGAGATTCCACTTCTACGAGGGCTACAACATACACACAGTAAGCTATAGTAGGCCTGCATAAGGTGGCTATATGGAATTCTGCTGGTGGTACTTTTTTATTAGTAAGCCAGGACAATGTTATTGCTAAAGGTGAGCTGTAAATAACTATTAGAATTAACTGGTAAAAACATAAAAAAAACACAAGACTTAAAGTCTATAGCCATACTTTGGCTATGTGAGGCTGTACTTGTTTTTGCAGCAGCCCTCTGAATGTGAAAACTTCAAATTAGAGCAGCGAAGCAGCAGATGTAATTTAGGCACCAAGTTGCTAAGGTCAGCATGCAAACACTAAACTGACTTTTCTTGTTGGCAGTTGTTGCCTGGATGTTAAAAAAACAATGAACCTGTTTTACTGGACAATTGGCATGTAGGCTTGGACAACTGTATGTTTGCTGCCCTAATTTGCTCATTGCAGTATATTGTTTGGGTTAAGTGTTGTTAACAGTGCTCATAGTGATCATGCTAACATGCTGATACTCCACTACCACAAAGTACAGCTGAGGCTGGTGGGAATGTCATCAAACATAGTTTTATATGTATTCAGTCCAAAGTATTGGATAAATTTAGCTTAATCTGACAATCACCAAATCTTGTGTCTCATGTGTTAAATTTCATTGCAATCCATCCAATATAGTTGAAATGTTTCATTCTGGACCAAAGTGCTGGACTGACCGACCAAGATCTTGTTGTAATAATATAAGTAAATACATAAAAATATAATATAGTATAAAAATAAAAATATAAAATATTACAAGCTCCTTCAGTGACAGACTGATACATCCACGCTGTGTAATGGAGAGATTAGAGAAGATCTTTTATTCCTGCAGCTGTGAGACTTTATAATCAGCACTGTTCACAGTAACCACAACTCAGAGACTCGCAATTCGTTAGTATTATGTTTATTGTCACTTATCACTTTATTCTATGCTATCCACTTGCCGCTGTCTGAAATTTCTCACCTGTGAGACAAAAAAAAGCCTGATCTTATCTTATCTTATAATGGTGGAGGCATGGCTGAAAACATTACAATGTGTTTGATCTTGGTTTATCTATTGGTGTTCATGATACTGAAATAATATTAATTAATTAAAGAATTCTAATTAAATTGAATACTATCCATGTGATGAACGGATGGTGCAGAAATGCAGACATATCCATTTGTTACTTCTCTAAGTTTCCTTGTGATCAGCTTTCTGTCTCAATTTCTGTCACAAGCCAACTTGCTTCTGCATTTGAAACCTTGCTGATGCGAATGATACACTATACAGGATAACTGAACTAAAGCTGGCAGTTTAGACTCTGACTTTGTCAATAACTTTGAGGAAAACATTTACAGCTTCTCTAGTTGCATGCCTAATCTTTACACCATACGTGTGCAAATACTTACTCTGTTATTCTTGTCTTCACAAGACGCAGGATTCATTTTGTGCCACATCTTTTCATTACCACTTTAAATTTAATAGCTCAAAGTGGACTTTCTTTCATATAGTTTTACATTCCCTTTCAGAGAATCAACTCTCTGTAAACTCTCTTTAAATTTGGTGTCTTCAGTTGCCTTTTGACTAGAGTATGACAGACCATCGTATAGCTCACCCCTTTGGCTAATTTACGATGACAGTAAGAGAACCACCCAGTGTGGCATAGTGAAGATATGGGACTCCTTTGGCCTGTGTAGACACCGTATCCTGGTTTTATTTATTTTATTACCAGCTGTGATGCGCCATCTCCATATAAAATTATCCATATAACCCTACTGTACCATAAAACCCAGTTTCATACATACAGTAATAGAAAAACAGATGCATGAAGGCCCTGAATCCAGTTAAGACTTTATACAGAGAAGTACTGGACAAAATGTCACGATAAACTGAGCAGAACTCAAAAAGATTTGACTCCACCCAAGCCAATTTTTCACCAGACATTATGTATTACAAATGTGCTTTTTTAGGAATTTGTGTTGTGTGTCCTGGAAAAAAATCCAAACTGAACAGAAGATTAGATGAGAATTAGTTTTTAGTAGCCACACTAGGGGCGTGGCTCTGTCAGTGATGTCAGTCGGTTGGTCGGTCCACAACTAACACTTTTAATTTGATCCAAAACTTGTTGCTTTATTAACTAAGCAAAACCAATGACAAACACGTCTGCCTCACCCTCAGCACCTTGTGGTTAGTGCTAATTAGCAAATGTTAGCAGGCTAACACACAGAACTTAGACAGTTAATATGGTAAGCATAACACCAAAATATAAATCTGAACATGAGCACTTAAAGGCTAAACATTAACATGCATTGTCATTGTGTGGCATGGATGTACACTCTTAATTTTGTTTTCTTTTTTGACATAAACATTCATTAACTACTGAAAACTAGCATAACACAGACAGTGCCTACTAAGGTTAACTCACCATTAACAGCACCCTGCTATAGTTTAACTATGGACAGTCCTGCTGTTACAGCTTACTGTGCTCACATTTCATACCTAACAAGGCCACAAGTTTTGTTCTAACACAGACCCCCGTTATAATATGCAAAACTCATTTCCAACAATGAACATTGCCAATGTTCCACAATGACAGCACCGACCTTATCAAGAAACCAGGGTACTTGAAAGCATTTCTTCCCTAACTAGAAAAACACTTTCACAGGCAATTCAAGCTGTGGAGAAATAAGAGATAGAAAAAGCTATTTCCAAATGTGGCAGCAGTGAGAAGCAACAACAGTCATTTACGGGCCATCAGCTGCCCTATAAAGGTTATTACAGAACCACAACTGTTTCAGACTTGCACAGTTCAAGGGCCTACATCAATAAAAATCCTAGTGTCTATTGACATCAGCATGTGTAGAAGCTATCCCTTTTAAAATATTGGTTTCTCTTGTGATACATTTTCTCCTCCATCTTGTAACTCCCATTGTAATAATGTGATATACTTCAAAGCCATAAAAGAACGACAGTATCTGTCTCTGAAGCACAGCATGTCTGTCACTCCAGGTGACGTACCCGGTGCGAGTCTTCTTCCTGCTAGGCGTGGATACTCTGATTGTGACTAACGCTGCAGGCGGACTCAACGACAGCTACAATGTGGGAGACATCATGCTCATTAAGGATCACATCAACATGCCGGGTTTTGCAGGGCAGAATCCACTGTGTGGACACAATGATGAGAGGTACAGCACAAACACAGAGTCAGAACTGTGAAAGTAAAACTGTTGCACTGGCAGCATCTGTGTCATTTAATGTCTCTTCAGGTTTGGAGTACGTTTCCCTTGCATGTCGGATGCGTATGAACGTGAACTGCGGGATCTGGCCAAGCAAACAGCAAAGGAGCAGGGCTGCGACAGCTTCCTGCAGGAAGGAGTTTACTGCATGCTGGCTGGACCGACATTCGAGACCATTGCAGAGTGCAGAGTCCTGCAGACGCTGGGGGCTGATGCTGTGGGTTAGTACAGCTCCCTTGTGTTCACTTAAAGGGATACTAATGTGTTGGGGGGAATACCTGTCTTTCTGTAAAGCTTACTAGTAATGTTTAAATGAATGTCAATACATTATTTGGATAAGAACAGAACCTGCACTCTGAACATATACACACACAGCATTTGAATTTTTGCAGTTCTTTTTTGAAAATGGTGTTCAAATACATATCATGTTTTATCATTTGATTGAGACCCGAGTACAGCATATTAAAAGAAAAACAAACATAGTCAGACATCAGAAAAGGACATATAGCAGAGACAGTCACATACATTGCTGTTTTCATCATATAATTTGTTCTCATGGAGATTGTGGCAAGAGCATTGTCTTACAAGTTGGTCCATAACCTTGCAAAGGTGTTCTACTGGGTTGAGATCTGGTGACTGTAAAGGCCGAAGAATTTTATTCGCATCATTTTCAAACCCACCAAACCATTCATTGAGCCCTGGTGCACAGAAGCATAGATAGATAGATAGATAAACACACACACACATACGTATATATCCATGCATCTATACTTGTGACTATGCCATGTTAGTGCACCTGAAACATACTTCTTCCCTCTTTGTAGGAATGAGCACAGTGCCAGAGGTGGTGGTGGCTCGTCACTCTGGCATGCGTGTCTTGGGTCTGTCCCTCATCACCAACAAGGTCGTGACAGATTATGACAGCAATGACAAGGCAAACCACGAGGAGGTGCTGAAGACCACCCAGCGCCGGACCCAGGACCTCCAGAGGCTCGTCAGCAACCTCATCATCAAGATCTAGTGCCTTCATTTACAATCTGTTGGCAACTTTTTCCTGCCTCACAATTTAATGATTAGTTACTAATCATAGATAATCGGTTAAAGGTCATAAACAGTCAAAAGTATGTGTAGGTGGTGAGCTGGGTGTGTTATTAAGTTATTATCTATTTGGGAATTTCATTGGTGTAGTTAGCTGGGGAAGTGAGTGAGAGGTTTTTGAGACAGAGAGCAGAGTTTAGACAAATATCTCGAGAATGTCAACATGCCATTTAGAGATGCTTGTAATGGCCAGAAATGGCCAAAGCTTTTGATGTATGTTGACAATGTCAGTGCTATCACAGCAAGACTGTCACAAGATGGTAACTGTTAGCCTGGGTCAGTCCAGTATATACATATATAGGGTGAGGGGTTAGGTTAGGTTAGTTATATTTCTGACAGCTAGCTAAATGTGTTCCTCAGAGGTGTAGTGGTGTCTATAAGTTTAAAGGGCAAAAACTAGCCAGTCTCCCAATAATATAAAAGTTTTAAGAGAAACCATTCTTACTCTTTAACTTACTCTTTAAAGGTCCAGTGTGTAACATTTAGGCGGGTATGTTGGCAGAAATGGCTGGAGTATGTTTTTATAAGTGTATGATCACTAAAGATAATGGAGTCCGCCATGTTGGGGATCAGCTGGCACCTAATTTCCTTTATTTTGTGATTGCTTGTTATTAACAACTAACTGTGCAATGAATGTGATCACATCCGAGTTGTTTATTTTGGAAGCAGAGAAATCACTTATTTTAATAATCTAATATATTTATTGATGGAAAAAATGTTACAATGTGGCAATGGAATTATCGGAATCCTTGTCGGATCTCCATTGGAAAAGAAAATAAGAGTTTAGCAGAATGAGTTTCTGAAAAGTCTGTTCAAGAATCGCTAGAAAAAGCACAATATAATCTGAATGAAATACCTAATCTGGCCCAGCAGTACTGATGATGAAGGTTTTCTGCCGTGGATTGTATTTGAATCAGTTTTGTTTGCACACCAAAAGACCAAAACACTGTAATATCGCAGGGGGTGGCGGTTGGGGGTTGGGGGAGTTGCAGTTTTCAATCTTCTCTGCGCAGATCTGGAACCTCCTGCCAGGTTCCCTTGACCATCTCATTCATTAGAGCTGAGAAGGCCAGAGAAATCCTAGATCAGCAGTCCAGCTCTTGGACAATTTCTATCAGGCTTAACATCAAGATGCTAATGGAAGTCTTAAAGGGGAATTACACTCAGAAAGAGGCATCATCGAAATGTGAAATCTGGAACTGTACCAAGCACAATAAACAGGGAAACTTGTTATACTGTATCCAGTTTGGTCTCTAACTCATGTACAAGTTAAACCTAAATATCCTAATTGACTTAAAACACTTTATTTTTATGCAAATGTTACTGCTGTGAAATAAAAACTTACAGGCGAAATTTTGACCCTGGTATTTTCTATCGTCAATGAGTGAGTGTTTATGTGTAGGTGTGTGTACAGGAGGGTGTGTGTGTGTGTGTGGGGGGGGGGTTATGTCCCAGAATCAATGTTTTTCAAGAGGAAAATGAGTTTCTTCCACTTTCAGCAATAATGATGATCAGTGAACAGGGAGATTTCTGTGACAAGCAGGGAGATAAAGGACTCCCTCCTAAACACACACACACACACACACCTCATTACCACATCCACACTTTCTCTCTCCAGCTCCAGCTTCACTCTTTCCATCCTTCACTTTAGACGCACCTCGAACAGATGAAGACGCAGTGAGATTGAGATGGAGTGGAAATGGCTGTTCCGTGCCCCGCTCTTTTCTGTTACATAATTCATCTACATACAGCATGTAGAGGTGCAGCCCACTGTGGAGCTGAAATATTAATACAAATGAACCAGGCAGCCTAATAACACAAACACAACACCTATACTGGGCTGGTTTGTATTTACACACATTCACAGATGTGTCACAACTCAGACTCACAGCAAAAAGTGAGCCCTCTACAGAGATATGCATTTAGGATGCAAATAGTGGGCTCTTTGCTTTGAATGGAGGGAAGTGGTGGACAGGACACAGATAAAGACAGACGATAGAAGTGACTAAAGAGAATAAGAGAGGAGAATGTAGTGTGTTTGAGTAGGCAGTCCCTGCAGGCTGGCGACAGGCTTCATCTGTAATGTAATGTTGATCTATCTATTGTCACTGTGCCAACTCAGCCCAGAGCCCACTATTGATTATTATAAGGTGAAAAGAGAAGCGGAGGAAATAGAGTGGGACAGCTCTGCTGAGTTTACATTCTTAAACGCTGTCACACAATAAGTCTTTTTCTCTGTCACACACAGACAAATAGATTGTTCTTATGCACTGTCATGTACCTGAGCTCACACAGTCTATGAAACAGCAGTACTACTGTTAGTGATTGTGACTTTTACAAGCAAAAGAAATAGCGTTAGTGAGGGAATGTCTCTGCTGACTTTCACGCGCTGCCTCCAAAAGGAGTCGGCTGCCAGCAGCGTGTCAGCACTGTACCAGCTTGCAGGGAGGATCAGAAAAATTACTGCTCCAGCTCTGAGGAGAAGTGACAGGTCAAGTTCTACAATATAGGTGTGGTGATGCCAACCCGGTTTACCCGGATCATCACAATTATTTGCCTCCACTCCCCCTTTCAACTGGGATAACCTTGATTTATTGCACTGAAAATACAAAATGTTAACACCCATCGAGCACTGTGCAGGTGTCTCAGCTGCCAACCTCTAGTACTGCTATTGGTCAAACTCACTTATTATTTGCAGAACATCTGGTTTCAAAAGCGTCCAACTCAGTGAGCTCTAAAAGAAATGGTGGGAAGTACACTTATTCACTTTCTTTACAAGAGTGAGAATTACAGGTAACACTGATGTCTGTGAGGGAAGTAAGGAGTTGGAGCCCGCAGGCAATTAGCTTAACCTGGCTATGTCCAAAGTTTCTACCAACAACTCTAAAACGTAATGCTGTTTACTATTATGGGGTTGCCAGGTTTGAGACCATCATCCATGACCAGAAACGTTTTTTAAACTTGGGCTCACAACTGTATGGCAATTCTGTTTGCCATAGAAATAGTTAAATCTTTTAGTTCCCCCTAAAACAACAAATTAATCTATTTACACAGACAAAACGCAGCATATTAAATAGTGAGTTTTAGAGGTGTTGATAGGTGCATTTATGAAATCTGGGCATCGTGTCAAGGTTGTGTTTTCAGTGTGAAGTGTTGAATTGAACTAAATAAGATGATCTAGCTTTTGACACAGCTTTAAGGACACTGTTGATTACGCAGAACTTCCTTAACTCATTTTTTAATTTTTTCACTTCAATTGGTCCTTTTCACAGCAGACATTTTAGCCTATGTTCACACTGCAGGCCTTAATGCTCACCTCTGATTTATTGCCCAGATCCAAATCTTTTAATTGACTCTTCACATTATTTTTTAAATGTGGTCCATATCGGACTCCAGAAAGTGACCTGCATGCGCAAATGAAAAAATTATGTCACACGCTGCCTGTACGGAAGTAAACATGGATTTGGATGACTTTGGCCTGCAGTCTGAACGTGGCCTTGGACATGTTGTGGCAGAAAGGGTACAGGAGTAATAACTGATATTAATTACACCTTACTGGGACACTGAAATGGAACGTGGAATACTCTAAATATCTGTCAAAGGGTAAACTGGAATCACCGTATAGGGCTTGTAAAACACAACCAGTTCATTTCACAGGATTTCAAGAGAGTGAGAGTCAATTGAAAAATGTTATTAATATTCTTCATGTGTGAAAAGCTGTCTCCAGATTTCATCCTACAGCAGGACAATGCTTCTAGGGATACTTGCCCTCCTGCTCATTACAGTCGTATTACTTCATCCTGAATATTATCACCTCTTGCAGTAAATGAGTTGAAGAAATATATATGAGCACATTTTTTTCATCCTCATTCCCCTAATAGGATCTGTGGCTTTGCCGGCCCCTCTGCACAGTAGACTAGCCATTAATGAAAAAGTTCTTGTTCTCCCCAGTTTTTTCAGAATTAACATTTATTATGTGGGCTAATCACTGCTGGCTGGAGGGAGTGTGGGAAATGTGATTAGTGTGTGAGTTCTAATTAAGTCTGTGAAGCCTCACACACTGGCAGACAGGCTCAGGGAGCTGCATGCTTAGATACACACACAGATGTAGGAAGGAACACACCCACACACGAACACACACGGAAACACACATGCATTTCATGTGCATACAGACATATGGGAATTTACAGGATCAAACACACACACACACACACACACACACACACACACACACACACACACACACACTCATGGGATCTACTGTAAAGCATGATGATGTAACATCAAAACAATCTGCCCTCTATCTGCATCTCTCTCATCTTTCCATCACACACACACATAAACACACACACAGTCTGCCCACTGCAGTGCCCAAGACGTCCTATCACACAACTACATCAAGCTTGGAAGCACACACACACACACACACACACACACACACACACACACACACACACAGGGACGCTGACTCAGATGGATGTTGACGGCGGCAATGCGCCCCCAGCGGCGGAGCAGCGGTGCTGCCGCTCGTGCGCCGGGGTTAAAAAGCGGCGGGCGGCGCGCAGGGGCCACAGTGTGGGGTGTGTTTGAACAAGAGACACAGAAAAGTTGGTTGCGGATTTTTCTGGCGTCTGACCTGCAGCACCATCCGTCGAGAGCATCATGGCAAACAAAGCACAGCAGCCTCCTCACCTGCACCTGGCCGAGGTCACCGCGTCCCAGTTCCTCGACATTTGGAAACATTTCGACGCTGACGGTAGGACACTTTTTTCTCTTCCTAAAGTTATTTCAAACTCATAATAATATCCCGAATTATATACCACTGCTGTGCAATACAGCCAATCGAAGGAAGGTTACAAATAATCGAAAAAGGCAGGAATGCATCCTTCTAGTAAAACCGTTATCAGGCTTAGAATAGCAGACTATAAAATCACAGCAAAAGTTTGTCGTTTTGGGATATTAAAGCGACAGATTAGAAGATTTAGGAAGAGAAAAAATAGCGGTATTGCAATATAAGGTTATGCAAACTCAATTTTACGGTGATACTTTAAGAATATTATCGGGACTGTTTGGTCTTTAATTAGTAATAGCCTAATATTCATTGTCTTCCTAAGTTTCCTGCTTGATGGATGAATGAAGTAGCCAAAACGGGACATTTTCATCTTTTACCTATATTGTTGAGAAGCTGATCTCAGACCATATATTTTGCATATGCCGAATTATTGCAATCATTTTTCTAAAAGTTCGACGTTTTTCAAATGCATTTTTAATGCGGCCACTCCCGACATCACGTGGTAGCCTAATTATTTTATTTTATTTAATTTTGAGGGTTTTTTTAAATTTTATTTAAATGCACAGGTAGATTTATTGTTTCTCAAGAAAGCATACGTTAACGTATGTAACAGAGACAACATACTAACATATACACGATTTTTATATATCCAATGAGCCCTAAATGATATGTAAAGTGTTTAAGCCGCATATCAAAGGACGAATAAATCAGATTTTAGGTGGATGCAGCCTTTATTCATCTGTCATTTTTTATGAGCGATCCCAGATAAGTCCTCTCATGGTAGGCTACATGAAGAAGCCTACGCCCTGCCATGCATGCAACTGAAGTGTAATTTTGCCATCATTTAATTAGCGTTTTCTGTGGGTTACAGACAGCTATAATCATTGACAGTTTGGATGTTGCCTAAGTAAATTGCTCTGAGTGATGCTCCATGCATTGGTATTGATTTCCAATCAGACTCTGGCTTATTTAGGTTCCATCAGTAAGCACAGTCTGTCAGATGGTGGTGCTCTTTATGCAGTCTGGTTTCTTCTTCAGACTCAGTCTTCATCAGTATCTATTCTTCTTGCAAATATCTCTGTGCACATGTGGCAGTGTTGCAGTGTGGCAGTCTGACTTTTTATTTCAGCAAATTCATCAGGCATGCGACTGCTGTCATGAAAGCCTCCCATGTTAAATTATGGAAATGTTCATATTTTCATTTCACTTGAAGATCTGCAGACTCCTCTGTGAACCGATGGAAGTGTAGATCAGACCCTTTCGAAAAGCACGGGGTAGAATTAGAAGTCCACAGTGGAGATAATTTTTTGTTTCCTGTAAAACTTTGAGAGTTTTGCTTTATTAAATCAACCTTCTTGTCCATGATAGTCTACACCTGCAAACAAGGCGAGTGTATTGCACCTATTTGTTTTACACATGTCCTCCTGGGCATTCATTGTTAGTGCAATCTGTTTTGACGCCTGCACACATGTTGAAATGCATTCCACAGGGCAATTTCAATTATATTTATATATAGCGCCAGTTCATAACAGAAGTTATCTTTGCACATTTCTTAGAGAGCAGCGTACTATTTGTAATATTATTTTCAGAGACCCTACAATTCCCACTATGAGCAAGCACTTGGTGACAGTGGCATGGAAAACTCCCTTTATATTTTAAAATCTAAAGAACGTAACTACATCTTGTTGCTATTGTAGAAATCTCAGATCTCTTGTTGTGCATGTTGCAAGAAAGTGGAGATGGAAGGAGGAGTTGGGTGGGGCTTTGCTGAGGGGCTCAGCAGCTGAGCTCCATATGAGCCAATGTGCAGTTGTTGTCATATCTGTTATTGATTTTACTCTTTTGGCCTGGTTAGAGCATATGGATATCAGTTCTACCGCCCAGGTGTGGGTCCTGCTGCAGAGGTATTTTACATATCAGCTTTGCAAATCAAATACAGCCAGTGCGCATCAACAGATTTGGGTTTGATTTGTGTTCTCATTACTGTGAGTGTCTTCTGGCTCGGCAGAAAGAAAAGGAGAGCTAATTTGTTTGCTCAGATTTGAGTAAACATCATTTGCAGATAAAAATACAAATACACAGGAGGCAATGCACCCAGAGATGATGAAACCACATATTCCCCCGTTGGCCCAGGATCAAGTCTCATCTGGATTGCGTCTCTCGTAGCTCCTCCGCTGTGTCCCTCTCATCTTTCGCTGCTGTCTCTGTCAGGCCTTTTCAATTCGATCACTTCAAAGCTGAAAAAGGAAACAACTGCAGTTCCTTTTGCTAATTATAGAGCATTTGCTGTCAATTATTTTTTCTTAACCTAGATATGGAAATTCGGAATATGAAGGTAAAACCACCTCCTGAGTTGAGTTGACCTGCTGATCTCAACTGTGATCTCAACACAAAATATTTGAATAGACAGGGCTGCACTCTCCTTTGAAAGGCAAATGCTTTTTTTTATATAGACTTAATGCACTTAGTTGGCACAGCTCCCCACTTTGAGAGTTTTTCTACATTGGGGTTGAATTTTAGAATCAGAACCAGAAGCGTACAGAGTCTTTACCAGTGTCTCCTGGGACTGTAATGACGCTGAATCCCAAAGAGTATGTATTTGGGCAAAAAGTGGTCTTTGTGAACCTTTTATCTTGCTGTCTGGTGCAAGCTTTAAGTGCTTGTGCTGGAAGACCAAAGTATATGAAAGTAAGTTTCATTATGACACATAAAACTAGTTATTTGACATTTAAATTGAATCATCTGGAAGTCAGTTGAAGTCAGCTGTAAACTGTATCCTCTGGCTGTGTCTTATTTAATTTTTCCTGTAAGATAGATACACTAATTAGGCTGTAGCATATATAGCATTTCATAGAAGAAAAACATATGGTACTGGAAGCATATTGTTGTGGCTTAAAGGATGCTTGGAAAAGAAATAACTTTCTACGTCTGAATAAGCACAGTACAAACAGATGCTCCCTTATGCACAAATTTAACGGTACGGATCTAGTGCTGCATTTATTGAATGTATGTCTGCACTCCGGCATAATCTATTCATAAATCTGTTTTTATTGTCATTTTATGCCATTCGCCTTGTAGTTAATCACATCTTACTATGTTTAATTATCGAGCAGGCCATTTCTCTCCAGAGTGCTAAATGTCAATAAGACCCACAGGAGGGAGGCTTGATAGCAGCGAGGCATTTTACTGTCCCACTTATTGAAACAGCAGAGCTTGTATTCATGAGTTTTGATAACATCACTAAGGATCGCATGCATGCCCCCCCCCCCCCCCAAACACACACACATACATTGCACACAAAAATTTCCATGGATAGAACAAAGATGTTAAGATGTTGGTTGGATAGAGAGAGGGAGTTAGATAGGAGATGACAGAGAGAGACGGCGAGTTAGAGGGAGAGGAGAGGAAGTGGATGGCATAATAATCTTTGTTAGTGTTTAATGAGGCAGCTCTTCCTTCCAGGGTTTTATTGAAGCAGCTAGTCACATCGTTTGGAGCCATCTGTCCAGCCATTCAGCATTCTTGTTGATAGAATATTGGCACAGATTCAGAGACTACCTGGGTGAAGCAGGCATACTCATACGTCCTCTAAATAGGTACTGTCAGGGCAACAGAACACCAGTAGTAAGGATAAAATAAGGTACGATATAGAGAAAACCAACTTTATTGTCCACAAGCTAAATTTGTCATGACAGAATCTGAAGAAATGTCTCAGGATAAGCACCGTTTGACAAAAGTGACACTTAACCTGTCAAAATGATTGATAGCACGCAGTAAAACAAAGTCTACAGGATAGTACCAAGCTTCAGTTCCTCTTGACAAAATAATCTTAAGAAAACTAATTCAGGTACAAACTGTCACAGTGCACTGTTATGCATATTGATTCGTCCCATTTGCCAAACTCCCTGCTGAAGGCAGTATTGATCTATGTGGAATAAAAGAAGCTGCCGGTGGATCATCACCTTCAAAATCCTAGAGAAGCAATTTTCCATATATAGTTTTCTCCTTGTGTACCACCCTGTGAACACAGTCTTTGAGGAGAGATCAGTTTACATCTTGTCAGTCAATAGCCTAAACTATTGAGCCAGAGGAAGAGAAGCGAGTTACTGTTAAACGGCTCCTGTTTGAATCAATACCGAAGCCATGCTGAGATCTGTTTGACTCTGTGACACTGTGACCACATCTGCACTGGGTGTTTTGCATAACATGCCATCATGGTCTGTCTGTATCCCAGGTAATGGCTATATTGAGGGGAAGGAGCTGGAGAACTTCTTCAGGGAGTTGGAGATGGCCCGAAGAGGAGCAGGGGTGGTGAGTTCAGAAACTAGAGATTATACGAAGCCACACATACTGACCACTCAGGTTTCACTTGTATTGAGTACAAATGTTTTCTAGGACCCGTCAAACCCCACATTCAGAGAAAAGATGAAGGAGTTCATGCAGAAGTTTGACAAGAACAAAGATGGGCGGATTGAGATGTCAGAGGTAAGGCCTTGAAGGTGCTTCTTGTATTATGCTTGGAAATCTGTCAATTTCATTAAAGGAGTAGTTTGTCATTTACGCTTTCTTGCCAAGAGTTTGATGAGAAAACTGATACCATTCTCATTTATGTAGCCACAGCCAGCGGCCAGCTAGCTTGTCTTAGCATAACGACTTTAATCAAGAGAAACAGCTATCTTCCAAAATCTAATACTTTGGTATTATGGGAAATGTACTTATTAACTTTATTGCTGGGAGTAAGATGAGGAGATTAATATCACTGTCATACGTATGAAACTTCCAGTCTTTTGCTAAGCTAAATTAACCAGCTGCTGGCTGTAGCTTCATAATTATCACAAAGACATGAGAGTGCTGTCAAGCTTCTATAACTCTCAGCAGGAAAGTGAATATCTCTTTAAAATTTGGAAAAGAAGAAAAACAAGTATGACCGACTTTTTGGTACAATAAAATTATTCAACAGAGCTGTTCTACTTGGGCTAGTGCCCTGACAGAGGTTTTTTGATGTGCATTCACAATACTCATTGAAATGTGGCTCAGGCCCAAGAAAAAGTGTAGAAAAGGTTTGATTTGACTACTTTTGATGGAGGGTGAGAAAAAATTGTACAAAGAAAAGGATAATTCTCAAAGCCAGAGGAGTACATTACATCACAAGCGAGAGGCTTCAGAGGCCTGGTCAATACTCCGATCAATGCATAAATACAGTCTTTATTATAGTCTCTATGGAGCGTCAGTTTGGGATATTGCTTTCTCTTGATTTTTCCATTTTCGGAGCATGACTTGAAAGAGATGCAAATGGGGCTTCTGCAATATCAATAATCCACCGCCCGCATGGAAAATCAGCAAATGAGTTTAAGGTTCAAATGTTGGAAAATCAGGTGCAGAGACTTCGTCTGAACATACGCAGACATGATTTATTTTTTTTATTCAAACTTCTAAGCATAGCCCAACTTCTGAGGTCATGGCTCTCTATTATTTACGTCAGAGTCACCCATTTGAGGCTTGCAGACAAAAAGCTCCCCGGCATATCAACCTTATGTTATCACCACTCTCACCATTTTCTTGTCATTGCTGTCTTTAGCTGGCCCAGATTCTCCCAACTGAAGAGAACTTCTTGCTTTGCTTCAGACAGTTTGTCAGCTCCAGTGCTGAGTTCATGGCGGTAAGAGTGTGTTTATATGTGTGTGTGTGTGTGTGTGTGTTTGTAAGGGTAATGCAAAGCTGTCTTCTCTAGATGACCTCTGTTATTTGTTATTTTTCTTTGCAGTACTTTTTGTACAAAAGCTTCTTGTTCACTAAGAAATGCCATTAGTCGGGACATACTTACTTAACCAACCATACATTATAGACCAGAGTCAGTCCTTCCATGGATGGAAGACAGCCTGCATGTACTCAATCCTACCAGCTAATTTCATGGATTAGTTCACTGTGTTATAGTTGAAGGTCTACAGAAGAGAAAATAAATATAAAAACTTGATGCGTAAAATCAGTATGAAATAGGAAGAAATAAACAGCCATGCAATTGTATCAGATTGACCCCAGGGCACATTTGCCTGAAGAAGCCTGTTTCACCCCAAAATCACCATTGGCAGACTTGGAAACCCCCGTCCCAGTGGCATTAACAGAGGGCATTGTCACTTATATGAGATACTAGATACTGAATAACACGTGTGAAAATCTGTGGTAACTTTACAGAAAAACATCAGGCACTTAGCTGTATCTTTGAACCAGCTTTACCGAGGCTACTCCGGAACAGAAAACAACAACAACTAACTAATGAATCAGAAGTGAACCAAATTAGTGGCAGCAAACAAGGAGCGGTTACCCCTCTGGAAACTAGCCCACTAAAATATTGTCAAGTGGTCTATAACGACATATTTTAAGATTTATTTAACGATTGTAACAGCAACATCAAAGTCAGATGTGTTAACAACAAGACAGTGATGGGTTAGCAAAGCACCTCTTTAGCTAACGAGCAGGCAGACGTTAGCAACGCACAAAATTAATTGCATGTGACTAGTTTCTAGTAAAACCTCTGAAAAAATAGCAATGTCTGTCCTGTTACTGTATAACAGCCAAGCTGTGTGTTTAAGAAACGTTTATGTAGGAAATTTCCAAGTACGGTATAAACAAACTTCAGTCACAGGATTTTCCCTCATACTCGTTTGGTGCTGCTGAGAATTATGAATAATTAATAATTGTAGAAGTAACAGAAAGCCTTCAGCAGAGAGTGCTGAAAGGTACTAGAAAAAGGAAATCATTTATTCCACAAAATACCTTCAGAAGATAAGAAAATGGCAGATTTCATGTTAGATCTGCTGCAATGAAAGAATGGAGCCAATTAGAAACCAATTTAATGTGGGGTAGAGGCTGTCCTTGTCTCCTGTGTCATGAAAAGGAATCATGAAATGAGAGAAGGAGCATGAATGAGAGAGAAGGTGTGGAGAGGGATACAAAGGGCAAACGAGAGAAAGAGGGAACAGAGAGGACGTAAATGAAATGTCGATGGGAAGTGGAGAGCCAGAGTTTGAGAACATAAACAAGGATGGAGGATTAATCAGTCTTTGTTGGTGGTGCAGGGAGGAGGGAGAGGGTGGAGAGGTTTTTAAAGGGTTAGAATGAGGAAGCAGAACCTTCTATTTTCAGAGTCATATATAATGGATAACACCACTGTAGCTCCTCTCTGCAAAGCCCAGAGCAGGAGAGGAGGAGCAGAGGGGGAGGAGGAGGAGGAGAGGGGACACGAGAAAGGGGAAGGCCATCCATCTTTGATAAGGAGCCCTTCTTTGGACAGGGACAGCTGCTAGATTAAAACATTCATTAAAATGACTTTCTCTCCCTCCCATTTCTCTCTCTCTTTCTGTTTGCCCTCTGCTCGGTATGCGAGCGAATGGGATTGTATTGAAAACTGTGTGATTGCAGTGATGGTGCAGGCTTTTGTGGTCTTCCCCTCTTGAACGATTTCTGCTCTGCATCAGAGAAAAATCAAACACATAGCGTAGTTAAAGAGCAAGCTGGAATTTCATCAGAGAGGATTTATGTAGGGGGGAGAAATGTAAATCACTCTGGAGAAGAGTTTCTTTGCGTTGGTGCTGAAAAACTGCTTTCAATCCAATGTTTATTTTGTTTTGTTGATTTCTTGTAGGCATGGCGGCGATATGATACAGATCGCAGTGGCTACATTGAAGCAAATGAATTGAAGGTATGTTGTAAATATGTATGTTTATATATATATATGATTCAGTGATAAAGGCAACTTATTCTTGTTAATTGCTTTTATGTAACATTTATGATATCTACATTTGCATCCCAAAGGATAGTTTAACCTGAAAAGCCTTACAAATATTATTATTTATACGATTATTTAATCATCTGCTTACTTGGTTATACTTCTTCTTATTATGTTTTGTGTTTTTGTCTTTCTTTTCCCTCCACGCACATTCAAATGCACATCAACACACACACATGCTCACCAACAGAGCACCTACCCTAAACTGTAATTATCACACAGCAGTAGCCACTGAAGTAGCAACTTAAGTAGCTACTTAACCCATATTCACTGTCTTTTCCTTTAATCATTTACATTTTATTTAAATATTTACATATATTTATACCACTGTAATAGTCATGTTTTTCTGTTTTTGTGCTCCCTTTGATGTATTTCCCATACCTTTAAAAATTTTAAGAAAAAGTGTCTTAACTTGTATGCATTTTTCTATTTATGTCACCTCCTAGATGCTTCATTGTTTTGCATCAATAAAAAGAAAGCAAAGAAAGAGGGAAAAACAATCCTCATTTTTTTTGTGTTATGCTTAACAACCCTATTATGATACTGATTTGGTGTGCTTAATGGAATAGTTCAACATTTTGGCAAATTATTCACTTTCTTGCCGAGAGTAAGCACTCTCTTGCCTGTAGTGTGCGATAAATATGAAGCTGGAGCCAGCAGATAATTAGCTTAGCTTAGCATAAAGACCGGAAGCAGGGAGAGATGCCTGCCACCACCTCAGCTAGATTCCTGCCAAACTCATGGTGATGACATGACTCCGGGAAATCAAAATGGTATCAATCTTCTCAGCTAACTCTCAGCAAGACAGCATATTTCCAGAAATGTTGAACTATTGTCTTAAGGTGCCTAAACATCTGTAAAAAAAAACAAACAACAAAAAAACAACTTCTAAGTAAGAATAATAATAATAATAATAATAACTGATATGCTAAACATGGCCGAAGCTGTAATATTTACACTGCTATCAAGTGACATATTAGCTAAACACTTGCACTCAAAATACTCAAAATTTCAAAATGTTCAGCACTTTGGATTTTCAGTGTGATTCACCTTTTTTGTTGATACATGTGAGCATATGGGCGTGTAGAGGAGAGTTCAGTTGCTGCTGCACGGGAAATTCCCCACTGACCATGAGTGTTTTTTTCAGGTGAGGATTCAGACGCAAATAGCTTTACAAATTGTACGAATATTATTCACTTCAACACCTCTTGGAAGCTTTGTGTCAAATTATATAAAAGAAAGTGCTCCACCCTGGGGAGTAGAACATGAATGGGGTCGGCGATTACGCATCAAATACAAATTAGGCTGCTTGGGTTGTCTTGGGATCACATTTCTTCCAGCTGACCAGGTGCAGATGAGTTACTCAGGTGTGGCTTTTTGAAAGCTTTGGAAAAATGCAGATGAGATCGCAGGCAGCAGACACGTCTCACCTCATGACTGTGAGCAGAGGGCAACAATAAATGAGGAAATCGACTCAAGAGCTGTAATAGAGTTGAGCTAATGCTACCTTCATTTTAAAATACTTTACATTTTTACTGCATGAGAGGGAAATGCGCTTTTTACTGCAGAACATTTACTGTACAGGCTGTAGTACTCTTTACTTTGCAGATCAGGAATTAAATTCAAAAAACAAGATACATTCATAAAATTCCATTGATATCATAATTTTTTTAAATTTCCTTTCTTTGCATCTATTCATTTCCTCTACTTTCTATTTCATTATTTTAACCTTTTCTCTTAATCTTCATTGGTTTCATTTTTTCTTCGTTAATTAATCTAGAAACATGGAAATCAAGAAAACTGAAGAATCTAACCTCAACCCCTAAAATATCACTCCACTATCATTACTTTTACTTTGGATACTTGAGTTCATGCTAATGTTATTACTTGTTGCATTATTTTTATTTAAATAAAAACTTTGTAGTTCTATTTCAGTTCTTTCTCTTCCCAACGATTATGGCCAAATTTACAGTGTTTTTTTTTAATCCTCAGCTATGTATTTGATTAAATAAAAGTCCTGCATAGTTGTTTTTTCAATGGTGTGTCTCTGTCCTCAGGGCTTTCTGTCAGACCTGCTGGAGAAGGCTAACAGACACTACGATGACCAGAAGCTCCAGGAGTACACACAGACCATAGTAAGGCTCACTCACATGCAATGAAGAATCTCACGCACACAGTGTAATTGGACAGTTATGACAATTCTGTTGGGCTAAACTTTGTGCTCAGTATGAGGAACATAAGACTCATCGTTTTCATTTTTATTGATTTTCATCAAAAATACACAGATTTTTAAAAGGGACCCGTTCAGTTTAACCCAGATTTTATGTCCTCATCCAAAAGTTGCCGTTGCAAGAAGGCACTGTTCTCCATTTTCTGAGATGAGAGGTCATCTCTCAGCTCAGAAAATGTTTTCAGTAACATAAACTGAGGGAAGGAAATTGTGAGAAAACATTATTTCGATACTGATTTTGCATCAGAGTCTCTCAAAGTTATAAGAAATACAATAACATAAAAAGTAAATTCTTGGCAACACCAATGAACCCTGCAGCAACACAGTGAGCCAGACTTTATGGATGTCTATTATCCATCTGCCCTGGAGGACCTGAGAGACCTATATGGTTGGTGGCAGCAGCGTTGTGCAGCTGAGTGGTTGTGACCCATCATGTCCTGCAGGTTGTGTGTTTGTAGCCCAGATGTGCCAACATCTGCTTCTTCCTGGAAGCCCCAGAGCTGACATTAACCTGATTTGCTGAAGCAGTTTCCTCAACATGCTCATAGATAAACTTGGTCATAATTGTTTCTTGATACCTTTAGTACTCATTAAAAACATGTGGGTGTAAGTGTTGCCAAATAATCCAGATTAAATAATGACATGAATGCTGGAGAAAATCTGAATTTTGACAGTTTTTTTTATTCTTTCCTCCTGATGAAACAACTGACCTAAAAAAGCGAAGTTATTATTCTGTAAAACTTCACCATCGACTGCATTAGCTGAAATGGTTGAGGCAAATTGTAAAGGCAGTCCCTGCACTGGTCCTCTTTACTTTATGGCCATCCATTGTATTTCTCAGTCAATGAATATCAAGGGACCACATTTGCCTTCATCTTGACAACATATACCTATAAAAAAAACTTTCTTTCATTCTCTCTCCTCTGTCCCTTCCTATCTCTGTTCTGCTTCCACTTTGCAGCTCAGGATGTTTGATCTGAATGGAGATGGGAAGTTGGGTCTATCAGAGATGGCAAGGTAATGTGCAATTTTAGTTACTTCTGTTCACTATATAAATGTTGTAACACATTGCACATTGATGTAGATTCATTGAACAACTATTGTGTCCACTAATGAAGTCCTTCTCTCCCGCAGGCTTCTCCCTGTTCAGGAGAATTTCTTACTCAAATTTGAGGTAGGGAACAAAAATGATGCAGAAAGAAATGTTCTTGCAAAAAGACACACAATAAATGTAACTGTTTTTAAATATTTATGATAATATGTGTTTGAGTTTTGTCTTAAAGGGTTAGAGTCCCCTTAGGGTTAGAGTCCCCTTAGGGTTAGAGTCCCTATGTAACTTGTTGACAGGGTCCCGCTGTCAACCGCTTTTACCAGAGTTTGTAGCGTGGACAATCTGGATTTACAGTGACGACTGTATTTAAGGAAGGATTAGAGTGCCTTTAGGGTTAGAGTCCCTAATGTTAAAGTGTTAGAGTCCCCTTAGGGTTAGAGTCCCTAAGTAACTAAAGGGGGGATAGAGTGGGAGATGGGGAATTAAAGGAGTAAAATAAGTAAAGGTGGGAGACCTGCGTGTTTTTATTTTCTATTTAACTTTTAAACTTTTTTATATTTCCCTGTTGCTTTTATGTTTTATTTAAAGCACTTTGAATTACCTTGTTGTTGAAATGTGCTACACAAATAAACTTGGCTTGCCTTGCCTTGTCTTACTGTAACTTTTTGGAAATTTGTAGCCTGGTAATCAAAATCAAACCTTGTTTTTACAGGGTGTCAAGTTGACCACTGAGCAATTCAATGCCATCTTCACATTCTATGACAAGGTAGGTGATGTTTTATTCAAGTTGGTAATAAACTACTTTCCACACACTCCCAAACACACAGTTGAGGTCTGGCCTCACGTCTGGGATAGCGTCTCTTCCACTAGCTTTCAGTTGTCAGTGTATTTTTGGCATAAACCGTTTGATTCATTTGCCTGAAAAAATGGGTTGTTCCTGGGATATTCTGTCTACGTATTCTGAGCTAAATTGGTATGTACTACAATGTGTGAACAATTTGAACACTTTATCATTTATATTTAATTAGAAACATTTAGCAAAAGTTAGGTTGTTTGGAACAACTACGTCGCCCTTGATTCTTAGTCATGGGAAAAGTATATAAACATTAGATGGCTATAACCTAATGCTAAAGGAATAATTATTTTATCTTAGTTAGAATTAGCCGAGGCTAGTGGAGTAGAAGCTAGCTTGAAAAGTGGTGGGACTCAGAGGGACACCTAGTCAGGTAGGTTTGTGTCTGCTTAAGAGTGTACTCTAAGCTAATATGCTAACACAGGGAGGAGATTTACATTGTAAAATATGAACAAATTGCACTAGAGTAAAAAAACATAGACTAGACTTTCAAGTTGTCAGGATGACTCAGCGCTATTTGTTTTGGCATTTCCGATTTTGTTAAAACCATGAATATGCAAATTCCTTGGTTGTACCTAGGGCGCTCCACTACTACCTAGGGAAATGAGTTAGGCTTTGCACACCTGTTCCTTAGTAAACAGCTCAGGGTGGTTGAGCAGTGGTTCACTTAATAATGGTCACATTTTCCACATTAGCAGCAGATTAGTTGGGAGGGACTACAGTGATATGATACAAGACAGACTAGAGCAGGGCAGAGTTACAGGGTAGAAAGCTCCACCTTGTACATCTGTGATGTAATGTTTCTAATTTATGACATCTTGGGAGTTTTTGTCAGCCTGAGGGACCAGCCATAATCTAGCTATGAGAAGGCTGACTCAATATTTACGGAAAGAAACAACTCAGTTTGATGTGGCACAGCACCAGTAGTCTAGTTCAGTGGTTCCCAACCTTTTTGGTGTAAGGTACCCCCACAGCCCTGTCAATTGAACTCACGTACCCCTTCATCAATCACACTTATCGTGTACGAAATGTATAACACTATATATTATATATATATATATATATATATATATATATATATATATATGTATATATTTTTTTTTCCATACAATTTAAGTGTCACTATTAAGGTTGGTTTGGTCAGCTCAACTACTACCATATGAAGTTGATGATCCAACCATTTGACCATTACTTTTGGCTAATCATTTGTAGTGCTGCAACTAACGATTGTTTTCATTGTAGATTATTTTCTCGATTAACTAATTAGTTGTTGGTCCGAAAATGGTGACAAATGTGGATGCTTTTTTTCTAAAGCCCACAATGACGTCCTCAGTTTTCTTGTTTTGTCCACAGCCCAAAGCTATTTGGGAGTTTACTGTCACAAAATATTATATTGTAATAGCCGTCAACTAATCTATTCATTTATTATTTGTTAGCAATTTAGTTAAAACCATTTATCCATTACCTTTACCTGTTTAGACTTATGTGCTTGCTAACTAGTTTTCATGCACACTTACATAATTGCAACAAGTACAGCGGTGTTCAGTTGTTACAGCTGCTTCAATATGTGGATATATTTTTGTATTCACATCTAGCAACTGCAGAAGTACCCCCTGGGGTACGAGTACCCCTGGTTGGGAATCACTGGTCTAGCTCTTATGTGCTAAATGCTTCTGTATTCTGCTATATGCTGCTTAATTTGTGTTGTGTTAATTAACATATGTAGTATACCAAATATACTATCCAGCAGGGATATTACAATTGCTTGAGTGAAAAGAAAAAACATGCTTCCTCTGTATTTATATGGTTTTAACAATTTAAATTGGTGGCAGTGGTCTCAGATGTTGTATCAGTCATCAGTGATTGGTCTTTTGGAAAGAGACAATTCAGTATCTTCCAATGGATGGGGATAGGTTTGTTTTAGGTATGTCAGCAGGCGCAGGTAGAATTCAGATCAAAAACTAATAGAGGACAAAAATATAGGCCTACAGTAAAAATCATATTAATTTGCACTTTTCGGGGTGGAGCTTTCGTGCATGTTCATGTCTCGGGTTGGACTGATGGCTAGCACTCTCTCTAGCTCACATGCAGACATTAATTATAGATGAGCCACTGCGGCCAATTCACGTAGAGCTGCCCTATTCAATTGGCGGCCTGCGGGCCACATCCGGCCCCAAAGAAACCTCCATGTGGCCCAGCATACATAATCTGATATACGACAGAAAAGTAAAAGTAATAGTGAATGGAAATAACTAACGAGTGAGCTATTTCGTTTCCTTCTCATCTCAGAGTTTCACATGCGCTGTACCGATCACCGCCAATATAAAGGCTCAACACTAACTGTCCGACCTGCAGCCTCTCCCCTCCTGTGTTTCTCTGCAGAGCACACACACACACACACACACACACACACACACACAGTGGGCAGCCAGCTGATCAGCGAGAGAGTGTAAGTACATGGTGCAATAAAACCGTCGTGAGTAAAAAGCCAATACTTTACCAACGCACCTGTTTAATAACATGTAGGATAGAATATTTTAATGTGCTCAGTCTCTTATCCACCACAGCTGTGTGTTGGTCACAGCGCAAGTTCAGCTAATACCTTATTGTTACAAACAAGCTAAAGTGAAAGCTGCCTGTCTTTAGTAACTGTTTAGTTTAGTTTGCCATGTACATTAAAATATGGTCAGCTGCTGGCTGAGACTAACCAGCTCCTCTCTACCAACAGCAGCAGCAGGAGGAGGACAATAGAAAGGAATGATAGGGACCCAGATCATCAATATTTCCAAACACGCTTGATGTCAGGAATATGATTTATTTTACTAATATTTTAGTTTGTTAATATTTGTTTATAGTGAGATATTAGTAACTTTGCTGTTGAAAATCCTGTTACTGCTCTAAAAACAACATTTAGTTAATAAAAAATATATAAATTTTTTTTTAAATAATATATATTTTAAAGGCAATAATTTAGTAATAAAAAAGAACTGATAAAAACATAAACAAGGAACTGAAACAATAAGGAGGATACCAATCCCAACTCGTGAGAAAATGTCCGGCCCACCTCCATGTCCTGGTTTTAAAATTTGGCCCAACTGAATTAGTAATTGAATAGCTCTCATGCAGAGTCTCTCCACGAATGGAGCACTACCATTTATGTGTGTAATTAGTTTCATCATTTTGTTATGCGCTCAGCCCCTGCAGCTGAAACACAGGCAGCTGCTGTCACTGGTGCTGAGAGTGCTGAGATATCGTGAGCGGGGCAAAGTGTGGCCGGTCAGCTGAACACTAACGTGGCTCATAGTGCCACAGCCCTAAACAGTGCGATGCCTTGAAAATGTCTGAAATGCAAGATGGCACGCAAATTAGACAGACCGACCGATACCTGATGTTGCTTTCCCATAACTTGCTGGTCTTTCATCAAGAGAGAATAAATAGAATTCACATTTATTCCCAAGATCTAGGACACTTCAGGCTGGCTTTGTAAACATCAAAGGGCATCTCCCAAAGTAAAAATAAGACTGGCAAGCCACTCAGCTCTGAATTCATTCGGAGACCAAGCCTAGATGAACAGAACATGGTTTTGTGCCTGTTGCCAAGGGAAAATTTCCAGCAATTTGGACTTATTTTTTGGCCCCAAACTCTAAACACTACTGTGAGACATAAGACATTGTTAATTAGCAAAGTGGCTCCATATTGACTTTACAGCTAACCCCCTTTACAGAGTTGAGAATGGGAAGTCTTTTTTAAATCATCATTCATGAAGGGCCATTTGGCTTGTGCATTCATGATGGCTGCCATAAAATATTGAATGAAGTTGAGCAGCAGAGCAGGGTACAGAAATCAGGAAGCTCAAAATCTAAACATAGCTGGTCCATGCTGGTTAGAAAGGAAGGCAGGATAAATAAATAAAAATCTGATATAATAGGCAGCTACATATTGTTGAGCTATAGTCTAAAAGGGTGCAGTGTGTTTTGAAGTTTGCTTGCTGTCTCCAGATCAGTCCTTTCCTTTCTGAATGTTTGGAGATGAAAATAACATTTGTTTCAACTTCTTTCAGGATGGGAATGGCTACATTGATGAGCAGGAGTTGGATGCCCTGCTACGAGACCTTTACCAGAAAAACAAGAAGGTGAGATAGGAGCTTTGGTAAAAGTTTACAGAAATTTGTATACCAGACTGTGGCCTGGCTTGTGACTTCTGGCACCTGATACCATTTCTCTCTGATCATTTCTGCTCCTCTCAGCAGTTCACTTCCTGTGCATTCTCTATATACCTACCGTGTATCAGAACAGAAACAAACAAAACAGAAAGATACCTAAAAACTTTATTTTAAACACAACTCTTCGCAGAGCACCTACATAACTTGGATGGTACAGATACAATAATAGAAGTAGCAAACATGCCAAGTGAACAAGCATGCAATGAGTAATTTTGACTGCTCTGGTTTCTGGCTCCAAAAGCTTTATTGAGGCCACCAAATGATCCAAGTGTATTAACAGCTTCTTATCTAGATTCAGGATATGTGTATTGGTGTAAGAAAGGTTGTAAAACCAGGGGCATAACCTTAGGTTATGATGTAGGGGCATTTTTGTGTCTAAGGTTGGTGTGAAATCACTAAAGTCCTCTGTCTAGTTGTCAGGAGTTGAGGCCAGAAAAGTAATACAGGACAAGATGCTTGTTAGCAGGGACTAAAATCAGTAACACAGATTTCTAATTGAACATATTCCATGTGACAGCGGATGTTTAGTTTAGTTGACAATGTGAGGGGAACATTAAATCACACACAACTACAACGCAATTGTGTTATTTTTTAACAAACCTAACTAATGAAGGCAATGCGTACTAGCCAATCAAAGTTGTCAGAAAAATCCCAGTATTTTAGCATTATAATATGTGTAACGAGGAATTGCACATGGCTTTCATTTTAAAAGCCAGAGATGGTGATTTCAGACCCCTGTCTGAAATGAAGGACCTATTGTTTCAAAAATGTGGGGAATCTATCACTGTTATCAGTGTCAACTGTGTATGTGTTGTGTGGTAAAAGAAAGCTTGACAGGTGCGCAGTTAAGGTTCTTTGTAAATTAAATTAGCATGTATAGTCAAAAACATATCAATATCTGTAGATGAAGTTCTCCAGGGCTTTTTACGCCATGCTTCCTCCACGAGGCCTAAACATCCTACACAACAATGAGTTTGGCAGAAAAATGTACTGTCCAGGACAATACTGGTTGAATTTAGCTAGCTTAGGGTAAGTTTTGATCCAAATAAAGCTTTGGTATTTTTACTTGATTAATGTCACTGATTGACCTCCTCAACTTTAGTGACTCTGTCAAACCTCCCTTTCTCTGGTTCAGGAGGTGGACTTGAAGAACCTGTCGGGCTATAAGCAGAGCATCATGAGTCTGTCTGACGGAGGGAAGCTCTACCGTGGCGAGCTGGAAATTGTCCTCTGCAGGGAACCAATTGTGTGACTCTCCCTCTTCTCCTGTTGCATATCATAATTTTCTCTGCCTGCCCTGCCCCGCTCTCCCAAGACCACACCCACTTCCAGCTGCCTGGCAACATATACCAGGTGCATGTGCCCGACACCCCCCCATCATGCCCCCCCCCCCCAAAGTTACAAATTCAGAATGAATGATCATTGCACTGACAGCTCTGACAACAGCTCTTTCCATAAACCCTTAATCTCTACAACCTGACTTCTCAACCCTAAACATGACCCTTCTGAAACCTCAACTTTTCACCTTCTCAACTCTCCCCCATGTCCATTTCTGACCAAATCCCCGTCCCTGCTGTCCATGCTGTGCCTGACTTGCAACGCCTGACCAAAAGCCCGAACCCATTATTCCATTGAAATTACCTTTTGACTTGTTGACCTGAACCCTGACCCCGGCTTCATTGACTCCTCCTTCCCTTTGCTCTTTCAACTTTGCATTAGATACAATATATAGTCAAATAAAATTGCAGACAGCTGTGTTTAATTTGATCTAATTTTCAGTCTGTGATGGAACTGGTATTGATTTTTCCACCGCGATATGTCTTTAAGACCTCTCGTTCCATTACCATGAAACGATTTTCATTTTCAATGTTTGTTTTTCGGCTGATACTGTCAATTGAAATAATAATAAAATGTCTTAAGATAAAAGTTTTGACATTGTATGAACATGATTTTTTTAAGAATTGCTGCTAGTGGTGTTTATGCCTTAATGAACAGAATTACATTCTGAATATTTCTGCATCAGAGCTGTGCAGCACTGTGTCATTCTCTCAAAGTTACATCTCCTGAGTACTTTCCGTTGTGATGACCTTCCGCATACCAACTGCTTAACTTTATCAAGGCCTCCCAGCTTTAAACTGCTCCCTTGCCTTCAATACACTGGCATAAGCATATAAAGGATTAACGATGGATGCAATCACAACAAGAGCAAGATGGCACACAATTTAAAGCTATAGCTTAAAAAAACATTAAAACTGGACTCTGAGTTTGATTCTGGTTGTCTGTGTTGAGCAAATTAACACCAGAAACTACAACTTCTGATTCTTTCCCTGCAAACATATTGCTTAGTGTGTACTGGAATCAAGAAGATGATAGAAATAATGTTTTTGCTGTAGGACTGACTCAGACAGCTTTATTTGCTGCATGATGTCTTTCTCCCATGTGCATAATGAAAATGACTGAAGAAACAAGTAGAATGATATTGCTGAGCCTGCACTGCAAGGCATTGTGTGTTTTCCCCTCTTGTGAATGAAATGAGGCAGCATAACAAAACACTTCCCCCATCCCTTTGAGTTGCTGTTAACAAACCTGGACTGCTACACAAAACAAAAGCTGACATCCATTTAAAATTTGTTTCTAATGGATGTACAGTTTATCTCCTGTCGAGTTGTTCCTTGAGAATGGATTTTAATTAAAGAGTATCAGGCTTAAAAAGTTTAATTGTCCATAAGATTACATATTTAACTTTAAATAGGCCCAAATATCGACATTCATTTAAATAACATTCAAGGGCTATTTGGGAAACACTTTAAAACTTACTGAGGCCTGATTTTTGAAACTCATAAGTAAAAAAAGGAGATAATATTATCTGACATTGCCCAAAAAGGAAAATCATGGTGTGTCTCAGAAGCTTTAAATGCTAATAAAAACATGAATGCAGAGGCTATTATATAAAGCCTGCAATAAAATACAACTACAAAACTTAACCTCAACAATGATGCAAACTGACAACCAAAGAATTTTGTCAGAAAATCCAGTGGTGCACCAAAAGCCTTCATCTTTTCAAGTTGGACCCAGGGTGCAAGGTTTTTCCTTCTTCTGAGCTGAGATGTTACTCCTGAGGTAGTAGGACAGGACATGATATTTCTCGTAAAACCCCTGTAATTGAGTTGACGTGCTTTTAAAGCCATCTGAATAATACAGCAAGCACACAAACTGCCATCTCACTGTCGAGCTGGTGCAAACCCACATCAATTAATCAGAAGCATTTAAATCTTTATATGGCATGCAGCTGCACGAGGAAGATGTGAATATCACCAATACTGTAATAAGAATATAGCTTTTCAGAAGTAAATTGTATTGTAATAACATGTATTGATTAAAGTGAGACTGTAAATTAGCAAAAATGTTGTTTAAGTGTAGTACAAGTAGAGAGAATTCAAAAAGTCAGCAAAATGCCTTAATAATATGGGTTACACAGAAATATATCTTTTCGATTTGCTAACATTAGCCACCCTAAAGCTGATGATACACGGGGCAACTTTTTGAGCAATGTTGCTAGGCAATGTTGCTGTTGGCAAGTCTGACTATGTTTTGAACTGATAGCGGCGAGGCGGGCGGAGTGGTAAAGGGGATTACGGAAGTAATCTTTACTCATTACCATTGACGGCAACATTGCCCAGCACCATTGCTCTAAAAGTTGCTCCGTGTATCATCAGCTTTAGCTACTGGTCATACAAACTAGCAAGTAAGGCTGTAAAAGCAAAGATCCAGACTGTATTAAGTTGAGCAAGGAGGGTTTTATTACTTTTAAATAAAACTTTATCACAAGAATGAGATATCTCTTCTTTCAGAAGTTACATCGTCTCACTTTAAAGCACAATTAATAAGAATTAGGAATGGGTCTCTTGAATACTATTATAATGTGGAGCTAGGAGAATTATATCATGCTATATCTATTTGTGTATTACTGCAAGTGGTGTTTTGTCATCTAGGGTTAGCATCCATAAACCTGCACACAATTATTTCAAAGCATTTTTCATAATCAGTCCAGTTGCCACATGCACATCCCGTCCCTCATCCTTGCACACACCTGCAGCTCCTCTGTCTGGTCTTCAACCTACAGGTACATACATGCTGCATCCCTGACGAAAGCTAACAGCAGCACATTTCTCCCTCTCAAATGTATATGCACTACTGTCTCGCACTTTCTGACAAAGTGAGAACTTTAATTACTGTTTGGTAGTGAAGTATAGCGATGACTCAGCTGTTGTCGTCAGACTTTCAAACAGGGGAGAGTGCTTTGGAAAAAGAAAATGCTTCAGGGAGTGGGTGCATTGGGGTGGGAATAATTTTGTACAACTCCACATCATCAAAACAGGGAGCTGCTGATAGATTTTGGGAAGGAGGCACATCTAATTAAACATTTTGCTGATGATGCAACCGTTGAGAGATTGGACAACTGTAGATACCTGAGTGCCGCACTTGATAAGTCCCTCTCCAATAATACTGTGTCATCCAGAAATAAAGAAACCGTCTCCACATGTTCTGTACATTCTGCCTCAGCGGGGACACTTAGTTCTTAAGATACCCTCTTGCTGCTGCAAATCACTTACAAAGAAGTCTCACCTGCTCCAGTCTTCTAGGAAGACCATCAATTTTGAGTGATAACTTACATGGAACTGCAGGAAGAATCTGAACCACAGGCACTGCAGAAGGCAAGAAGCATCTACAATCCCTGAACACAGTCTTACTAAGCACTGCCTTCTGTTACCATCTGGGAGTAGATTTTACATTTAAAATCAGACTGTTCTCAAACAGATGCAGGATGAACTTTGTTCTTTAGCTATAATGTGCTCAAAAGGGAAAACAAAAACTAACTTTCTAACTTGTTTAACAAAAAAAAAAGTAAATCTAAAATATATTTGGATGCTGATAATTTGATTACTGGTAATGTTATTTGTGTTTTTTATTTGTATTTGTGTAGCATATACAGCCTGCCGTCTGTTTAATGTTTTATTATGTTCTGTATATGCAGCAGGTTATACTGATGATGGGCAAACAGGTCAGTAGCAAACACAGTATTTACAAAAAAGGCAAAGTATTATGTTGCATTGTGCTGTAATCAGGCTGCTCATTCTCATACTTTTCTGTGTCTTTAGCCACAAAAGTGCTGTTCTTTGATCTAGGCTAAAATATCTTGACTATTGGATGGCTCGCCATGACATTTGGTGGAGAATGAATCCCCTGACTTTTACTGCAGTGCCACCAGGCAGTTGACTTTTCGGGTTTTGAGTGAAATGTTTCCACAAATGTAAAGAAATCTATGAAATCTAAGAAATCTTCTCAACATTTTCTGGTAAATATGTTAGATTGCTGATGAATGTTTTACTTTTGAAGTCAGCGGTCGGGGCACTAAATCTGCGCTTGAACATAGACTTGAACATGCTGTCTAACTTGAGTTTAGCTTACAAATGTAGGCGAATAGTTCAGTTTTTGACCTGTGATCGTGTATTACTAGAAACCGGATGCTAACTGCTGAAATGCAAGAACAGGACAGAAAATAGTGCTGATGAGTTGACGACAGACAGCATATTTAAGAATAAAAATCACCAGAAAAACGACCATATATGTTGTTAGTTCAAGCAGCTTATTACAACCCATTTTGACTTTTATTATCCATGACTTCTAGTGGCCTTACAGTAATAGAGGAGGGAGTCAGGTGACGTAGCATAAAGAGTGAGAAAGTCCTAGTAAAGTGGTGGATGGGTTGGATTGATGGGTCTAAGCCAGAACTTTCACACAGGAGAGTGGCATTCAAGTCCTATGTGAAACAGAATAAAGCTTCAGTTATTTAGAGTTTTAAGTTAAATAGCGTTACCTACTTTGTGAGTTAAGTTACGTGATTTACGTCAGTTGACTTACTTACTTTAGCCCAAATGTTTTAACAAAAACTCTTGTAACAGCGGTAATGGAGAATCGCACCCATATTAGAATTTGCATTATTGAGCATGAAGGTTCATTCTTGATCTTGGAACTAGTTGTTTGACAATCTTAACTCAAGGTCCACTTACTATTTTCTCCCCAGAGGAGCTTTGAACTGCATCTCTTGGTCTTTATTAGCAGATGGGGTTTCTTTGCGGTGCAGCCTCCGTCTGTCAATGAAGACCACAAGATGGAGTTGAAAGCCCCAGAAAGAAACTAATATTTGGACTATTTGCATTTTTTGCATAGAATTTCATATAAATGTGGTACAGCATCTTTGATGGGACACTTTTCTGACCCATACATTTTTTAAAACAGGGCCTATTGCATTGATAATTTTGAATTACAAATTCAAGAGCTAATTCTTTATATTCTCCGTTTGGGAATGAGGTTTAAAACACTGAAATTGGGCCACAGACAGAAGATAATTCTTGAAATGGAGGGCATACTCCTTCAGCAGTTCAAGTCTTTAAGGGTGATTTGTTTTTCTGCTGATATGGTTTTTACTGATTTGCACAATTTTCTGTCCTGTTTTAGCAGACTGGGTAGCCTCAGGACATGAAACAGTATTGAATCTTCAAGGGTTCCAGATGATAGGGGCAAGCATGTATCGGGGTTATTGTTAACAGTATTTACACGAACAAACTCAATAAGTGGATAGCTGAGTAGACTGAAAAACCAAAGGATACAGTTATGCATGTAAACACACCAATGTGATAACTGGAGGCAGCCAACTACTCTGTGCGCAGGGGCGAAAGAGAGAAGAGAATGTGAATATAAGAGGATAACGGTCATGATTTATTCAGTGATGAAAGGAACCCTGGTATTTTATTAATGATCTATTTATATATAGCTCATGTGAATTAAATAAGTGATTGAAAATGGATGTTCCAGCCTAGATTCTTGTGTATCCCACACACCCGACACATGCACACAAAGAATCACATGCATGTGCACACATGTACACACACATCACGACAGAATACACATGCACATTCACTGACAGATACAGGTTAATCCAGGAACACACACTGACTCTGCTCCTGACTGACAACTTTATCACTCTTAGCTGTAGCACTGTAACAAAAATGCAAACTCACACTGCAGCTGGATTCACTGCTACTAAAAAGGACATTTTAATGATGTATAAAAGCTCATTTTTAATTCATCATAATTTTCAGGAAAAATAAGTCATCCAGCATTTGGTGTGGAGAATTCTAATTATTATAGGGCCTACATCGCAGGTTGGCCAAATCTAATGACGTCTATGTGTGACCAGGGGAATTGTCACTTCTACTCATTGCTCACTTAAGAACTAGACTAGTTCTCTAGTTCTCTGTTGAGCTGAATTCACTCATTGAAACTCACAGTTAGGTTGTGTCAACAAAAGCTATTGCATGTAATATGTTTGACATTTTGGGGAATACGCCTAAAAGCTCACTAAGTAACATGTTGTATCTTGCTTGTTTAATCCCTACAAGTCTAAATATGACCAGTTGTGGTTTGTTTTTTACTGGCTGGGTGCCCGCGTCTAGCCTTTATGCAAAGCTGAGCTTAGCTAAGTTGTTGCAACTTTAAATCTGCAGTAACTGATTTGTTTGTCCAAACTTGTTGGCGAACAAAAAGTTGCTTTTTTACACATCCAGGCTCCAGCAGATATGGCGCAACATTATCATTCATTTGGAATTATCTTTATGGCCAATTGACGAAAGTAAGTTTAAAATTCCCTCACATTAGCTCTATTTTTGGTCAACTCTTGAGGGAAATATCTGGCTCTTTAGCAGGTAAATGCTGCACCAGCTAGTCCCAAACTTTATTTGCCATTTGGTGCTGAGCAGGGAGTGTAGTGTACATTGGGTTTTAAGAGTTTTTTTGCTGAAACTACTGCCACAAAACAACAAGAGTGGCGAGAATGAACCAAAACAGTAACATTGAGCTGAAACTCACTATGATACTCTGTAAAGATACAGGTGATAATTCTCTGTAGGCTCATCCCTACAGTGACCCCTTTCACATTGTCATTTGATATATTATCACTCTAAAAATATAGAGACAGACAAATATATTCAAATGAAACACGTAGTAGTATCGATCTCCTTTCTAACTCTTGGCAAGCAATCAAATGAGTGTCTCCCAAAATTATGAACCATTCCTTTGAAAAAACTACTACTTCCACTGTGTGTTAAACCTGAATTTACTTTGAGCCTTGTACCAGGGCTGTTAAATTGATTAAAACTAATAAGGCAAAGGCTATACTCATTGTTGACAGAAAAGTCTTCTACATAAAGAGACAGTGACCCAGAATCCTGCCCACGTAAGCAAGTGCACTCAAGTTTTCTGTGAGATCAGGGTATTGGAAATTCCAAACACTGAAGTAGTTGCAGAAATGAATACCTTTTTCTTGGTTTCCATTAGGATTGTCAACGATCTGTATCCTTTCTTAGGGCTATTGGCAGAGACCCAATGGCCTGTTAATGTTTATTCCTTACCACCAAGCCAATATAGGATGGTTCAGGAAGAACATATGAAAGAAGATCCTTAACGGATAAAGGGAAAGGAAGTACTATAAAATAATCAATACTGCCATTTTGAGTTGCAGAAAATTCTCCTGGAGTCACTCGGCCTGTCTTTTGTTGAATGTTACTTAGCCACAGAGGATGTGTAATGTTTAATAAGTGATATCTTCAATCTGTTGATTTAGCTTGACCTCAGTCATTGTTCAAGCAGAAAGGCATACAAAAAGATGTGACAGACAGCCACCCGGAATGGTCGATTCAATTATAAGATTTTACTACTCTAGGGGAATTTACTGTGTCCTTTAATCTTGATGTATCACGATCAATGCTAAAGAATGTACAAAACATATTAAAGAATGTAACATAAAAAACTTCAGGAGCCTTACACCAAACTGAAAAGCACAACATTGATGGTCATGAATAAAAACTACAGCAGGTTATCAGGCTGTATCACATGTCATCTGGATCTGGGGTTTAAATCCAGTGTTGCTGCGACAAATGTCACTCTGTCTTCTTTCCTGTCATGTTCCACTGTGTACAGTGGAGATAAAACAGCAGTGTTTACAGTATCGCCACTGTCAAAATAGAAACATCCCATTCTCTAAGTCTACTGTCCCTCTGCACTGGTTACTGGGCAGACCAACTGCAATCTAAGCCATTAACTGATTGCTGAATTTTCTGTAGAGACAATACATCACTGTGTATGCTTAGCAGAGCCAGTTAACACCCTCCACCTTCAGGAGCACAGCTTTGCACCGCACATTGTACCACTACCCACCCATCATTTGCAATGTGTGCTCTGTGCCAAAGTAATGTGTCTGCAAATGGAGGCATTGATGCCAAATTCCAAATTAACTGACCTGAAGCAGACCAGGGGTATATGCTGCTCCCAAGCACCAGAAGCTTTAAGAAAACCTGGACTCAGGAGGCTGCCAGAGAAACCATCTGTGTGCTGTGACTGCATAAGCTTCATCAGCTGTGCTGTCACCCTTATCTCTGCACCTCCATCTTAGCTTCAATATTTGAAAACTAACTGAATGCAAAAGCTAACAGTGGATCCCTCTCTCATTTACAAAAATAGTATTCATGAAAGCCAGACTATTAATAAATAAATTCTCTTGTATTGTGTCAGGTTATCTAAAGATGGAAAATGGAAGCAAACACATTGCAAACCATGAGAAAATACTATTGATTTTACTATAATAATAAGCATTGTTAAATGTTAAAGAAAACATTTCCATACTGATAACAGCAGCTGAAGGCATACTGTAACAGGTAACTTTCTGCAGTGTTATATGTGACTGCATATTTTCATATCATATCTTTAAAAATATTTAACAGTTTTAAGTGGTGATTTGACAGACTATCTCTCATATGTTCTGCAGTGTCTTATTAAGCTAAACTGCAATCAAATTTAGATTTTTTTTATTTTTGGGACTTTAAAATAAATGAGTTTAGCTTTGTTTTGTTTTTAATGTCATACCTTTTATATTAGGCTAATTTGAATATTGTTTCATAACCTATGCAGCCATAGTCATTGTTGGTTTTTTTTTTCCTGTCCCTGCACCTTGATTTCCACTGTCTTTTTGTGTACCATCTATGTGATTTTTATCTAAATTAATGAAAGTCAATATATTGTTTCACCTATCCAAGACCGATGTGATGAGTTCTGTGGATTGCTAACCAAAGAGTCTTAAGTTTAGGTCTTGAGTAAGGATTAGTCAACGGCAACGAGTGTGACGCATTGTGCGCGCAATGAATTTCGAGAAATAATCCTAGTCTTGCGGAGGAGGACGCGTCTTACATTGAGCATTTCCACTGTAAATTCAGGCCCTGCTGGATTATCCTAAGAAACGGTCGTTTTAACAACTCTGTTTCAGTTTCCCAACTGTTTCCAGCCACCGTCGTCGAAGTTATACTTTACTGAACGGTCTCAGAAACTCTGGCTGGTTTTCAAGGTCCGTGTTTTGGTCAAATGGAGCAATCCCCCCACCTACCGGAGGAGTCGCGTGACAACTGCAGATTTAGCAAAGCCCTGTCACGACATTTATCTGGATAGAGGGCTCATCCATCGAGTAGAGCATTTGTTATTTGTAACATTCGCAATGAGTGGCGCCATGAATTTCAAAAACTGCGGCTCTGTGCTGGTAACGGGAGCCAGTCGAGGGCTCGGGCTGCAGATAGTCGACAGCCTGGCGAGTGGAGCTTTCTCTCCCGGCAAGATTATCGCCACGAGCAGACAGCCCGCGAGCGCGCAGGTAAACACCAGCACATACGGATGGTACCTTTAGAAGCTAACTATCCCGTAGCCATACCGCCTGTAGTGTGTTTAATGTCGTTATATTAGAGGAATAGCGCTGTTCTACACGTCGCTGTGTTGACCTAGATGACGGGAGAGGGTACATGAAGAAATGTAATGAAGTTCAACGACGCATGCGGCGCCATTGTTCCCTTACTGTATGTAATGAGCAATGACACAATGTGCTTTTGACCTACAGAAACTTCAGGAACTGGCAGAGAAGCATCCCAACATCCACATAATCACGTTGGGTAAGACAAAGTACAATCATGGTTGGTGTGTGTAAACCATAGACTGTAAAAGGTGTAAAATGTTGCAACATATGAAAACAAAATAGGCTTTTTGCATGTGTGGAAAATTAACAAACACACAGAAACACTATAACATAAGGGCCTGTATATTTTAGATATGAATGAACCATTTGTCTGTTAATGAACATGAGCAATCCCTGGCTCATGGGTTTATTCAGACATATTAATCACACGCTCAAAAATGGAGGTTCGAGACAAGAACATTTCTTCACTTACAGGTACCGATTTAAAGCATGTTTGCTCAAAGGTACAAAATAGATCTGTAAGAAGCCAGAAGTGCACCTTTTGACTTACAGAAGCGGTACAATGGGGTACACAGGTGTCTCTCCAAAGGGTACTTTCCCAGCGACAAGCATTTGTACCATTTCAAATACACACCAACCAACAAATAAAAAATCCTAGATGTAATACCCACCATCATCTTACAGCACAACTACTTAAACACATGATGGTCTCATGCATGTTTAAACACTAAAGACAAAGAAATGGCATACATCCTGTACACACTGGAGATATTGGAAGTGAACTGAAAACGTTATTTGATTCATTTATTATCAGTATTTTCTTCCATTTTGGTAGAATTTTGTTTGTTTTTGTTAACTCACGGTGTTGACTTGTCTCTTTAACAGATGTAGTGAACCAGGAGAGTATAGAGAGGTCTGTAGAAGAAGTGGACCAGCTGGTACAAGAAGAGGGTCTGAACTGCCTCATCAACAATGCAGGGATCAATGTGGTCGCCGACTTTCAAACCGTTACCGCAGAGAAGATGATAGAAAACTTCCACACTAACGCTGTGGCTCCTCTGATGACCACCAAGGTGATGTTTATTGTGCTTTCTGTTCACGTAGCAGTTGTGGACCAGCTACTTAGTGGGGGGAAAAAGGTTGTTTTGTTTATTTGGAAGGTCGTCAGCTTATTTCACTATCCAGTCATCACCAGATGGTGAAATAAAGAAAAGAAACCACACTTTTCAATTCCTCAGGAGCAGGGCCCTGCGAGTGGTTCATTTTCTGAATGCTGCAAAGTAGAACAAAAGGCTGACCTTGATGGACAGAAGTAACAAAATCCGCTTAGCCCAGGGCAGACTGCATTTCATAAATATTCATTTAAAGTCCGGTTTCAGTTGGCCTCACAGTGCAGGGCAGACTACAGAGATGCTAAAAAATCAGGCGCTGATCAAGAACAAGTCAGCAGGGCAGATGCTTGCTGACACACAGTTTGCTCCAATTGAAGGACAGTGTCTAATACAAGGCCTGTTTGTGTGGTGGGGCAGCAGTGAATCACCTTCCACTGCATCGCTCTCTATTACGATAATGCATTAACCATTTGTAGCTTCTCACACGTGTCGTTTGTCATATGTAACAGTAGAGTAAATATATTTGGCTTTCGGATTGTTGGTTTGGCAAAAGAAGCAATTTGAAGACATCATGTTGGAAGATTGGGATTTTTCACAGTTTTTTGACATTTCAAAGACTGATGATTAATGGTTTAACCAAGAAAATAATCAGCAGATTAGTCTATCGTGAAAATAATTGTTGTAGCCCTAATTCACAAAATGTATGTCTGGAAACTACATACCCGCTTTTCTGCTGTGTAAAAGTCTTGGCCTTTAGATAATTGAACATTGTCGGTATGTAATGTAGGGTTGGGTTCAGCTATTAGGGTCAAATATTTAGACAACAAAAATATTTATTCTTTTAAGAGTTTAGTCTGACTTTAATTGTTTTATTAAAATTAGAAAATTAAAGTCTTAGGATCAGGTCTTCCCCTTTGTTGCCAAAGTGAATGGTGTGTCACGGCTTGGCATGGCCTGGCTCTGCTGGAGGTGCTAGTGCCGGCTGATGACACACTCGGGCTAGAAGACCTCAACACATCAAACACTGACCATTGTTTCAGATCAGGGGTGGTGGATCAGGGGTCAGTGCTGTTCTGCTTTAAGCTAAATGTTTGGTAAAAGTTGATTTACAACCTGACTGCATTTCTATCGCCTTGTCGTTTTCCAACTACAAATTTTTCAAGTGTTTTTTTACCGTGGCCAATCTCTCACTACTGTAATGACGTTAGCCATGCATGCTCGTATCTTAACAAATGGACACGCTGCTGCATTATTATCGACGTAGACGGGTCCTGGCAGATAGCCTCGTCATTCCACATATGGAGCCTTTTGGTAGCAATTACAAAGGGTTATCGCGTTAGGAACCGATAATCAACACCAAAATTAGTGTGGTGCTGTTGAATTGCATTGTGTTTTACTGACAGGTGTTTCTGATATTTAGACTACCCTTATTGATTTAAAAGTGATCCTGTCAGTTAATGCAATAAAGAGCTGTACATCAACAGTCAAGCTGGACATGTTGCCACCAGAGTGCACTATTTTATCCCTCTCTGCAGACTACAGTATGAAATATGTTTTACTGTGACTGAAAAGGCTCTTTCTTTCTCTCTTAATAAATAAATGATTTATGATGTGTATGTCTAGATGTGGGCTCTGTGTTCTATTTATTATAATATATAATATTGTGTATTATTTAAAGTGTAATTAAGTACAAATGTAATCATTTTCAAACTAACTCATGAAGCTCTTATGCAGTATTAGTTACAGCTTCCTTGTCAACATACTGATGGTGGCTCTGTCCTGTTAAAAGCCTGTACAGTAGGTTGATTCCAGCCTCAGCTATAATGTGTTTTGTTCTGCCTCTGCCAGGCCTTCCTGCCTCTGTTAAAGCGAGCAGCGTCCAGAGGAGGTGCAGGTGCTGCAGGGAGCATGGGCATCCAGAGGGCAGCAGTCATTAACATGACCTCTCTGCTGGGCTCTGTGGAGCTCAACTGGGGGGAACGGGCTAATAACTTCAAATGGTACCCCTACAGGACGTCCAAGGTATTGTTACCATGGGATGAATACATTTGTTTTATTACCAATTAATAAAAAAGTACACAACCTGTCTGGTGGATTAACTCTGGTGAGATATGGCTACAGACAGGGAGCTCAGGCTGTTTCAAATAGTTGGGTGTTGTATTTGTGACCTGATAAATGAAAGAAAGTCATAAGCGTTCTCCTGATTAATATTTTGCACTTTTTGCAATAATTGATTTTAGGGAACATTTGAAAAATCAGCTGCACCTTCCACCATCCTCCCACAGGTCAACTGCTGTGGTGTTTGGTTAAACTGTACTGTAGCAGGTTGGGTTTTCAATTACATTTTATTTATATAGCACCAGTTCTGATCATAACAGAATGTAACTCCTTGCACTTTTCATAAAGAGCACGTCTAGACCATGCTCTTCATAATAATATTTCTAGAGACCCAACACTTTCTACCATGGGCAAGCACTTGGCGACAGTGTCAAGGAAAAAACTCCCCTTTAACAGGTAGAAACCCGAGCAGAACCTAGAGTCAGGGTGGGTAGCCATCTGCCTCGACTTGTTCGGCTGAGAGAGAGAACACAGTAGCATCATGCAAGATACACATAAAGATGTAAAATAATAATATTGGTAGTGGTAATAATACAAACATCAATTAAAAAATGTAATAATAATAATATCATTAATGATGATGATAATAATAATAGTGAACAGGAACATAGGGGCAATTGTTGGCTTGCAACCTCAGATCCAGACTCTACAGCTCCGGAGGCAGAAACACCTGCAGGAAATGACAGAAGGAGAGACAAGAAAGCACAAAACTGTGGGAGAGGGAAGAAGTCGAGTTAGTAACATGCATTAATGGGAGAAGAAAGCAATCAGATGGAGAGGATCATGGGAAGTCTCCCGTCAGTCTAGGTATATAGATGAGAGCAGGCATACCTGTTGTCAGAACGACCACACCCCGTTTTAGCTTAAAAGCTGCTGCGTCGCATTTTGCACGTCAAACTAAAAAAGAGTTTATGAATTTCCCTAACAGCGAGGGACTGTAAAAGAAGAGATCTGTGGCTTCAGGCCATCTCCAGAGAGGATGAAAATGGTAAATTGTCGGACTGGCCAGTCATTAGTGTCAAGGCAAACACTTCATCAGAGGTTAGTTAATGGTGTTACTGAGTAAATAACGTGTGCCGATTGTTCTTGTAGATCGAAGTGTATCGAAAAGAATCTTAGTGATGGTGTCAGTCATTTTTTGCTGTGAAAAATATCGCCCAATCATAAAACACTTTTTAGAATGGAGTTTGGTTGAACAGTCGGTCCACTCGAAAGACCGCTGGCAATAGAGGGTATTTTAACATTTATAATTCACACAAATGGAGCAGAGCTACCTTCTAATAATGAACCTTGTAAACAGCATAAAGTAATGTACGACGTGGGGACTAAAACTGACCTGTTTTCTATTTCTCTGCTCGTAGTAAAATGACACATAATAAACACAAACAGCTATCAAAATAGAGACAGTGGTTCCACGTCAAAGTGATGTAATTAGCTTACAGTAACGTCACATTGGACAGATTACCAGAACAGCGAAATAAAGTGTCTTGATGACAGCAAAAATGACAAATCCATCCAAAAGTGACTTCCACTTATCATCAGGTTCCTAATAACTAAAAAGCAATATGATTTTCTAATTTTATGCAATTAAGTTGGCAAAGAATTTGCTTTGACCACCAGTCAAATTAGAGGGGCTGCTTTCACACGGAAGGGGCGGGGGCATGAAACAGGAACAAAGTTGCTCTCATCTATAGCAGGATAACTAAGGAATGGCTCAGGGCTTGCCTGAGCCAGGCTTAACTAAAAGCTTAACAAAGAGGAAAGACGTATGTCAGCTTTTGTAGGTATGCGTTGCGTGGTAACTTATTTCTTATTACCTTTCTTAGAGCGCCCTAAACATGGTGAGTCGCTGTATGGCTGTAGACCTGGAGCCTGACGGGATTCTCTGCATGGCTATACACCCTGGTTGGGTCCACACTGACATGGGGGGGCCTGAGGTAAGGCCTGGGATGCTCTTAAAGACTTGTGAGTAAAGGATACCAAACACTGAGAAAATTTCCTTGCATACTCTCAAGCCTTTTATTTACGTTAGTGAGAAAAACACGTTTTGGAGAATGCATTTATCAAATGCATGTATCAGCTGTTAAACCATGTTGCATGGTGTTTTACATTGAGGAGCTGTTGCACAATGTCTCTTTTTTCCACATTTTAGTGCCCTGAGTGTATATGGTGAAGAAGTGACGTTTGTCTGAATCTATTATTTGTGATCATCTGTCTCTTTCCAGGCTCCACTGAGTCCAGAGGAGAGCATTTCTTCTGTCTTGTCTGTGATTGGTGGACTGACTGAAAAGGATCATGGGTCATTTCTAAACTATACTGGAGAGATATTGCCTTGGTGATTCTGATCATCAAAATAATGAGCAGTGTTGGACAGTAACGCATTGTAATAATATTACTTTTCCCAGTAACTAAGTACTGTAACTAATTACTTTTCTAAAATAGTAATAAATAGTAAATTATTACTAGTTACTAAGGCAAGTAACGCTATATTCCTCGTTACTGAACGCACCATCCTTTACGTAAATCCACGACTGTGCGACAGCTCAGCGGGACCGGACCTTCTGTTGTTCATGTCAGCTAATAGCCAAAAACTAAAGGAAGAATGGAGAACGAGGGAGAGAGGCGTTCTTTCTTCCACAGCTGTAAGAAGCTACTGCCATTATTGTGTCACAGTCGTCTGGTGTAAACTCTGTGCGACCAGCAAAAAGCTTTCAACTGTGAACAATTCTACACCTGATTTATTGAAGCATCTGCTGAAGCAGCACAGTGACGTGAAACTCCGGCAGCTGCTGTCACTGATGTTTGGACTCGTCGGGAGAGAGTGGCGTTTACGTAACGTTTTTTTTAACTGCTGAATACTGCTCTTATAAACAGGCTACATGTGCAGTAAAACCACTGTTTAAAAGTCGGGATTTAATTGCGTTATTTTTTTTATTTCAGCCGGTGGGGTAAAGAAACGTTAGGCCTAAACTATTTGCTTTGTAAAAACCACACTCCTTGCTGCTGTTATGGATATGATGAGACTGCTTTGTTTGGGGGTGGGGGGGAGCAGTGTTTCCCATAATTAGCATATAATTTGGATAATTATCAATGCTGACCGCCACATATTGATTTTCCAAATTTTTTATAGGCGTATTTAAAATCATTTTTGATTAACAAGCTGTATTGAGGAGAATATATTCGTGCAGCACCTCCTGGCTCGCTCCCTCTTTCTCTCTCTCTCTCCCTCTCATGAACAAAGCTGCACAAATCTGTCCAACGTTAGAATAACCCCCCACTTTTTTAAGGAGTAATAAGTAACTAGTAATATATTACAATTTCTGAGTATCTGGCCCAACACTGAGTAGGATGATTATTAGCACAACTAACGGATCCTAATGGCTTTTTATTGCCATTATTCAGCTTCAGCTATGCAAAGATGAACTTTTCAGTGGCTCAGAGTGTTAAATCTTAACCAAACTCTACCTTTTAGTAGAAATTGTGTGTATTTCACCTAAATACAACTTCAATATGGGACAGCTACAGTATTCAGTTTCTTATAAGATCACTTTACATTGTTTTTGAGTACTGTAGATGAGCAGGGTATGCTGTGCGCTGTAGCTTGTCTTTAGGCTACATGCTGTACACAAAGGAGGTTACTCTGTTGGGCCGGTGCAGCCCTACATACCTCTCACATTGCGTTACCAAAAAATTATCAAGCATTATTCAAATGTAAACATAAAATGTTGCTATTATTTGATATTAACACATCTAAGTCATTGTCCCAGATAGAGTCCGACCGCCAAATTGCTGATATGAGCTAATTGCAGATACATCAGTATCAGTGTTTATAACAGCTGATAAATTACAATTAATTAAGAAACAGACGGATCCCTCAATCATATTATGAGTGTTGCATAGTTTGTCCAACAGGGGGCAATCTGCAACTCCCCTGATGGCAACACACAGGAACACCACACATCCACCACAAAGCACAGCAATCAGCAGTACTTTTGTTCAAAGTACTATTTACAACAATAAAGAAAGTTTACTTTTAAACTGCATTATGTCATGTTATCTAAAAAATTGGGATCTGTCTTAAAAGTCCCATATTGGTCGGCTGTAGTCCCAGACAAACAGACACTACTTGTGAGAAAGTCTTAGCAGAAAACCTCAGAGTTGTAGTTTGGTTGTCTTAAACTATGTATACGTTAGGGCAGAAATTTCATTTACATTGCCAAGCTGAAGTGTCATGGCCACAGAGTTACTCTGCTGAATACTACCATGTAGTACTAAAACTCCACCTGTGGGCAACCAGAAGTGGATGCAGTTGTATAAACAGATAATAAATGACAATATAGAAAACACAGTAATTATATAAAATCTGTCTTCAAACGAGAAGTTATAATTTTTGACAAAGAATATACATTAATAAATACTTTAAAATGTACTTACAGCTGCGTACAACTACATTATAGTGTGTTTGTATGCTTCTAAAGGCTGAATAGGGGTAAAGTGCCCCCATGTATTTTCCTGTTCAGTTATTTCAGCTACTGGGCTGCCTGAAAATGTTTTATGAATATATAATAATAATATATTTTGCCCTTAAATACAGTTTCTGATCCTTTTCTTAATAAGTGGTGTGTGGGAGGGGGCATGTTGCGTGTTAGGACAGGCCCCTCTTTCTTAGAATCTTCAAAGACTGAACAGAATCTGGTGCTATCCTTACTGACTTTCTTCCCTATGGCCCAACATTATGAGTCCTTTACTAGAAAGTAATCAATCACAATTAAAGGTATAAACTGATGAATGATGAGCCAATCGTGTGATGAATATTTGGACACCAAGCCCTCTAATTAGTTAATATTTACTGAATTTACTGATTGCATTCTCCTTAGCAGTCAGTCAACAGATGTTGTTTAGGTTTACATTTGTGTGTAAGGACGCACAGAAGTAAAGTGAATTTTCTGTGGTGGCACTCTGTCTGCTGTCTGTACTGAATTGTATAGTTTCTGCAGTTTACAGTTAAAGTATGGTAAAATCTACGTACTGTACTTTTTAGAGGATTTGACTTTACCATCATTGTGGTAAAACAGTAATACACATTTGAGTGTCCGTGAGTGTGTCTTCTAGTAAAAGAGGTCTATAATGAGATACAAGAAGTTTCAGCTTTGTAGTTCACTTTTCTCACAAACTGTATGATTTATAAGATGAACGAGTAGTTGTAAAGGGATATTTTTCCTCCAAGGATGTAAGCAACAATAAACAAAGAAACAAAGACATTTAGTCAAAATGTTTTTATTCCTCATTCTTGGAATGGCGAGTTTGTATTTCAGCAGGGTTACTTGACATTAATTGTTAGTGTTGAAGGACATTTCCGCTTTCCCATTGTGTGTCTCTCTTTCAGCAGCAAAACAATAGGTGACAAGTCTGGAAGATAATGTCAACAATGGAGAGCATTTAGGACAAATGTCACTTAAAGTTATGATCATCTCTTAGTGTCATACTTAGTAGCTTTTACAATTGCAAGAGAGTTGAGTGTTCCTTATCATTGCCAGTTTACAGCACCTGTGCCTACAGCTGGTTTGAGTACAGTTGGATGATAAAGCAAAGATGTCACTGAACCCGTGCTGAAGTTGAATGTGCAACTCAGAACACGCTAATAGCTAATGGACTGAATTTACTGGATACAAGTATCACTTAAAAGTAGTTGATAGCAGTTCTTGTGCCGGGCATGGCAATGTTTTAATCCCCCATTTGTAAACGATATCTGACCTCAGCATTTGGTAAGCTCCCAGGAAAGCCATTTAAATCTAATCAAACCAGTTTGCCAAGAATGGTGTGCAGGATGTCATGTGCTGGGTGTGTGGTGAGAGTGCGAGAGGAGGAGTGTGCCTAGAGTGCCAAACACAGAAGGAACAGTTATATGATAAGGTGCTGCTTTGAATTTCTCTTGCGCACAAGTTCTTTTGTTTCTGTTCATTTTTAAGACTTCAGCATGGAGTCAATTTTTCTGCATTCCTGAAGAAAAGGATGAGTGGAGTTTTCATTACTTTACTACAGGTACTACAGGTTACTTTACTACAGGTAAATGTTTATATGTGATTATGTAACCTATTAGTTCAAGTGGAAAGCAGCAACAGAAGGCCTGCACACTAGTGAAATTCACCATTCGCGAGTCTTTTCAAGAAAGGTTCTGAGCTAATTTGTGCAACATTGTACAATAGTTGAATTGTGGAAGTGTGTTATGCCAACTTTCTTTGTTTTAATAGAAATACTAGTTTGTTTTTGTTTTTTAAATAATTCACCAACACCGCGAAACATTTCGGCAGCAGAAAAACAAATCCATTAGTAAAAGAGTAACGTAAATTCCTGTTGCGGGAATCCAATGTTCGACATTGTATGCAGTGTGCAAAGTACGGGGGAGCTCGGCTCTTCTTAACAAAACGGTAGCTCCCCTAATGGATCATGCATAAATAGATTTCTATAGACTATGTGTTTGTGCTTTGACGAATTACTTTCATGATTAGAGAGGCTGCTGTCAGTTCATCCTGACCGATCCTGTCGGAGTTCTCCTATTTCAGGACCAGGACCGCGGTGAAGTTAGTGTTAAGTTGCATATTCGACTGACATTTACCCAGGATCCGGTGACGGCTTCTAACTCAGTTCACCCAGTGTCGGCAGTATAAGTGTGGTTTGCGCATTTCCGATAGCTCGCCTTTAACCACCGGGGGTTAGTTTAGGGACCATCAATAAATTACAATTGTTAAAACAGTGTTACGGGAAAATCATAATTTATTTCAATAGCTTCCATGTCATGTGATCTTCATATTATATTTGAGTGCATATCCAAATTTATATAAATATTTATTAATAATTTATGGAAAATAATGCTTTTTTTTTCAATATCTTCCATGTCATGTGATCCACGGACTCCAAACCAATGCCGAATTATTGTACTACACTAGGCAAATGAGACACACCTCTTCATGTTAGATTTAAAGACTTGTTTTATTTTATATTAATATTTATTAATAATTTGTGTAAAAAATGCATTTTTTTTCTATAGCTTCCATGTCATGTGATTCATGTACTCCAAACCAATGCCGAATTGTTGTACTACACTAGGCAAATCAGACACACCTCTTCATTTTAGATTTGCGTACTTGTTTTATTTAACTTAATAGTTATTAATAATTTATGCAAAAAAGGAATTATTTTTTCAATAGCTTCCATGTCATGTGACCTACCAACTCCAAACCAATGCTGGATTGTAGTACTACACTAGGCAAGTCAGACACACCTCTTCATATTAGATTTAAAGACTTGTTTTATTTTATATTAATATTATTTATAATTTGTGTAAAAAATGCATTTTTTTTCAATAGCTTCCATGTCATGTGATTCATGGACTCCAAACCAATGCCGGATTGTAGTACTACACAAGGAAAATCAAACACATCTCTTCATATTAGATTTGATTAATTTTTTTTCTTTTTATCTTAATATTTATTAATATTTTATGGAAAGGTGGGCTTTTTCAATAGTCTAATTTTGGGGGAAAAGGTTTTTTCCATAGTTTCCATGTGAAATAGTTTTTAAGGCAAAAATTCAAATCAAACAAAATCCCCTCAGTTTACCTTAACAACAATAACACCACACCTGCTTCCGTCTTTTAACTGGGTTGCACATGACTCTTGCCATGACAACTTGACATCCATTCAGTCTGTTTGGCTTTCTCATCCTTAAGTTTTCCCTGAATAAGAAAGTGTTAAAATACTTTAAACAGATATGTAGGTGAAAAAATAATGTCAGCTCACAAACATTTGGTATGACCAGCAAATAACCAATGTTTGTATTCATCTCATCATTGTAAATGCATATGAGGGACGGGGAGAGGGCAGTCATAAAAGGTAGGCTATATTATAGTAGTAATAATAGTCTTTTTAAACAAAGCTTAAGAATGCAAAATGTCAGTGACAAATTCTTCAACTTCTAAAGTGGAGCAATAGAAAGCATCCTGACTGGAAACCTTACCATCTGGCATAGGATGTGCAAGGTCCAGGACGGGAGGGCTCTGCAAAAGGTCATTAAAACCGGCCAGAAGATTATTGGTACCTATCTACCAAGCATCAGTGATGTCTGTGAGGTGAGGTGTCTGCAAGGAGCCCAGGACAGCACCAACGAAGCCGCAGCCTGTTCACCCTGCTTTCTTCTAGGAAAAGATATAGAAGTCTGCTGTCGTAACACCAGACTGCTGAGAATGTACTAGCATATGAAAAAGCACTCAAATCTGATATGAAGAGGGGTGTCTCATTTGTCTAATGAAGTACTACATTTGAGCAAAGGGTTGGAGTCACTAGGCAACATGACATTGAAATAAAGCTGTCTTTTCCAAAAAATATTAATAGAAATAAGAATAAGTACTCAAATCTAAGATTGAAAGATGTGCTTCATTGGTCTAGTGTAATACTACATTTCAGCAAAGGTCTGGAGTCACTGAATGACATCACATGGAAGCTATAAAAAAAGGAAAGCCTTTTTTTTAACCAAAATTATTAATAAACATTTATATAAAATAAAATGTGGATTCAAATGTAATTTCAGGGTGGCGCGGTGATGCAGTGGTTAGCACTGTCGCCTCATAGCAAGAAAGTCGTGGGTTCAAACCCCAGTTGCCCCGGCCTTTCTGTGTGGAGTTTGCATGTTCTCCGCATGGGTTCTCTCCAGGTGCTCCGGCTTCCTCCCACTGTCCAAAGACATGCGGACTAGGTTAATTGGTGATCCTAAATTGTCCTTAGGTGTGAGTGTGAGTGGTTGTTTGTCTGTGTGGCCCTGCGATGGACTGGCAACCTGTCCAGGGTGTACCCCGCCTTTTCGCCCGATGTCATTTGGGATTGGCTCCAACCCCCCGCAACCCTGTACACAGGATAAGCGGTTGATGATGGATGGATGGATCACATGACATGGAAGCCATTGAAAAAAAAAAGCATTATTTTCCATAAATTATTAATAATATTAATATAAATTTGGATAGGCACTCAAATATAATATGAAGAGGTGTTTCTCATTTGCACAGTGTAGCTCTACAGTTCGGCATTGGTTTGATGTCATGAGATGGAAGCTATTGAAATAAATGATGATTTTCCTGTAACACTGTTTTAACAATTGTAATTTATTGATGGTCCCTAAACTAACCCCCGGTGTTTAAGGTTAAAAGCGAGCTATCAGAGGTGAGCTAACCGCACTTATACTGCCGACACTGGGTGAACTGAGTTAGAAGCCGTTACCGGATCCTGGGTGAATTTCTGTCGAATATCCAACTTAAAACTAACTTCACTGCGGTTATTTCAGGACCCTGAAACTGGCGCAGTTTAACAGAATTAAGCCATCATTCATTTTATCACAGTATTTACACCTATTAATACTACATAAGGCTGTGATCTTGATATACTTTGACTGTTTACCAGTGTGCCATCTTTAAATGTCCAGTTTTTCTTTCTTACTTCGTATTACCACTCCTAACTCCTTGGAACTGAGAAATGTTCACATAGGGGCGTAAATGAACAAAATAACGTCCCTATTTGGGCTGCAGCTAACAATTATTTTCATGGTTTGTTAAATTGTCTATTTATCCACAAAAATTCACACAGTTTCACTCACAGTTTCCCTGAGCTCAAGTTGACTATTTTAAATAAGTTTAGTCAGAACAACAGTCCAAAACCCAAAAGTATTCTGTTTACAGTGATAACAAAAAGCAGCATGTCCTCACATTTGAGAAACCTAAATCTACATATCAGCATTTTTTCCCTGAAAAATCATACTATCGAGCATTGCGTTAGTTCAGGCAGGCAACGTAGTCAAGCTCTGCTCATTCCAGATCTTCAGCAGGACATCAGCTGACAGCTACGCTGATTCCTCTCTGAGCATTCATTGGGAAATTCCAGACAAGGCAACTATTTAAGCTGCTGTAGCCTACCTGCCTTTCGTCGCTGCTCCTATCCAAAGCTCATAACCCACCGCCATCCCAGCTCCACCTTTCAGGGTGTATCTGATAGGGATGCACAATAATTATGGGTCCGAGAAGTATTGGCCGATCGGGCACACGGATAGAGTGACACAGACACAGTTCAGGCAGCTATCTCCTGTCCTCCTCCCCTCTGTCTCTGCGTAATTCAGTGCAGGTAACAATGTGCAGATTGCAGATACATGGCAATCTAAGCTTAACAGTTAGACTTCAGACAGCTTTCATTCAGCTCATTGTACATCTAGCTTTGCCAAGCTAGTGCTGGCGCGGTGTGCTTTTAATAACATAAAGGATGAGAGACATGGACAGAGCGAATCAATTAACCCCTTCTATGTTATGCTCGTTTAATAGACGTATCGACAAAGTTGTCTTATACTCTTGAGGTTTTGTTGCACATACTGCAGGAGCTTGGAGCTCCTTTCACTTCAACACGTCCACGACCTATCTCTGCGCTTGCCACTGTTGGTGCGTGGTGTGACAACCTGCAACCTGCAAAGCCAGGTTGCACCGCCCTGTAAACACCCTCTCCTAATCGGACTCACTGATTCGCCATGCGCTGATCCAACGCTCAATCCCCCCCGGTAAATAGCAGGTGGGGGGAAAAGTGAATGGAGACAGGATCGAGGGAAGCAGAGTTGTAAGCAGCGGAGCAACACGCTGTTTGTTAGATGAAGCTGAAAAATTTAGGTAGTTAATCCCTTGAGACCATTCGAGTCATCAACATTCGCGTTCTTTCACCTTGCCGGCCACAAACTACTCCACCTCTATACCACCGCTGAGTAGGCTACAATAATCACCGCCATCCAGTTGTCTCCGGTTGTAAGTCCAACAAAACCCCTTTCTTACGCTGCCTGGTTTTCTTTGTTTGGCCTTGGCTCCTCTGTTGATACTTTGTGATGGACTGAAGTTCTGATGATATTTTGTGATGGAGTGAATTTATGTTTCTACTTTAGTTAAACTAGACTTAACTGCGGCTGATGTGCATTTTGAGTTGATTGCAGTGTGTTATTTTGAGATTTGCTTTTCTTTTGTGGTTTGATAAAATACTTCTGTTTCAAGCTGAACCTTTGAGTGCTGGTTTTTCTTATCACACTGTTGTATATTTCAATGCGAGGGTGTACATTTTATACGTGCCTCCTTTGTGACATTTGTGTAGTAAGCCAAAAAATCTTAAGTCTCAGAAGAGAGACCTGACTGGCACCCCTGTAAAAGAAAAAAACCAACAATAAAAGCCAAACTGTCACAGTGTGAGCCCGCATGTGTGATCGTGTGCGTGAGGCGACTCAGAGCAGCAGAGGCTGCATCCTGATAACAAAGTATGGTCTTCAGCCCCAGGCCCGTTTAACACCATGCTTCAGTGCCCATCTAGTATCTGATTAAAAATGTAAATTGCATGCCTGCTCTGTTCTGTACAGGGGTTCTTTACTGCGGCACTCTGCCTCTGGTTTTCCATGTATGTATGTGGATGGGCAGGGAGGTGCTCTCCCTACCTGATGGCTTTTCCACAGAGAGGTGTGCTCAGAACAGAGCCATACCGCCAAATATAACATGCAATATCAGTCTTTGATGAAAGTTGTCCTGACTGAACTTCATTTTATGTTTATCTCCTAAAATGACCAGTCATCTCCGTATTACTACATCACTACAGTAGTACTACTACTACTTTACTTCCTTTACTTTTTTTTTAGTCTTGAAGGTTTTCAGGCCAGTTAGCTTGGAATTGTCACAAGTCACAAACTTCTTGTAAACAGTGTGTCCAGAGATGCCAAGTGCACCATCACTCATCATGTCTTTTCCTGTTTAGTATGAAATCTACAGGAGCAGCTGGTCGGTCAACATGAGCATGTTTTGTGTTTACTTAGGTATTGAGTATTCAGTCAACCAGATTACCTGTTACAAATCCTGCATGATGGTCATAAAAACTGTCTGGATGACTGTCCTGGATCAGGGCTATATTCAAAGCTTTAATACCAACATGCAACAGCTAACATGTGTGAATACTGCAGTTGCTATTCACTACTGCTACTTGCAGTGACCAAAAACTGTTGGAATTGTAATGGACTTTTAGGGGTACTATGACACAGGTTTCCCCAGGTCTTGTTTGGGCCAGTTGCTGAGTTAAAGCAAGCTCCCCTCTGCCTGCTTGATTGACTGACGCAACTGTATTGATGAGGATGCGCTGCTATCCATTTGTTAGGTAACCCAAGGTCAAGATTATCTTCTTTTTTTCGTAAGAGACAGACTGACTGGCTCTATGTAGAAAGTGTTGCATGTGGCTTGAATGACGCCCAACATATTTTTAGGTTAGCTTAGGTAAGATTGATTTGGACCAATATCCAAAAGAATCTTCACACATATATAGAGGGGTGAACAATAACCTTATTTTGACATTTAGTGAATGTATGCAGGTCTAGGTAGGATACATTTCCCCAGGCAAGAAGTATCCTTCAGATTTGGTGTCAACTGAACCTGACACACTTTATTTTCATCATAACAGTTAGCCAATAATCTGAAATCCTCTTTTGTTGTTATTGTTGCTGCCCTATGACTGAACCTCCAATATGGCTGCCAAAGGGTCCATAATGTGGCCTCAGAGTTCTATTATAAGCAGTATAGTCCGCTCACATGGTCTGTCCTCCTGTGTTGCAGAGGTATGTATAGGCCACATGGAGTTGGAGAGTCATGGTGATATTGATAGACTATCCCGCCTCTGCGGGGCTGCTGTCGACAGCTGGAGAGCTGAGGATGCCATTTTCAGACACCGTCAAGTACTTCATCCTGGGCATCTCGGTCACTCTCCTTCTGTTGGCCCTGGGTATCTTGGCATGGCAGGCCTTCAGATGCTGCACACAGACACACACTACATACATCGAGGAAGATACTGGTGAGTTAGGATAAGGGAACAATGCAGCACATATGGATGATGCTGTGTGTCTGACCTAGAAAGTAATTACAATAAAAATGCAAACTTGTGTCTGATTATTACTGTAGTGAGCAGTGATCTGCTGTACTCAGAGGATAAGTCAAGAACATCTGGAAGCCATGCAGAAGCTCCAAGGACTAGGGTAAGAGGAAATGGATTTGAAAGGTGTGGACAGGAAAAAAATATTTTGTTTACTTATTTCCTTATGACCATATGTCCTATCTCTTCTATTGTATCAGGGTATCAGAGTTCAAAGCAGCACTATACAATATCAGACTTGACCAGATGATTACTTTCAAATGTATAGATGTGGCTTTGTTTGGATAAGTAAAAACTGAAGCAGAGCCACTGTTGGCAGCTTTTGGAGGAAGCCTTTCTGTCATATGTTCCTAGATGTGTGTCTGGACAGTCACATTTAGTATCAGGTCAGTACAATCAATTGTAACTTAAAAACTCCAGATTTCAATATTGAACTTCATCAGCTCAATATGTGCATGGAAAATCCAACTGTATGCAAATCAAATATACTATCTGTCTTTCCATGCATGACTGGCTTGTTAAGTTGCTGAATTTGAAATGATGTGGTTGGTTTGTGTAGAGAGTATGAGAGGGAGTTTAATATGAAAAAAAAATCATAAAGCCTAATGGACAAAAAACAAAAATATGCAGGTTGGTAGAGAAGATCTACGGGAATACAGGGCATTTATAGGTATGGCAGCTGCAAACAAAATGTGTATATATATATATATATATATATATATATATAAAATATAAATGATCTGCTAATTCAAGACTACCTTGGGTATGATTTTTGGTTTTAATTTTAAGTCTGAAATGTGCCTCTTTAGTGTAAATTACCATCCTGACATGGATGTGTTTAACAAAACTATTGTTATATCTACCAGAGGAGTCAGGTTGGGTAAGGTATCTGTGTTGATCTTATGCTCGCCTACATCTGATCTTTGTTTGAAAACTTTTATTTGGATAGTCCACTGTTTCCTTTCTGCCATGTGCCATGTGACTGTCAATAATATTCCTGATGACTCTAAAAGCAATGTGTAGTGTTTGACAGTGTGGACATAGTTAATGTAGGACTTTGGGGCAAAAAAGAGTTGAAAAACTAGGACAAAGACTGCTAATGACATTTCAACAGTATAAGTTCAACAAAGATTTTATTTACCAATGCTTTTCAATTTGATGTTGATTGTGGAAAAATTATATTGTTAGTAGTTCCTGTTATTTTGTCCAGACCCTGCAGTCTGTGGAGCTGCTCCACTTAGGCAACATAGTCTATGTACATAAAGACAATTGAGCACGCTTGTTCAAACAAAAGAGAGTTGCGACTTGTCACAAGTCAAATAAAAGCTGGAGGTGGTGAAGTTGTTAATGAAAACAGCTGATAGAAATGGAGTGTACGTCTGTGGGCTCCCCAGGTGGAGGATGTCGGCACAGAGGTCCGCAGGCTGAGTCGCTGTCTGTCTCAGGCCTCGTTTCCCTCCTCAGGATCCAGCCAGGGAGACAGCGACGCGGGCAAGCAGGCCACTAAAAAGGTAGCAGCCGGCATTACTGTATAATCCTGTGGTTACTATCTAAATACATACAGCAGCTCCAATATTTTGATATTCACTTCATTTCAAGGTTTATGCACTTTTTATTTTCAAAATCTACTCAAGGCTGCCTTAAAACTGTGTTTTACTCAATGAGTATGGAGTAGGTCTCACACATGAAATGGCTTATTTACATCCTAAGTGGCCATGAAAATCACACAAGTATTGTGATGTAAGGGAGGTTTTGAAGATGCTGATACTGTCTGATTATCATCAGAAAATCAGGTCTGATTAATAGCACACTGTCATGAAACGTTACACACTACTGGCTTTGTGTTTTTCTATTGATAACACTACAGCCATGGTAGCAGGTGTGTGTTTTTTTGTTTTATTTTTAATTTTTTAAGATTGTAGTTGAATTAGCGCACATTTGAGCTGAATGCTAACATTAGCATGCTAACATGCTAACAATGAAATGCTGATGTTTAGCAGGTAATATTTACCAGGATCATAGGTGTCATTTACACTGGGGACATGTCCCCACCACATTTTGAAATGGCTGATTTTGTTCCACCACTTTGTGAAAGCATTTGTTAAAAATGTTCTGAAAAACAGCTTCCACCAAGAAATGTTAACTAGCAAATGAAAATGCTTTGAGAAAGGTTTATTTGCACAATACAAAACATGCAATGCATTTTAAATATAGAAGCAAATGTGCATCACCAAAAAAGTAACTTGGCTAAAAAAAAAACAAGCTGCTTATTACTGCATTGTCACCTGTCAGCTGAATTTTTTGTTTCTCTGTTATATGAATAAAGACATTTACACTGTAAATTGGAGCAGAAAATGTCTCCAGAAGTGTTTAACGCTCCAATTTTCTTGGGGATGACCCCAAGACCTTCCACTCATATATTTCAGATTTTTATATTTCTTTAAAATAGTGTTAAAAAATCTTTTCATCTTGTTCTTGTGTATCATCATGTTTTGTGACCAAGTAGAATCATCACGCCCCTGATCTGGGCCCTTATGTCCATACCACTTTTCAACACAAAGTGATGCCCTTGACCAGGGTCACCATCCTAGTTTAGCTGAGAATGTCATGCTTGCTGGAATTTGGTCATAAAAAAAAGTTTTCTAATTCTAATTTTGACTGGATTAGGTCTGGCTGCTGACACCTGTTCTGAATTTGTTTGGATATGTCGGCTACTTCTTATTCCTGACATCTAAGGTCTTAGGGGACATTTTAACCGAGATGTTTGAAATCCTTGATGCAGTGCATTTCACATTTTCAAGCAATATTAACAGCAACATTAGGTATTTGGTGTCTTTCCTAACATACCCTCTTATACCAGGTCGATGGATCGCTGCGTTTCTCCATCTATCATGACCAGCTGCAATCCCAGTTGGTGGTCACCATCTTACAGGTGGAGGGGCTTCTGGAGCACTTGCAGACACGCAGCCTCCAGCTATTTGTTAAGCTAAGTCTCATGTGGGCAGGTTCAGAGGGAGTGGAAGTGGAAGGCTGTATGGAGGAGGAGGAGGTAAATTTGTCTTTATTAACATGCTCTACAGTTATGTCACTCAACAAGTGGCCAAGAATCCATGGCATCATATTTAGGGAGATATACAACTATAACTCTTTTCATTTGATGCTTGCTTACTGCTGTGACCCTCTTAGGTCGAAGGGACAGCACCTGTCCTTTGGACAGTGCTGCAGGAGTGGCGAACTCGTATTGTGAAAGGCAGCTGTAATCCTTTATATGGAGACCAGTTCAGCTGCGTTCTGCAAGAGCATACAGAGCTTCATCATCTCACCCTCAGGATGGAGGTCATGCAGTACACAAACCCATCTCTCACTATTAGTATCTCTCAAATCATAGGAGATAAATTTGTCAGTTGAAGAAATAAGAATTAAGCAAAGAAAAAATGTCTACTGTGTGATTCTGAAAGTAAACTGCCCACAATTGTCTGTGTGCATATCAGGTGAGGGACTTTGATAAATTCTCCAGACATGCAGTGTTAGGAGAGGTAAAAGTTCCTCTAGGGCAATTTAACATCGCCTACCCTCTGGAGCTACAAGAAGATCTGCAGATACCCCAGAAGGTATATACATTGTGTATATTACAAACACACACATGCAATCAAATAGGAATGTTTTTATCATCTTCTAGTTGAGGTGAATTTAAGGACTGCCATTCTTACACATACACATTAATGAGTATGTGTAAGAATGTAGGCTGTGATTATAACATCATATATGTCAGTTTAGAAACAAAATAAACATCGGATCTCTATTTTTTAGCCATAACCACTAAACTAACAGAACAGGATTTTAAATATTGAATGGTTAAAGTGAAAAATGATTACACAAAATGCAGCACTGTAGCATTTTCTTGGGAAAAAAAAAATCCATCATGTTGTGTAAAATTATTTTTATCTTGAGATTGAGTCAGTTTTATTTTGACTGTTATGTTTAATTTCCCCCGCGACCCTGTACGCAGGATAAGCGGTTGATGATGGATGGATGGATGTTTAATTTCTGGAACATGTGTTTTTTCCCATTATTATTAATAATTTCAGTTCATTCATGAACCCAATTACCCATGTCATTTTTGGTTCCCAATAGGGAACAGCCACATTAGATGAAGTGGTCAGTTTACCTTGTGTATAGATTGATACATCTTTAGAGGTTAGGGTTGTATTCTTGCTTTATTTATTTAATGGTTCAACGTTGTTTAGTCTCCACTCGAAACAAAAAAAAATTATCAAATTAAAATTGATTTTAAAAATTATACATATTCTATATATGCTATACATTGAAGAAGTTGAAATCTGAGAATATTTAGTGTTTTTGACTGATGAACAGCTTCAACGATCAACATTGTTGCTGCCAACTGTGTTAAGGATCTTGTAGGAGAGGTGCTTCTGTCTTTGAAGTTTCTTCCCACTTCTCAGAGGCTTGAGGTTGGACTGTTAAAGGTCAGAATGGTCCTCACCAAAATGTGCTCAGATACAGGTAAGTAACAAACGCCTCCATTAAAATGTAGCCATATACAGTATAACATTCAGTTCCTAATCTGCCTTCTCTGTGTTGTACAGCCCTTTACGCCCGGATCAGTGTGCAGTGCAACCATTGCAAGTTGAGATACCAGAAAACCTCTGCAGTGGCCCGCTGCCTGGTAACTGTCTTCAATGAGGTCCTCATGTTCTCCCTGCCAGAGTTTCCTCTTGAGCAGTGTAAAATTGTGGTTTCTGTGTATGAGACTCGCATGACTAGGAAATCAACCAAACGTCTGATTGGACAGTTGACTGTGGGGAAGGAGAAGAGTTCAGAAGACAAACACTGGAGCCTGATGATGCGCTCAGTCCGCCAGCCGATAGCAAAGTGGCATGGCCTGCTGATCTGACCTTCCTGCACTTACTTGGATCTCCGTACATGCTTGTATTTAACTGGAATCTGCTTGTTTATCAGGAGAGGGATGTGCACTTGCTTTACTGCAGGCCAAACATAGACTTCTCTGTCTCCTGACTCCCCTGTGATAGAAAGACCTTACCACTCCAATCACAACGGTGACTGTTAACTGGATGCAACGCAGTGATTTCCGCATGGATTTTATGACTCCTTGCAGACACCTTTATTTTGTTTGTGAAAGCAGAAAAGTACTTTAGTTCTGAACTCACCTATAGTAGGCCAATGTGTTAACTTTGTACCTGTGAACAGCCAGTAACTGAATCAGTCAGTTAGGGCTGGAACTAATGATGATGATAATTGTTGTAAATGTGAGTTATTAGTTTCATTATTTGGCAAGGTGTATCTTTTTTGTTACATAATCATTTGGTCTATAAAATGTGAAAATATCAAACAACAGTAAATTACCATAACATTTTTTTATTTATTTGAATTGAACAGATAACAGTAGCACATTCAGTTTACAATTGATCTAAAGCTTACCTCTAAAAAGGCCGGACACCCCCTTATTTCCTTTTTGTTTGTTAATTTAAACATTTTCATGAAAGTAGATCTAACAAGATTCATTCATATTAAAATAAGAATGATTTCATGTAAAATGTACCCTAGTTGACCCCGTGTTTTCATTGGTTGCTCAAAGCCTTTGAGTCAAAGGACATGCCTAGAGGAAGAGCAGTGTGGCTGTATTATATTGGCCAAGTTTTGATGTGCTAAAATAAGCTATAACCAAGTAAAACAACGATTTTATTTACCTTATGGCTGTATGATATTGTTCCGTTAAAACGAGCGAGGTTGGAAGTTGACTGTGATGCAGAAAATTCCAGGTAGGCTAGTGCTAGCATATGAGTGTTCAACAATGACCAAAAGTAAATAAATTATAATAAATGTGCATAAAAACAATGAAATCTATGCGATGTTGACAGCAGTTATTATTGGAATATCATAAACATCATCCAAAATATTATCATAAATATTCACTATATCACCTAGACCCATAGACATATCTGTGGCCCTTTCCATGACATCACCTTTATAATATGGGTTTCACAGGGGTGCGCGTGCGCCAAGGTATGCGCCACGGTAGAGAACGTTCCAGTCTTCTCTTCAGCGGTAACGTTAAGCCAAAAGGAGGTGCAAACCTCAAGTATCTTTTGGTAATTTAAGTATTTAATAATTTTAGTATCATTATGTAGTTTAGTTTGAACATTTAAAAGCTATAATTTTAACCATGATTATTTAAAAATAACCTTTAAATGTTTGTTTTTGTGTTAGTTTTTTTTTTTATTTAGCTAGCTAACGTAAGCTAGGTTAATAACTTTAGCTTAAAACGATAAAAACTGTTTATGGTTTAAGCACACTTGAGCATTTGTGCTTAGCTGTGCCAACAAAGACAACTAACGTTAAGCTAATTAGGAAGTTACCTCAATGACAAGATTGAGCCAATTTTATAACTTGCTGTAACTCAAACTTTGTTAATGCTAAAAGTCATTATTGCTGCTGTCACCAGCTCAATTGATGTTCATAGCGCACACAATATACTGTATAATGTTAGCCTACAGTAAACAGAAGTATTCAAGGTACACCAGTCAGAGTGTGTCGATCTGGGGAGTGCATGTAATAATGTTGCTGACTTACTAGAGTGTTGACATCCATCAATATCCGGCAAAAGCCGTTTTTACACAGAAAAACCGTGGGTGCCTCTGTTTTAACATGTGTTAGATGCTGACTTGTGGTGCATGTAATGTTCAGAGCACATTTCTTCATCATCATCATCATCATCAGAAACCATTCTTACCTCAACCAGCAACTCAAGAATGATTGAACCTTCATCCAGAAAAAGCTATGAGTGAGAGGGTAACACATCAACAGTAATAAAAAATTTAAAACAAATAGACTTTTATGCCTCTGCTAGCTAGCTACTGTTAAGGGAATCAGTAGATAGAGTTAAAACTATTTTATTAGGTAAAGGTAAAACTTGTCTCAGGAGACACCTCTAGTCCAGTGCCATATGTAAATATTGAATAGGATTATTTTAGGATAAATGTGGGCTTATTTAGTGGGGTAAGTCTTGCTCTTTTGCCTGTAGATGATTTCATTATGCAGTATTACTGGCAATAGGAGTTACAATAAGACCTAAATGTAGACACACATGAAGAGTAAGAATGTTTCAGTAAGTTTACAGAGGAGGAGTGAAAAGGTTTATATTGGTACAGACTAGGGTTGCAGCGGTATACCGTTTCATGCTATACCATGGTATGAAAATTGACTTATATTATGCACATTTGTCTATCTACAGAATTAGGGTTAAAAAATGAAACCGGATGGAGAATCTCACCAGAGCATATATTTTATTTATTTTCAAAAGGGAGACATTTTACTCAAGCATTAAAAAAGTTGCAAGTATTGTCAGGACATAATATTTTGTCAAATTATAATTAAGTGTTTGATTCACCATGAACAACCCTTCTGTTTAAATTCCTTTAAGGGTCATTGTAACTGATAATAATAATAATAGTAATTGTTTATACCATATACTGTGAAATTGAATTTTTCTGAGATGTTGATCGTACCGTGAAAATCTCATACCGTTGCAACCCTAGTACAGACAAGCAGGCTGTAATGGCTACCTAGCGGCATTGTTAAATATATTTTTAGTTTGGAACTTATGGCTAAACTGTTTGGTAGGAAGATGGCAGAGGTGGGAAAACTAAAGAGAGCCAATTACGGGACATGGCAGAATCCGGAGGGGGAGAGGGATTTGGTCCAGATACTCCCAAATTGACGGACCAACCATTTTGTTGAGATTAATGGACTTTTGCTGATAAAGTTTGGCCAGCTGTGTAGTATATTCTTATACAAATGTGAGTTCTGGATAGCCAATTGCCCCAGTCTGACATTTATCTCTCAGGGGAAACAATAAGATGAAAAAGAGCAGGCAGACAGCAATTAAAGAGCGACAAGTGAATAGCATTTATTTTTAGATTATATTTCACATCATATTATATGAGTAGAAATAGCTGGTCAGCTAGTGTGCTTTACTCAGCTGCGTCTTTTCCCTAAAAAAAGAGAAATAAAAAAGGATGTGATCAGATTAATTTCAATAAACATTCTGTCAGGTTACATTTGAATTTAAATTTGATTTGTTTTTGACTAAACAGCTGTATATTTACCTTTCCAGAGTCACGGCTCTTTGCTCTCAGTTTGTTGACCTGGGACTCTGCAATGTCAGCGCGCTCCTCAGCCTCCTCCAGCTCATGCTGGATCTTCCTGCACTTGGACAGATGAACATTTGCCTGCTCCTCCTGGAATACAAGATAAACATAATTTAAAGGTATAGACATTTTAATGTATAAAAGGTTTTTTTGTTCACTATTATTTTTGTGCAACATGAATACGGTTTATATTGACAAAATAAAAAAAAAAGACTAGCTATAATGCTTAATAGTCTTTTTTACCATTGTTTTTGTCAGAATAAAGTAATACTATGTTGCAGTATTGTATTTGCTAGCCACAATGTCAGTTTAATATTGTTACTTACTGAGTATCATTTTTAGATTTACATTATATGTAATTATGACAGTTTGGTAGTGCAAAATCTAGGATCTTATCAGCTATCTGCCTCTCGGGGAACGGCCAGTGTTTTGGGGCTTCCGGTATAACCAGCAGAGGTTCAGATAACAGATATTTATCTGGGCTAACGCCAGGAATCCACTGACTCCTGCTATGGCACAATACGGCTGCGCCACGGTTTTGATGCGTCCGTCCGCTGGAAGTGTCTCAGAAGCGTTTCAGCAGCGGAGTGTGCAGCCTGCCCCACGTTATTGCCTTGTTACTGTTTTGTCCTTTTGTGCTTCTACTACCTTCTTTACAGCTCTATGTGACCCCGTTTTGTTCCGTCAACTTCAGGCTGCATTTCCCACAAGCAGCATTTCAGAATCAGAGAAATGACATGATTGATCAATACTACTCGGAATAGGCGGAAACCAGAATACTTCGTTACCAATGTCTTGTACCTTGACTACAGGTTCTGAATTCATACGAATATCTGTTTATAGAGATTATGTAGTGCAAAACAAATACAAACTACTGATACCACAAATTTTTGATTTGTGATGTACTTTTACTTTATGTTTACTTAATCAAAATGTTCTGTGCAAAGAGCTGGGTTTGTGTTTGATAAGATAATTCTGACATGTTATCTACCTATCATTACTGAAAATGAGTATGTTGTCCTTACCGCTTCCTCAGCCTGCCTCTTGTAGGCCTTCACCTTGAGCTGTAACTTGTCAACCAGATCCTGCAGCCTGGTAACGTTTTTCTTGTCCTCTTCAGTCTGTGATAGAAAGTAAATTTGCATGTTTAAATGTTAGATGTAATAATAATATGTTAGACTGATTTATACATGTTAACTTTCAAAGTGACTGTACCTGATAGGTGAGCTCCTTTACTCTCCTCTCATATTTGCGGACACCCTTAACAGCATCCGCTCCACGTCTCTGCTCAGCCTCAACCTCTGTTTCCAGCTCACGCACCTTCAAAAGAACAGACAATTCATCAAACATTAAGGATCCAAATCTTTTCTTACATTTGTTCAACTGCAAATCTTAACACAGTTGTCTTACCCTAGACTCAAGTTTCTGGAGCTGCTTCTTGCCACCCTTCATGGCCAGGTTCTCAGCCTCATCCAGGCGGTGCTGCAGGTCCTTAACAGCGACCTCCAGGTTCTTCTTCATCCTCTCCAGGTGAGAGCTAGTATCCTGCTCCTTCTTCAGCTCCTCAGCCATCATAGCAGCCTGAAGGAGACGGCATGAAATGTTAATGAGAAATATTTTGAAAAAAAACACATTACGTTACATTATGTACAATTAAGAACAAAGGAAAGTTAAACCTACATCAGTGATGGCCTTCTTGGCTTTCTCCTCTGCATTCCTTGCTTCCTGAACAGTGTCATCCACTTCACTCTGGATCTGGACCAGGTCAGACTCAAGCTTCTTCTTGGTGTTCAGAAGGCTTGTGTTCTAAAAAGTAAACAGATTTAGTCACTTAAGTCACCACATGACAGATTTTTCACATGTTATTTAGAAAAAGGAATGATTGTGTTGTTCACCTGAGAGTGCAGAAGTCCAACACGCTCACTGGCGTCCACCAGCTCCTGCTCAGCGATTTTGCGGCTTCTCTCTGTCTGTTCCAGAGCAGCTCTAAGTTCCTCAATTTCAGCCACCATGAGACCGTTCCTGCGGTCCACCATAGCAGCTTGTTCCTTGAATTCCTCCTGGGCTCTGACAGCATCATCAAGGTGCAGTTGAGCATCCTGGTGAAAAAACATCAGGAAAATATTCACATGAGTACAAAATAGGAGCATTGACCTTAGCCTGTGCAACAGCTCTGTGTCTTACAATACCTTCAGCTGTGCCTGCACGTTCCTCAGCTGCTTCTGGGACTCAGAAGCCTGGCGATTGGCATGGCTCAACTGAATCTCCATCTCATTCAGGTCTCCCTCCATCTTCTTCTTGATTCTCAGGGCATCGTTCCTGCTCCTGACCTCAGAATCCAGAGTGCTCTGCATGGAGTCAATCACCCTCTGGCTGTTCCTCTTGATCTGC